AAGACAGACATATACGACGTTTTACGAGGTATTACGCTAATCGTAAACAGTGAACGTAAACGTTCCACTTTTACAACTACCGTGAAAATACGGTGACTGTAAACGACATTCAGAATATGCGATAACAAGGCGAAACAAACTGATTTCAATTGGCGAAATCAATCGAAATCGCATGAAATCAAACAAAATCATGGAAATCATGGAAATCATCAGAAATCAAAACGGATCATTCGAAATCATTTCGAACGATCTGAAAGGTTTCACGTAAATTAGACCGATTTCACATGATTTCTTTGATTTCTCAAACATTCTATCGATTACCGCAAAATCCGGATGACCTTTGATCATTTCTAATTATTTCTACTGAATTCTCATGATTTCTACTGATTTTAATAACTTTTTCGCGCCATTGAAAATCTTGCGGGTGTGGATGTGGGTGGATCTCGGTAAAACCGCTTTTCCGTTAATCCACATTCGGACTCTCACACCCACAGCCACGCCGTCAAGATTTATTTCCGTTTTCAGTTATTCATTTCAGGGTTAGATTTAAAATGCGAAATCTGAAATCGGATTAATCTTTGAATTCGTGTCGCGCAATCATTCACCTTTCTGTTTCGCGCGAGCACTTCTATATATACGCAGATTTTTCTTCCCTTTAGTCATTGAGTTCAGGGATAGATTTAACGTCCAAAATGCAAAATCTCAAATCAGATTTATTTTCGATTTCGTGTCGCACAATCACTCACTTTCTGTTTCGCGCGAGAACTTCTATATATAGGCAGATTTTTCTTCCCTTTAGTTTTTTAGGTCAGGGATGGATTTAAAATCCAAAATCGGAAATCTGATTTATCTTAGATTTCCTGTCGCGCAATCATTCACCTTTTTGTTTCGCGCGAGATCTTCTATATATAGGCAGATTTTTCTTCCCTTTAGTCATTGAGTTCAGGGTTAGATTTAAATGCGAAATCTGAAATCTGTTTTGTCTTCGAGTTATTGTCGTGGAATGTTCGTTTGAGCACTTTCCCGATTCAAGTCAAGTAACATGTCCACGAATCAGTTTGTTTTCCGGTTTTTCCTTAAATCCCTATTTATGTTCCAGCGCATTCCCACTCTCTCAGAAAACGCTTGATTTTCAAGTCGAAAGGTAAGGTGTTTTTGACCCAGAAATGTAATCTTTCTCAAATCCAAGTGGAATCGTTTTGTGATCTTTTTGAAATCTTAACAAAATCCTTTTCAAATCCAATTGAAATCTTTTTGAAATTTAAACGGAATCCTTTTCAAATCTAAACGAAATCTTTTTGAAATCTGAATAAAATCTTTTTGAAATCCAAATGAAATCTTTTTGAAATCTGAGTGAAATCTTTTTGAAATCTAAACGAAATCCTTTTCAAATCTAAACGAAATCTTTTTGAAATCTGAGTAAAATCTTTTTGAAACCCAAGTGAAATCTTTTTGAAATCGCAATTAAATCTTTTTGAAATCTGAAAAAAATCTTTTTGAAATCTTTTTGAAATCCAATTGAAATCTTTTTGAAGTCTAAACGAAATCCTTTTCGAATCTAAACGAAATCTTTTTGAAATCTGAATGAAATCCATTTCAAATCCAAATGAAACCTTTTTTAAATCCGAATGAAATCGGTTTGATTTGCAAGTGAAAGCATCGAGAATAACGAATGGAAAACGGCCGTTTACTTTGATGTACGGTAGTCGTTTTTGTCGTAAACGGCTGTATATGTTAAGATACGGCGATTCTCGTTGTCGTAAACTGTCGTTTCGTTCAAAATACGACCGTGCCACGGCACTGTTTTTAACGTTTACGGTAGTTGGGTTCCACCGTTTACGGTAGGTGGGTTTCACCGTTTAAGTCACGGTGGGTTACGGCCGTAATACGGGGCATACCAAACGGGTCATTTACGGCCCGTATACGGTCGTAACTCTGACGGTTACGGCCGTTTAAGGCCACTGTAATGTTCGTCCTGGGGTATTTAACAGTGTGCATTAATTATTACATCAAATAGAAATGGTACAGTACAATGTAATCACTATCATCAAAATCTGATTTACGTATATCTCTTACTAGATCAGTGTGTAGCAGATCCCGAAATAATATAGCATCAAACGAGTCATCGAATGGTCTATCAGACATTGGTCACTTAGTACAATGTAATAGAAAAGAATAAGAAAATTATTCTTCAATTATTCATTATTCGAATGATAAATATACACATGGAAGCCGCCACGGAATCGACACGCAACATCAACAGTGATTTAAATTTCATTACTTCGAATATAAGGGACAACCTCTTTTAATAATGAATCAATACATATACAATTGCAACAAAAAAAGGCCCAACAAAAAAGATTGTGTGTGTGTGGTTAAAGATTGTGGCGTATATGTTCATACTGATATAGATCAGAATTGTTTGTCTGGTGATAAAACTGACCATGGTCACCCAGCCAATCCTAAATCTCTTCAAGTCAAAAAAACATGAGTTCCCTAATTCGAATTCGATTATAAATGGAGAATGAAGTAATCATTACCACTTCGAATATAATTTATAAAAAAAGTGACCGCACCCATGTTAATTGCAGCAAAGAAGCAAAAGAAAAAGTTTCATTTATAAATTTCAAAGGCACCCATGTTGATTGCAGCAAAAAAGCAAAAGAAAAAGTTTAAATTTTATGATAAATATAAATTTCATAATTCGCATTGACCCAGGTCGATCAAAACGGGCCACCGTAAACCGGCGTAACATTACCGTAAACGGTCGTTTTTGCATCGTATTCCATCGTAAAACGGCCGTTTTAAGTCGAATTAAGGTGTTTTGACAGGGGCAGTATTACGGCCATACACGGACACCGTATATCAGCCGTAAAACCTCGTAAAGCCGGTGTAATATTATCGTATTCTATATAACATACGGTCGTATTACTGCCCCTGTTATACGAGGAAAATACGGCCTGTAAAACGGGCTGTATTTGTATCGTATACGACCGTTTACTGATCGTTTTCTTCGACCGGGGGTATGAGCTAAGAAATATAGTGAAACGCATGGAAGACATTGAATTAATGCTTAATATTGGAAATAAAAATGAAGATCAACTCGAGTCGCCCTCTTATTCATCAACTGTTGATCAACCATTGGAAGTTGATAGTCACTGTTACGCGTCATCATCACTGTGCCGATATTGATGGCACACTTCGATGATTCTCCTTCCTTCTCTTTCTGTTGTTCATAATATATCTCTCTCCTGTCTCTCTCCTATACATACGTGTGTTATGTATGAAGTTGTTACTCTCTGGATATGTGAAGAAGCGCATAAACATCATTGCCCTGAGTGGCGGAAAGCTACTCCACCTCTATCCAGTTTGTCTTAATAGATCAATCAGCAAGGGCCATATTTATTCATTACACCACACCCACACCCTATTTTTGCATAGCATTTTTATTTGAATGAAAAAAGTATTTTTTCTTTTTCAAAACTTAAACAAAAGTATAGATAGCACTGCTAATCAATATTCAAGTGCAGTTATCGATTTGCGCCAACGAATGTGATTGACAAAAGAAGAATGGAAGATATATATATATATAAACAATCGATGGATGTTTATTTTCTGGTGACTTTCTTCTTCATCTGTCTAACAAATCGGTTGTTCTCTTTTTGTGAGTTTCTTCTTCCTCTTGCTTACTTTTTCCGCATCTTGTGTGATGCTTCATTTTTGCGATTCAACCTGTAATCATAGAGCTAATATTTCTGTATGAATTACAGTAAAACCTCTATTAGTGAGCACCTCACTAAAATAAACACCTCCATACAGTGCACGCTTTTTTTCGGCTCCGATGGTGTTCACAATAGAGTTTTTACTGTATCTGTTTTTCTCTGCTTATTATTTCATTGCTCTTGATATATTTCATTTCACTTGTAATTAGAAATCTTTTTTTTTGGTATGAAAAGAAAAGAACGAGCTCGTTGTGTTACAGAGCAGAAAAATTTTTTAGTTTAGAATCTATAACTTAACTGAGAGGAAAAATTGAAGATACATAGTTGCCCTGCAGGACAGGATAGGGAAAACAATTTTTATGAGTCACTTTCCGATCAGGGCAGGGCAGGAGAGAAAAAAGAGTCCTGTGGCCATCTCTGCTATGAATATTGAACTTGAATCTTCCTATAATGAATAGAATAAGAAAAATTAATGGATAAATGTTTAATAGCATCATTAAAAGAGAAAAAAAAATGCATATAATGATATTTTAAAATATCTATGCATTGGTTGATGATAGATAGAGAAGAGAAAATCTTTCTAAATGCTACTAATGTTTAAAAATAGTTCTTTGTTTTATATTTAAATATGAATGAAAGAAAGAATAAAAGGCAATACATTTTTTTCTTCTGATTTAACTTTAACATGTTTAAATTTAAAGTTCATCAATTGTTATAACTTCTTAGTTTTTTAATAATAACCGATTTATTCCTTGTTATTATGATAAACCATCTCGATCAGATTCTTCCGGATCCAATATCTTGGTATATAAGTTGAACACCTGGAAATAAAAATAAATATCGAAGCTTCAAATATCGACATTCCGTTTTTGTTGATCTTACTTTATCGAGATCTGGTGTAATGCATGATGCAACACTAATAAAAGAAAACGAGAATTTTAGAAATTTTTTTTATAAAAGTTGCTGAGGATTAAAAATGCTAATTTACCCTAATTTTTCTGGTTCTTTAGGTGTTGTTGTATCAATAGTTAAAGGAGTTAAATCTAAAAAAAAATTTATTTCAATAGTAGAATTCTTAATGTTTGGTTTTTAATTGGCAACTCAATCAAGTTAATTGAGAAATTTTATTTAAAATATATATGAAAAGATTAAAACAAATTTTATTTTAAAATCTTCTAAAAGTCTAATAATTATCAAAAAGAAAATTCGGAAAAACTAAGATCTTATGTCGACCTTCTCTAATTTCATTTTTAACTAAATCAATAGAAAAATATTCTAAAAGGATAAAATAATAATGAAGATGAATATATTTTATTAATGAATTCATATGGAGACATTAAATAAAATAAATATATTTTATGCAATTTGTTCTATTTATTATTAATTTAATAATATATAGGTAAAAGAGGAAAAACCTAATCAAATTTAAGAGAATCGTTGATATATCCTATTAATGATTCGATCCTGGTTGACTAGAAGTTCTACGAGGAAAATTTGAATTGATTGAGCCAATATTTAATATAACTATTTCTATATTGATTAAAATTTTATTTCAATCGATTTTTTTTTCAAATTAAAAAAAATGCTTTCACGTCATTAATTTAATAAGATTTCGTATAAAAATATATATTGTTTATTTTAATGGATTTTCAAATAATTGTTATCACTAGATATCGAATTTCGAACCATAATATATCTGTTAAAGGTTAATCTATGATAATATTTTCCATTTACGCAAGTCATAACTGATAAAAATCGATAAAAAAAGCATTCACTTTTTAATTAAACATTCTATATAATAGAAGGATCTTTTACGATTATCAAAATAAAAATTCATTGAAAATGAACTTATTTAAATAAAATAGTTGCATAATAAAGGATTAAACTGACGCTTACCCATATCAACACTTGCGGTTGAATATTTGTCATAGTCATCCGGGTTGTGTTTGTTGATCATTTCGATTTTTTTCTGGTACTCTTTATAAAGTTTTTCTTTTTTATCTTCTCGCCTAAATAAATAACAAATAGTGATTTTTCAGAGATGGTCTATTAAAATATCAGACATTAGTAAATTTTACTTACAATAAGCCATTTAAACCGAAATATAATTCTTTTTGAATGATTAAATGTTTGCTGTACGAAAGGATTTTCTAAAATAAATACATCATGATGATGCTCTTAATAGACAATCAATCTTACCTCATAGAATATCACAAAGTCAGATGTTTTTTCTTTGATTTCGACGCTCACCTTGACGTTTTTTTTTATAATAATCGAACATGAAATTTCCTGATGTTTTTTGCGGTTCAAATTGAACGATCATATCCACAGGCTGCTTTAAAAATAAAAAAGATTTTATATTTAAGAATGAATATTTCTTACTTTATTATTATCATGTAAAAAGAAACCATCAGAAATCATAACAGCATGATTGGAAATGGCTATCTTATTAATAAGATTTGCATCATATTTGGTCTTGTAATAATTGCACAGAGCTGAAAATTTTTGTTCGAACCCCAGGTCGAACAGTCCGGCATGGAAACGGCCGGTTCAGAGTAGTTCCGTTGATTTTGTGGAAGCAGTATTCCGGTTGGAAATTTTTAGAATTTTTTCCGGTGATTTCCGATCAATTCCTGCCGGAAAGCAATGGAACTTGGCAGGAATTCGCCGGAAAAGTTCGGCCGTATTTTTGACCGGAATACTGCTTCCATGTTCCAGCGATTTCACGTGTTTCCTTGCAGGATATGGTGACTTTCCCGCATATTCCCTGGAGTATCATACGGGATCTGGTGACCGGAATGTTCGACCTGGGACGACATCAGCAAAAAATCAAAGGTAATGTCTGTTGATATTAACCTCTTTTTCAATAAAAAAAAGAAAGAAAAAAATATTTCTTCTCTAGAATTTAAAGGAGAAAACTTTATAAAAATCGTTTTTTTTCTACTTTTAATAATAAACCATCTTCTTCATATTTATAGTTACCGACATTGGTGCTTGTTCATTAATTATAACTGCTTTATCATGGAATTGTTGATGAACAAGTTGAACTTTAAAAAAAACATTGGATCAATGTCAGATAATTGATATCGATTAAGATCAAATTGAAAAGTTTCTCATGGTGATAGTTCACTTTCTATCTTTTAAATAATTATTACATTAAAAAAAACTATGTAATACGTCTTCAATTGTTATACATTTATATGAATCCATTAATAATAATTGATTAAGGAAATCAAATGCAGCTTCATCAATATCTGCTACAACTAAATCCAATGATAATAAATGATTTTCGATGAAAATCTGTATATTGCGATAAAATTCGACGAAGAATATTTCATGATTTATTTGATATTGTTGGATATGCTACTTTATGTTCATGTGGAAGACAACCTAATGAACGACAATGACGTTCAATAACAAGACGTAATTAATCTAAATAATGACGCCCAGGAAATACTGGTTGACCACATATAAGTTCACCAAGTATACAACCTACTGACCACATATCCATTGCTGATGTATAAGTTCCATCACAAAGCACTAATTCAGATGCACGATACCATCGTATACAAACTAAAATAATTTTTTATTGAAAAATTTTATTTATTAAATTAATAAAAAATTGCCATCACCAGAGTCATTGGTGCATTTGCCTCTTCTTTTTGATACACGAGCAAAACAAAAAGGTTCTATACGTACATGACCATCAAGATCAACAAATATATTACTTGCTTTTAAATATCGATATACTATAAAAAAAAAACACTGGATTGGAATTTTTAAATAGCAAATAATATCCTTACAAACTTTAGCTAAATGAATAAATTTAAATGTTCGTAATAATTGATAAAAAGTGTGGAATATGACTGGCTGTAATAATACGTTTACCCATTGATTATTTATTTTAATAAATTGATCAAATATCTAAATGTATTAAATTAATTACAAGATCTATTTCACGCATTTGTTTAATTGATGTAACAGGTCTATAATAATACAGTACTTGAACTATATTAGCAGATCCGACTGGTGTTAAAGCACATATTTAACGTAATGAATAATAATAAAATATTTTTGCCTTAACAACATTTATTGAAGGTAATATACTTTTGTTTTATTGCTGCTTTACTTTGAAATAAATAATCATATGCTAATATAACTTGACCATAAGCACCAGAATCAATCATTTTCGGTAACGAATAACGAGAACGAAAATATAACAATACATGCCCATCAACAATTATATTTGTATTCAATCAAGATTATGTAAAACTATATCGTCAACGAGAACCATCGAGACTAAGATCATTACAAATTATAAAATATACAACAGAAAAAAAAATTTTTTTTCAAATACAAAACAATAAAAAAAATATCTATATCGCTTACGATTCGTGTCACGAGGAATCTTCGATCGACAGTGATTTCACACATACGATAGAATTCTATTTATACATAATGATGATAATGATAATATCGTATAGAATCGATAGAGAAATAGATAGAAGCAACTTTTCTTGCGTTTCGATACTAACATGTGATTATACCGATACTGTTGTATGCAATGATCCGGGGTGATATGTATTCATCATAAAATCGATCCATTTTATCATAGAGAAACAATGAAATATACAAAAACAAAAAATAAGATAAACAATCGAAATAAATAACAAATAAAAAAGAAAAGTATAAACTCTTTTTGAATAAAAAAAAATAAGAACATTCGTTCTTTATAATTTTTTAGAAGAAAATTTAATCTTTCTCTATTTTTTTTAATAATAATCCATCTTCTCTGTATTTACATTTGCCGGCATTGATGCTTGTTCAATAAGTATAAATGCTTTATCATTTTGCTATGGATGAACAAGTTGAACTATTTTGAAAAGAAAGCATTTGGCGAATGTCAGATAATTGGTATGAACGAACTAAGATGAAGTTGAAAGATTTCTTCTGATGATGGTTCATCACTTGCATCTTTTCGATAATTATTAAATAAAGCTGTATGTAATGAATCTTCCTTTGTTAGACACTTATGTGGAACGATCAACAATAATCGAACAAGTAAATCAAATGTCGCTTTATCAATATTTGTAACACTTGAATCTAATGGTAAAAAATGATTTTGAATGAAAATTTAAACATTGTGTTGAAATTGGAAGAAGAACATTTTAAGACTTTTTAGATATTATTGGATAAGCTATTTTATGTTGATATACAATAAAAATCTAATGAACCATACGACGTTCAATAATAACATAATTGATCGAAATAATATGACATCCAAGAAATAATGGTTTATCAAAAACAAGTTCATCAAGAATACAATTAGCTAATTATAAAAGAATTTATTTATTGCTGATGAATAACTTCCATCACAAAGTACACGATACCATCATGTACGTACTGAACATAATTTAAATTCAAATTTCATTTGTTAATATAATAAAAAATTTATCATAACCAGTCGTTGATGTATTTATTAGTGTCTCGTTCAGATACACGAGCAAGACAAAATATCCAATACATATATTATTATCAAGATCAACAAAAATATTACTTGGTTTAGAGTCTAGATTTACCAAGAAAATAAAAGGCTATATTTAAATATTTCAAAATCAGAATAATATGCCAGCGGTGGGTCTAGGATTTTAGAAAGGGGTGGAGTGTATATAGACAAAAATCACATTTTAGTGCTCATTCATGATAATATAAACTCGTCTTTCGTTCACTTTTGCTGGGGAAAATTGAAAAACTTTCTCAATGGGGAGGGTGCGACGGCAGCATTCCCTTTGTATCTTATTTTGATGCTTGTTGTATATGTATACACATCTAAATATGTGCTTGTTTTACTAATTTAATTTTCTGGCTTTTTCGCGCGCTCATTCAGAGTAGTGTGAGTTACTTAAATAAAATGAACACTTCTTGCTCCTTTAAAAATAAACTCAACCTATATTCAATCTTTACTTTTACAAACAATCTTGCCATCTACCAAATAAATTATTGTGGCACCTGGTCCTTGTACTAGTTGCGTCTTATGTGCACTCAGTGATGTGACAGGNCCCCCACTTTTGAAAAGTAGTGGCTTTTTATTGAAAACTGTTACTCGTTTTCATCTAATTAAATATCAAAGTTAACGAGTAATAGCATGGTAAGAGGCCTTTTGCAAATGCTGAGTTTGATGACGTTAAAAAATCTACCTATTCTATGTACACTCTTAATATTCGTGTGCATATTTTTCGAAAAGAATGAAAACTTACTGAAGTGACTTTTACATTGATCAGAATTTACTTGGTACGACTATTTTTCCAGACTGAGGGATTTCTTGATTAACTATCAAAACTCACTTTTAAAATTCAAATATAAGATAATGAGTGTAGTATTGTTTCAGATGATCGATCTTGCTTGAAAAAAACAATAAATAAGTCTAAAAGAACTCATACATTAGATTCGTTTGTTATTAAAACGCCAAATGTTATATCGACAATAGAGACAAATCCAGCTTTCAATCTGCATGAAAAAGAAGTAACAAGTGCTACATTAAATAGCGGCGAAACCAACATCAATCAAGATATTACTACTAATGCTGTTAATCATACTACCAACGAAATAGCACCATTGTCTGTTGGTTCTGAACTTAGTCCGATATCAATACAAAATGATGATTGTAAGTAAGTCATTTAGTTCAATAATATCTAAGAAACATTCTGTTTTAGGTTCTTCCAATTGTCCTGATAATCTCTTAGCAATGTTCAAGTCAACTAATAATGCAAAAGAATTTTATGCACGTGAAACATATTTTTTTTCTGATAATATATTAAAACTTGTTACCGATTTGAGATCATCTTGTGAAACATTTTTGTTAGATTGTGTGAACAGTCGTCCTGTCGTTAATTCTTGTTCAATACCCTGGTAATACTCTCCTTTCAGAATTCTAGAGCGTTCTATTTACATGAAAATATGAATCTCTCTGGTTTTCTTTAATATTCCGTTTATTTATATGTCAAAAGCATTTTTTTTATATTATAGAAAAGTGCGGCCTATCCATAAGTATTTGGTTATTCTTTAAATATGTAATTAAAAACAAAGCAAAGATCGAATCATGTTGTTGTTTTTTTAATTTTTTATTGCTATATTAACAACTCAATAATATTACACAATTTGAATACGAATAAAAAGAGTTTTCTTTTCTAGTACGTATATGGTTGTCCTTGTTGCATAGAGTAATCATATGATAAATCTGTATTCATCATCCATGGCATAGATTGCATCGATGAATGGTTTGCATGTTTTGCTCGAAGGCGTGCTTGTCTACGACGAAAATCACCTTGAACAAAAGCATCAAGTGAAGCTGGATGAATACCCCAATAATAACCACGACCATTTTCAGATTTTTTTTGTCGAATAAAACATTCATTTAGAGATAAATTATGTCGAATAGAATTTCGCCAGGCTTTAGTTTGCGATGTTGCAAAATAAGGATACTGATGAATAATCCATTCGTAGATATCGACAAGCAACATTTGATAATTCGGTGATGATAAAATAGCTCGAGCAATCATTGCTACATAGGATTCTTCAGGTTTAGTATGTAATTTTTTACTATTATGCACTGAATGAGAATACATTTGTTCGTTAGATGGACTGGAACTAAGATAGCCACTGTCTTGTGGATTCATATTTCTATATAAAAGCAAAGCAAAGATATATTGATGTAAGTCGCATGTAGATTTAATCTAAACGAAATTGTAACCTACTTTTCGAGAGTACACTTCAAATGTAATGCGTTGCTTAACACTTAACAATTCGATTTGATTACAATAGGTTAATCAAAAGTTTCCTTCGATTGCTATTGTATTCGACTAGAGCCGCTGTGTATGGATTAGAAGAAAAATTGATTTGAATTATGTGTCATTTAGTGCTGACAATACTATATTTATATGTCTGTTTCTCTCTCTCTTTCGTTCTCTCGACAGAAAATTAAATTGTTGATACACTATGAACGATGATGAACTATTTCTGCTGTGTTTGAAATTGATTAATGATACCGGTACAGAGTGGCAGCTTGTTCATCATTTTCTGTTGTTCTCACGTAAATATAAATTTTTCGACAGGAGAAAGCAAACGTGTCATCAACATGCTGATCAATGATCAGCTAGAACATGATCACTTGTAAGCTGCCGTATGAATGTTTTTTTTTTTTTTTTTAATAAATGACTTCACCACTGATAAGTAAATATCTTACAGTGACGATAAAAACATGATGATAGAAATTTTAATTTCATTGATTATCAATTGTCTTTCCCATGAAAAAAATATTAAAAAAAGAAAACAATGGCAAAATTACTCATTCAGATATTTTATCAAAATTACAGTTGATGACAATGCTCACAAAGAGCGTCCTTCAGTTGAACATGTAATCCGCGATGAGATCTCAAACAGGCAATACTAATAGCGTTCTTAATTAGTATCAATAGCAAGAACAAAAAAGAAAAATTAGTTAGATTACAATAAGATTGACATGTGTTTTATTTTCTATATAAAGAATTCTCTAATGAATATAACCAAGTAACTAGATACACCATTATTGCTTTCCCAAACAAAATAGAGATAACTATTGGCGTCATTTTCTTTTTATGTGTGTATGGATTGTTCGGGGGAGAAAATACTTCTTTGTTATAAATTCTGAAGGTTAAAATTTATCTCTGATGAGATTCGATCAAACGAATATCTTGTGTTTTTGAACCAAAAAAAAGAAGAAGTAGTTTTCTTTACTCAAGTGCTTTTCTTTTTTTTTACTAATACACAATAGATAAAATGAATTATATACACATCTAAGAATACAAAAGCAAGCGAGAAAAAAATCATAATCTATTAACATTAGATTCATATTCTATTTTATTGATATTCCGGCCTATATTGTACATATTGACTAAGACGATATGGAAGTTCACTAGTAATATCTTCAATTTTTCCATTTGATTGATATAAATAACGTAATAATAAACGACGACAAATAGATTTTAAATTAAGTTCATTGGGCAGGACAATAATCGATATTTGTAATTCTCTCCCACCATTATTTTTTGTTGTACAGAATGCCATTCTTGAAGAGCATACAGAAAAAACTGGTGTCAAAAAATTTCGACACATGTGTAACGGACATATATGTGGCATTAATTGATTATGAACACGAGTTAAACGCTGCAATGTATTTGCATTATACATATCAAAATAACTAATTGGTAGTGTTTGTCCACAATGGCATCGCGTATCAGCAAATGTTAATATCATATAAACACTATCAGGAGTATAAATGATTGATAGAAGTCGAAACCCTTCATCAAGTGAAATATTTTCATAGGTATTTGTTGACCATGTATGTACATTTTTTAACGTCAAATATGAACCAACATATTGTTCATTCAGTTGAATAGTTTGTGCTTGTGTTTTATTTGAACCACCAGGTGTTAATGCAGCTATATTATAACTAATCAAAGTACTTTGATGCTGAGTTATACATGTATATAGAGCTAAACGAGATGACCAATGATTGGGACTAAATTGAAATCGAGCATGAGTATCAATCGGAAAAATTCGACGATAAAGTTTAGCTTCTTTTTTAATAACTAGAATTAAAAATCGATATTTCTACGTAAGAACAAAACATTATTTTCGATAGTAAACTTTACTTTTATAAAAATCTAATGCAGCTGATCCACCCAACATTGGTACACGTAGAATAACTTGTGTTCTATCCATGGACCAAGCTGAATGAACTTTACTGGCATCGACTAATCCATTGTAATCATCACCAAGTGCACATACATATCTATTTAATTTTAAATCGACAATAATAAATTTTGTTTTATCTAATACAACAGAATAAATCGATAGCATGATCGTTTCACCATGATCAAAACCTGATATTGAACAGCCATTAACAATGCGATGAACAGAATAATTTTGTAGCGAACTAATCATTGCTGGTATATGATTGTATTCGAAATGCTCACGCAATTTTTTACTCTTGGTCGATGCAGATGACGACGGAAGAATTGAACGTGATGTACAACGAAATCGTTTTGTTGAACATCGAGTAAAACCATGAAGTTTACGTGATAACGATTCTGAACAGAAACCCGGAGCACATACACTATGAAGTTCAGAATTACATGTAAATGTATGATGAGCAAAACCAAATAATTCTAAAATTAATTAAAATAAAATAAAATAACATAAATTAGATTGTTTTATTTTTATTTTTATTTCATACGTGAAATTCCATGAAGCCAATCAGTATGTAAACAACGATGAATTTCCTCCCATCCATAATAAATTGTTCTTTTATTAATAGTTAAAGATTTGTTTGCTGAAGTACTGGCTGATCGACATGTATTGTTATCACTAGTTGAAGATTTTAATTGATGACTAGATTTTGAATTATGCTGACCCATTCTTCGAACATGAATTTAATTAAAGATGTTTTTTGTTATGTTTGAGTACTTCTAAACGAATTTATCTATGAAGGACGAAAATTGAATATATTTTTCAAGAGTACTTCAAAATATAATGAAATCTATGACCAAAAATTACATTATCTCTATCTATGCCATTAGTACAGTGTATAAGCAAACAAAGTTTCCTTGCTCGGTCTTCCTCTTTCTTGTTGTCGAACAAAAGAGAAGGTATCGATTATATAGATAAAAAAAAAAAGGATAGCATGATGATAGAACTAGAAGATAAAAAAAACGATGACAGAATGGAGTCTCCAAGGAAAATATCTTTGTGTTATATAGACAGGCATTACTAGCATGATTGTTAGCAAGAAATAAAGCGTAGTTTGTTATGTCGTAAGCGAAGATGTTTTCAACTTAATGATTTAATTATCTATTTGATGAATGAACGATTTCGGTCAATCCATCGGGATACTGCACGTGACAAAAAAAAGTCATATCATCGTCACCAGTCAAACAACATGTGCAGTAAATTATATTAGATCTCAGCTTTTCTCTTTATTGCTCATATCATCCTGCTTTATTTATTTAATCATTGAAGATTATCAACGTCTCATTTTTCTATCATGCACAACTAATCGAACATGACAATTATGGTGTACTTTATCTTAATCTAATCTAACTCCATAAGAAAAGTCAACATCATCAACGTTTTTTTTACCATCTGCTTTCTATAAGAAAAAATAAATAAAAAGAACGGATTACAATGAATTAAAGCTATCCTTTTTTTTTAATGATAAATCCTGCATGAGTATGATGATATTCAATTATATATGACTGACATGATTGCTAAAATATGAATATCGATACTCGTGAGAATTTCTTTATTTTGTTTTTCAATTTAAATATACATCATTAGTTTTGTTTATAATTTTACAACTATTACCGATGATGTTTAATGAAACAAAGAAAAATAGCATGAAAGAATAATGTAGTGTGCTCAAAATAAAATTTTGTTGATAAAAAAACTTTCTCCTGTTAAATAAAGACAAACCGTCGTTCACATTACTATCTTTGAAAAGAAAATCGTAGTTGATGAGAAACATTGAGTGATAAACTGTCGAGATCGATAGATATAGCTGGCATTTTATCGTAGACATAAACATTCTATTACATCGTTTCAAGCTTTGTTTCTTAATACGAACACATGTTGTCAATATAAAGTGTATTAGTTCTAGAAAATAAATTTTGTTATGCTTTTTTCGACTTTAGAAATTGTGTTCATAGTAAAGGAAATTTGATTTATTTACATACTGGAAGTATTTCTATTATTGAAATGTATTTATAACGAAAAAGAAAACAGGGACCAATGCGTGTGTTTGCTCGCTTCCGGGTGGAGAATTGGTTTTATAGACATTATGAAAAAGCTTGAAAGTATTTGTATGTTTACGAGAAAAGCTTCGATACAAATCGACTCTATTTAGGCTTCCTATTTTTTCCTGATAAATAAAAATATTAGGGCTATTAAATAGTATTTAATTATTTGCCGGCATTTTATATACCCTACCTGCTTGTCCTGTTACTTATTCAAGTCTATTTGTATTCTTCGACTATGTGATGATCTCTAGAGGTGCATCAAATCGATCAGAATAGAATTCTTTCTTTGTGTGTGTGCCAAAAAGTCACTTCGTCGTAGTCTTTCTTCTCAGTAAAAATTATATTCTGTTCTCGTTAATGGTATCGTCTTCCATTTTTTTTCTTCGTCGTTCTACCATCTGGCAATTCAGTCAGCTGCTTCTTTTATTTGACGTCTTTTTCATTCTCACTCAGAACGACAAAAAAATATAGTTCTTGTCTTTGGCAGTCTAGGTTTTTTTGCTTGCATTCTAGGCGACGAAAAGAAATCACGGGAAAGTTTTATTTGAATTAATTCATACTTTGAAACCTTTCAGTTAATTTCAAATGAAATAATTAATCAAAAACATATTGAAAACGAATAGAATTTTTATTTGAGACAAAAACATGTCCAAAAACAAACCAACGAAGATGATGATTATGTTCATCATAACGTCAATCGAAAATAAATCAAGTAATTTATTTTGGACCTGCAACAATATTCATTTTATTGACGAGATAATCCACCATGCTCTTGACTATATATAGCTTGTCATATTCACTGTCTGGAATTTCAAAACCTAGAAAACAGAAGACCATATGCAAACATTTACTAATGGAATTAATAAATATACCAAATTCATTTTCCAATGCGACAATGATTTCAACAAGATCGAGACTATCCAGACCAAGATCTTTCATGAGATTTGTTGATAGTGTGATCTAAATGGAAAAAGATGGAATTCTTTTGTCCTATCAATGCAATCTCTACGTTAAAAAATATCATGCATGAAAAGAAGAATCTTATTTTGTTGAAATGGACGTAGCGTAGAGAGAAAACACTAGTCATAGATCGTGCAAGTTCAAAAAAAGAATATCTTGACAAATCATAGAAAATAGTTACAGACACTACAAAAGTAGTTCAATGCATCGAACAGCTTCTTAATTGAAGAGGAAAATCTTAAATGTCGGAAAACGACTAAATGCAAATTTTACAATCGAATAGAACTTGGAGACAAATGATTTGGAGTAGAATCATAGAATTTCTGATATGTGTAGTCAATTACAACTATGCACGAACAACTTCACAGAGAGTTTCTATATCGCCATAAAATTATTCATAAGTGTTTCCATGCGAGATTAAAATTGAGTGCGAATTTCAGTAGTCTACTTATGCTGAGATATATTCTATTATGTAAATAACTATTCACTCAAACCAATACAGTAAATGCTTCTGAATTACAATCTATCAAATATTCTTTCAGTGAATTGTAGTCTATACTAATCCAGAATATTGTTTCTAGACCTTGCGCGTTTGTATGTAACACAAGAAAATTTTGAAATGAAAATTGAATGATGATGATGATGATGATGATTATTATTATTATTATTATTATTGTAAGATAACTATAGAATATTATTAAAATATTCAATACAATATAGTTATTGAAAGAACTTCAGCTTTATATGTAGTCGCCAAAGACGATAGTTATATCCAACACTTCGATCATTTATCAAATATTAAAGTTTTGCCACTTACTTCGTGTTTTTTAGTTTCTAGAATTTTATCATATTCATTGCAAATACGTAATACACGTCTTTCAACATCACTTGGTGTAAGAGGAGGTGGTGTACGCATTTGACCAGCATCTTTAGCTGACTGATCAGTCGTCATTTTCCGACGTGATACTATAACATGTGACCAAATCTATTAGAGAAATACTTTTATTTTACCTCATAAAAATTTTCTAATCATTTACTGGTGTATTGTGATATACATTCGTACGATTCGATAATGTATGTAAACGATGAGTTATTGATGTTGATAAACGTGCATTTATAATTGGTTGCAGAGCAATACATTGGCGAATTATTGTTTTAAACATCTTGTCTTTTCTATTGAAATAATATCTGTAAAATAAAAGGTAGGTGAAGATGATGTTCACAATTGAATAAATGATGACTCATTCGACATCGTCATTGGTGCATTTAAACACTATTAAGAAAGAGAAAGCAATTTGCAAAAGGAACAACCGAATAAGCACAATTTTATAATCAAAAGTTAATTTATTTGTTTCATAAAAAATCGAATGCTACTAAAATTAATCAATTTTCATAATCATACCATAGCAACGTACTTTGCAATGGCAGACTGGACATGATCAAGTGCTGATTTAAATAACACTCATTATTTTTATTCGAGCTTATAACTAAAACTTTCCATTATGACAACATCTCAACATGGTCGAGCTTCATTCTCTGCATCAACCGGTGCTCTTTCCCTTGTCCCTTATTCACATACCAATGGAGAAACCCAAAACCTTGATTTACCTTCATCGGCTCAAGATAGTGCAGTATATACCACTGCTGACCCACCTTATCTATCAAGTCAAGTATGTTACGAATAGATGAACAACGTGGACAAAAAATAGACACTAGAACTTTCTTATTTTCACAGCTAAAAAGTTCTGATTGGCTACAACGCTACGGTTTAAAATCGCAGAAACTATCATTTGATCAAATTCTTCAACAAATTGGATTTAAACGGCCTGAAAGTTCGTGTTCTTTTTTAATTATTTTCTTAGAATTTCTTTTTGATATTTCAAAACTAATAGAATAGTTTTCTGAAAATTTTCATCTCGTACATGTGATAGTAATTCAGATTCCGATTGAAACCATAGTAAGTCGAAACCTATCAAGTGACTTTAATAGATCGCGTCAAGAGTTTCGTTTTACATGTGTTGACATTCAATTTAGTTCATCATTATTCAGTGATAGAAGAATCACTATGTGCAGTACATCTGAATTTTGTCAGTATTAGGTTTCATACTACACAATCAGCTAGTGAGGAAAAAAAGATTCCCTATAACTTCAGCTAATCGATTATAATGCGCTATTGTATCTAAAGTGGTTTTGGATGAGTAGTCGGTTGGACTCGATAGTTAAGCAATTTGAAGAAGAAAAATGATTTACTGGGTATTACTAGTTAGATAATATGAAATACAAGTTACTCTAGTTTGACGACGTAATATAAAAATATTGATTACATTACATTTTTCTCTTATACGTCTTTGCTAGAACGGTTTATTCTCTAACTTTACGGAAATAAAGGCGAGAAACAGTAAAAACTAGACGGATACATAAATGTAGAGTTTAATGCATTCAAAAAATGACCAACATTATTAGACTTCGTTTGCTATTGAGACATTTCGCGATAAAAGGATTAACGTACTCTCAAGTAAACCTAGATGTTTTTTTCTCGTGATTCCTCTGTTGAATATTCCCTAATGAACTATTCTAGCGTACAATGCATCTCTTGGTAAAATGGTTGGTGCTAAATATGCGGGTAGTATTTATCATGAAATACAACATGATAATGGTGATCGATATGTTGTAAGATTGAAGAATTTTTCTTCTTTTATTTTCTGGTCTAGAACAATTTTTTCAGTTAACATGTCGACCGGAAAAATTACGTGAATACGAACATCGTTTAATGCGAATGTTAAATCTATTACGAAAACGCGTAGTATTTATAACCAGTGGGTCTCGTCGAATATTTGGAATAATTGGAGAGCCAAGTGTATGTATTGTATGCGATTGTAAAACATCAGATAGTCGATTATTTAATCAATTTCAATCGTCGATCATAAGTCTACTTAAAGAACAAGTGACAAAAATCAAACGATTCAATGTTGTTTGGTAAAGAAACGTCGGTTTTTGATCATAAAAAAAAGAATATCTTTCATATAAATAATACTAGGGTTTCAAATGATAATGAACAATTTCAACAACAACCAATCGATGTTACAACAACAACCATTGATGAAGCTGTACGTGCAGATAGTTTATTAATAGGAAGAGCTATCTATTTTCTCGATTGAAACAAAAATTTTAAAGTTTTTAGTATTCATAAGTATGAAACATTTTTTGAGAACATCAAATATAGTTGAGCATTGGAGGTGTTTTTCTTTTAAGAAATTTTAAAATCAATACTAGGATGTTTTTTTTCTTCTTCTTTTCATTCTATTCCAAACTATTGAATATTTCAGTCGACGCTAATAAGTATCCTATTGATAATAGCTTGGGATATAATTCATCAATGTCTTCATAACATTTCCTCATAGATAAACATTGTGGAATGAAACCAGATGTTATTAATAAAGGTTGCATGTATCTGTTTAGATTGCTTGGATATCGAATCGAAAATGTATTCGAACTAAAATATCAATAAGTGCAACATGTGAAGCTATTCTTAAAGCATTTAATAACGCTGTAACATCTATTTTTCTTTTCTTCATTTATCTCAATTTATTGTTGTTGTTCTTTTTTTTTTTATCTATAAAGGTTCATAGTATTTATTTAATTAGTGAAGGAAATTCAACGGATTCTGCACGTGAAATGCTACGAGATAATATTGTTAAAACACGACTTTCAGCCAAAGCACCCATACCAATACATGTAGTTTCACTATTTTGTCATAATGAAGATACTGAAATATTTTTGCAATCACTAGCTCAAAGTGCTGATGGAAGGTATATAAATGAGTCGAAGCAAAGAATTAAAAAAACACGTGACTATTTATTTTTTCAATACTATTTTTACTTCTTAGTTTCACTTCATATAAAATTAATAATTCAGTAATTGATTTAAAAGCTCCGTCAAATTTAACTGATCCAACACGAATTAAAGTACAAGATAACAAATTAGAATTCGGCACAACTGCAGTCATACCTAAATTTGAAAATCCAAGTGATCTAACATTAATGTACAAAGAAATATTGCAATGCCAAAATATTATTGATCGTATAGAAAAAATTCTTGGCTTCATAAAAGCTGAAAGTGTCAATCCAAAATTGGCAGACGAATGTAACACCAAAAAAGAGAAGAAGAAATTTATTTTGATAATGAAAATAATATTTTTGTTTTCTTTCGTTTTAGCAACAAAATCATTCGATTCACTTAATGTGACGAATAAACTAAATAAAACTGAGAATAATTTACAAAGAAGTCTTATTGTTCAATCATCGGCATTGTTCAACAATGATGAAAAAGATTTGGCATCAGTAGATTGGTTAAAAATCTATGGAGTACAATCACAAAAATTAGATTTCTTTTCTGTTCTTCAATCAGTGGCTCTACGGCATTGCGATGGAGTAATAACGTCATTGAAACAACCAGAAGATTCCAATAGAAAAACTAATTATACTCCAGCTGTAAGCAACGTTTTCTTTCGGAGCACATTTTATATTTCCAAAAAAATATAAATCTAGATGTTAACTCATCCTTTAATGATGAATAACAAAATACTGCGAAAAATTTCAGAAAAAGTTTGCTAACTGTAGTAGAAACCTAAATGTTTCTTTTTCCTTTTACAAGATTCCTCTTTTTGATTATGCGATTTGTAGTTTAACTTCGTAGTTACTCTCTTTGAAATCAAAAACTATTATCCTTTGTTTAATTACTTATATAAATAACTCTTAGAATTCCAAAAGCAAACTAATCAATGCAAAATATTGTGATCAATTTGCTCATGTTGCTTGGCCAGATGGAACTATTCGGCATGTTTATGTAACATCCGAATTTCATCGGTATAAGAAGAAAATAGTCACTTCTATGAATATATCTAATGATTTTATGTTTTTATAGAGATTATGAAAGACGAATAAGAGCTTTGCTTGAAAAAATTAACGCACGGTAAACTTGTCAAAAGATGATCATGTCAAAATTAATGTGTCTTTCTATTTTGCTTAGATTACAATGGCTGAAACGAGGAAGTCGTGATGTTTTCGGTACCATATTAGAAAGCAATATTTACATTCTAATTGATACATCAAAAAGCATGCAAAATCATTTAGTATTTCTTAAAGAAAAATTACGCTTATTAGTCAAAGTATTATACTAATATGTTTTCTTATAGTGTTTTTTTCAAAAAAAAAGCAATTTTAGGAACAACTCTTTGGTAAAGAACGTATCAATTTAGTATCATTTAACACGGTAATTAATCCGTGGCGTGATCGATTAACAAAAATAAATAATTCAATAATTAATACTCAACTTCAACCATGGATTGATGGACTTCACACTGAGGGATCAACAAATACACTAGCTGCCATTCGATACGCACTTGCTGATTCCGGTACCGACGGCATTTATTTATTAACTGATGGACGACCGGATCAAGTAAATTTTTAACTACGAAAAAACATTTTGTATGATGAATAAACCGTTTTAATTTTTAGAATGAACGGCATATTCTTTCACAAGTTCAATATCGACAAACACTTCCTATACATACAATAGCTTTCAACTGTCAAGATCAAACAGCAAATCAATTTCTATTTGATTTAGCTAAACAAACAGGCGGACGCTTTCATGCGTTTAATTACGGCGATGAAAATGAAGCGTCCATTGAAATTCCTGAAGTCAACTATTAATTTTTGTTTTTTTCTTAAGTTGAATTTTAATATTATTCTTATCTAGAGTGAAGATATTAATTATCTTAAGCAAGAAATCATTCTGGGTGAAAAAGATTTACAACGTGTAACTGATTTACGCGATGAATGTACGAGTCGTGCATGGTCAAAAGATAATATACAAGCAACATATCAAAATTTACAGTCACCTGAAATCATGCCTTCATTACCATTGCAAAGGCATCATACACTTAATACGTCATTACAATCGAATAGTTGTAAGTGAATCTTAACCGTCTCTGTAGATCGAGATTATTGTAGCTGTTCTATGCGTATGCATGATTTTAATGAATCTCGAATACAAAATTTCTTAATTTTTCACATAGAAAAAAAAACTTATGAAATCAGCTGTACGATACAAGACTTAATGTCAAAAAACACATTCATTCACATCTAGTAAAATCAAATAGTATTCACAGGAAAATATTTACTTAAGAAATTAATCGGATGTAAATAACTTTCATGCTTCTAGGCTTGTTACTTTAACGTGAACAAATTTCACACTTTCTTATTGACAATACAGGACAAGAAAAACGTTTCTATAATTTTCACACTTCTGAAAAAACATCATACGAAGTCACTTGAATTCCTTTTTTTTAGTCACAGGTTCATATTATAAAAATTAGAAACATAGATTAACTTACCTTGTATCATTGTACAACGATGCTGGATTAAAAATTCGTCCCACATTGTTATCAGTGCTGTTACAATACAAGAAAAGTTTTTTTTCTTTCTACCCATTTTCTTCTCAACAGATTTTATTACCTTTGAAATCGAAACCTACAAAGATTCTGAATAAAATAATTCTTCTCTCGGTTTGATTATTTTTTTTCTTCTTTACTCATGTTGTTATGAGAACGATGCATACTACTAGTGATTCTCTTTTCGCCGGTAATAAAATCAGGCAATAGTAATTTTTTAATAGCTGCCATGTTACAACGGATAGACCGAAAAAAACGTCCATCAACATGTTCAATGCGTAAGCGAAAAACGAAATCAGGTACACTTCAAATTTTAAAAAAAGTACATTTTTTTCTTTCAAACATTTGATATAAATTCTTTGAAGCAATACAATTGTTTGAACAAACAAATGCAATTGACTTGAAATCAAAACAATGGCTTTTACCAGAAACCGAAGACTATTTGAGAACTAATGATAAAAGGCAACACAATGTGTCCGTGGTAGCAGCAAATGAAGAAGCAGCACAAGAACAAGGTCAGTTGAATTTTCGCATATTAATAAATCACTTTTTTTTTCTTCTATCTATCTGAACAGAATCAATAAAACGACTTCCGTAATGTTTTATTTATGATAAAATTCTTGAATAATCATGTTTTTCTTCTTCATTAAATAGACCAGCATATGCTCAAGTAAAATCATATTTAAAAAAGAATAGTTTAGTGGCAAAAGGTTTAACCATATTCGATGTACTCTATCCAATATCGGTAACGGTAAAAGAACCACAACATGTTCAAGTTATTGATCGTTATGTACTCGCTAAAGTTTGGGATGATGTAAGACTTTATAGATCTATCGATTCAATAAAGTCATTACTATCTTTTTTTTATCGTATTTAGATTTTACCATTAACCTATGGATCATATATTAATAAATTTCGATTGGTTAATCATTATGCTGTTAATTTAGAAAATTATGAGATGAAACTTAAGTCTCTAATTTCTGATTATTACGAGTAAGATACTATAGACATCAATATAGATACAATAGCTGTTATCTGTGTTTTTCTTTTAAGATTTACTTCAAAATTTATTTGGCAATATTTAACTGATGAAGATAAACAAAGGTAAGCTATTAGTTCAATATAGAAATGGATCAATAATATAATTATATTGTACAATGTTTCACGATGAGAGAGATAATTTATTTCAGATTAAATAAACTTTCGAATTCGAAATTTAAAAAAAATATTTTTTTCAATTTGTTCGGTAGATATTTAATATTCAATTGAAATATTTTAGACTTGGTCCAATTGTCTATTGGATGAGTCTATCAAAAGAAGAACAATATCAGTGAGTGAAAACTACATTTAATCTCTTTTTGTATGTTATTATAAGCATTGAATTAATCATAGAAATGCTCAAGAACTAACTAAAGAGGAATATAAAAGTCAAAGGTAATTATCTCAGTTTTGACAATAGAATATTCATATATAGTCAAATTTCAGTGTTTTGGAATTATTTACATGGCGAAAATTAACCGCAGAGGAACAGCAGAAGTTCGTATAGCAAGGATCTTTTTCTATATAGGTAAATTTTATTGTGTTTTTCTATTGGTAGCTTCTTAAAAAAGTCAGTTGATTACAACGATAAAACAGAAAATGTACTAAAAAATGCCTTACAAAATGCTGAAGCTGAATCAGCCTTGCAAGGAGTTATGCGTCTAGATGTTGAAATAAAACGTGCCATTAAATTTTTACAAATCTCAACTGATCTACGTCAACATCAAAAAAGAGCTAATGTAAGTTTTTGCTATTCAATCGCCTAGAAAATTATGAATAACAACAGAAAATTTTCCATTAGAATGACACAAAACAGGCAGGTGAACAAAAGAAAATTGTCAAACGAAAACAATTCGTAACGCGCACTATTGGCCAACGAATTATTTGCCGGTATGATGGTGATGGTTATTTCTATACGGGTACAATACAAATAAATCAAGATGGCCGAACAATTGTTTTGTTTGATACGGAGATTGAACAAGAAGCAACTGGGCATACTCTTTTACCCATAAACACTTCGAATACTCAACTTAATTTATTTGTACACGATTGTGTGCTTGTTCGAAAAGAAAGAGAAAACGAAGAATATTGGGTACCTGGCTTAGTTTTGAATCTTCCAGCTCATTGCACTTTACCATCTGATATATATCTGATAGAAGTATATGATTTAAATACGAAACAAGTAGGAATTAAAAAGTAAAAATTTAAAATTAAACATATACATTGTAGGTACATGTTCATCGAAAAGATATGATAAGAATTACTTTAGCACTTTTTCAAAGGAGTGTTCTTTACCTGCAAAATATGAAGTAAGCGAAGACTTTTCTGTGATTAAAATTTATTCAAATATTTTCTTCAGTAAAAGGTTTCCAATGAATCAAACCGTGGTAGTCATGGAACCGGAAGTAACTCCAACAAATGTACAGCCATCTCTGTCTGAAGCTGACGTTCACGGTATGCATCCCATTCGATGAATCTTTTTCTTTCTATTAATTGATACTTTTTTTAGCTATTGTTCAAGAAATCATTGATCCATTAGCACAAAAAGTTGAACATCTCAATAAATCACATCATAAGCGTTATATTAAACTTCTAACAGTAATTAGAAAAAAAACAAATTCTAATCATAAATTATTCGCTTAATTTTTTAGGCTTTAGAAGATCAAATGAATGCAATTAGAATTTTACAAGAAGGACCATATAAACCAAAATATTCAGATGATAATACTCAAACAGTTAGAATACCATCACCATCACCATCATCACCACCACCATCATCACTACTTTCGTTTATTAAACCGAAAACATTGGTGTATGCAGTATGGCATGGTGATGATGAACTTGTTTACGAGGTTTGTTAAAGCAACGAACTATTGAAACAGTCGATTCTCTAATTAGAGAAGTTAAAATTTTGAAAAATAATATCAAGATCATGTTTTTGTCATAAAAGAACATGTATTGTAATCTTCAACTTTTTATCAGTTATATTTATAGCAACATTTATAATTATGATGTTTATCTAACCAGATATTTTCGTATTTTGATTTTGGATCTTAGAAAAGTAAAGAACACCGTAAAAGTCAGATAGAAAATTAACCGAAGCAAAAAAATCAAAATTAAGTTCAGTAAAAAATACTTATATGCAAGGACGACTCCTTCGTTAAAACCATCGCGAGCTCTGTAATTATTCAAATAGAAGATTCTTTAAAAATTCTTCCGTATGCTATAAATAGATTTTGGATATGTCGACACGTCAGTGCAGTGTAAATTAGTAGACGATAATTTTCACCGAGAGGGTTTCTCATTAGAACTACTCGCCTATGAAAATTTTTGTTGCAATCTATTATAAGAATAAATCATTAATTTACGCATAGAAAAAAAAATACAAATATTGATTGAGATACAATTTCATCCTATCACAAAATAATGCGTGTTTTGAGAATATCATGTTGAGAACATATCAGCAATCCAAATTTTGAAATTTTCTAAAAAAAATTCATGTTAGTATTCAAGCTTTTATCGGATGTTTTTAATTTAAAAAAAATAACTTCGAGCAAATGGCAACAGAGTCAATAATAAGAGTCTATCGACATATGTCAGAAGATCAGATTAACTCAAGAGTTGATTTGAATGCCTTAGGAAATACAATAGTCTGTTTAGCCACTGTGTACTGTGCATTCTAAATGACTGCAGTCATTTCACAACACGCGAACGAACTAAAAGATGTTTCTATTAATTGCTGTATTGATTATTAATGTCGCAAATAGAGAAAAAAAATAAGACTATGTTGACTTGTCATAAATGATTAGAACAAAACAAAATTGTTGTTTTGACGACAGTAGATCTCAAACAACAAATCATGCATGCACAAGTAATTTCATATGAAATCAAAGAAAAGCTTATTTTACATTGAGTTATTATAACTATCGGATGTTATTTTAATATACTTCGTCGGATTAATGCTAAAACATTCCGTAATTATAAGAGTGTATATTTCAAGCGTAGTAGCCGAGAGGCAAAAATAACTTTATTTATAAAGTTCCGATGGGCATACTTAAACAAGTACTCCATAAATCTTTATTGCTATTCTGTGCCAAATACGAGCCTCTTGTTTGTATGAAATCTCATTGTTTTGCCTAATGTATATTTCAGGGTATTGTCGTAGAATCAAATCCTCCAAATTATACAATTGAACGTTTTGATTTCCCTGGTGTTCGAAGTATTATACCACGTCATGATATATTTCTTCATTCAGATCGATGCCTTTTAAAAAATACGGATGTAAGTTAATGGATAATATTTATCATTATTTTATTTTGTCATTCAAGGTTAAATCATACATTCTTGTCAAATATCCAAATGATTCTCGTCAATTTTGGTGTCCAGCAGTCGTTCTTCGTCATATGGCTAATGAATCAAAAACACAAGTTCGCTTTTACGATTGTCTTGTATTAGATATAACCCATGAGACATATGTTATGCCCATAACTGAACAACAATTTGAAATCTATTCTACGCTTCGTATCGCAAAAGAAAAATCTCTAATTAATCATGTTGTTGTTGGTTTAAATAATTTAAAAAAGACATTTATGCTAGGTAAACGAATTCGATATATATGTTTAATTTTTTCCATTTTTTGTGTACTCAAAAAGTGAGTACACTCTAGATTCGGTTAGTGTGTCCGTCCGGCTGTTAACATGATAACTCTTGAAAGCCTCATTCAATTGCCATGAAATTTTGTACACAGAATGATCTCATCAATATCTCAATCGAGTTCGAAGATGAGAAGGATCCGTCAAGAAATGGCTGAGCTATCGAAAAAATTGTCATTATTGACCAGACCATATCCGTTAGGGGAGGGGGGAGGGAGGGATATAGGGATTTTTTTCAAAAACAAAATTTTTTTTCTAAGAATTATTCACAACATATATAGGTCGACTCAGTTTTTGAAGTACACATAGCAATCGGATGTAAATCCGATGTTTCTGCATTTATTTTGTCTATAGTTCAAAATCGTTTTTTTAGGTACAATTCAAAGTCGTGTTGGAAATGGTCACCAATATTTAATTGAATGGTGTTGTGCAACTGTATCAGAGCAAAGTGATGAGCATTTATTCGGAGCATTTACTCGTCGTAATAATCATAGAATTGGAGATTATGTTTTAGCTATGGATAGTGTTGAAAGCATTTATAGACTAGCCGAAATTCTATCTATAACAGATGATCGAAAAACTGTTAAAGTCAGATTTATCGATCCCAATAATATTAACGATACTTTATCATCAAAGTAAAAGAATTCTTTTTATCGAGACATGCGGAAAACATTACTTATTTTTGCTTGTAGAGAAGTTGATGTTCCAACGACAACTACATTTGCAATTACTAAAACATATTTTAACAAAGTTATCGGTCTTCTTCAAACGTGACATTGCTCTCATGCATTCATTTTTCTTATCCTTCTTTTTATTCTACATCCATAAATATCCTTTTTCTCCTTAGATAAAACACCTATGGATATATGAATTTGTATGTCTATTTTTTCTTAAATACGTCTGTGGTTTTATTAAAAAAGAAAAGAAGGAGAAAAAAGAAGAATTCCAGAAAAAAATTTCTTTTATGAATATTCTATGTCATTTACACGTACCATTCTCTTGAATCTACACCATTTTGTTCATTTGATGATATCAATTTCTGACGATGCTGTTGTGACGAAGATATTTTACCATGAGAACCACTTTTATCATGCTTGTCTATGCGAGGAGTTAGAACAAAATTTTTACTTTCATCGATTTTATATGAACCTTCATCACGATTTCGATATTTAACAAATGCACAAATAATTATTATAATTAAAATAATACTTGCGCTTATACATCCTATAAGTAATGTTATATTAAATGTTCGATTTGTTCCCTGTTGTGTTGCTGATAGTGATGCTTGTAAAAGACTAACATTAGAAATGGCAGTTGTTGTTGCTGTTGTTGCTGTTGTTGCTGCTGCTGCTGTTGTTGTTGTTGTTATTGTTGTTGATAAAAGGGAGTTAACTGTGGCTGCTGCCATAGTTAACTGATTAGAGTCACTATCAGTAAGACGATTATTTTCGTTCGGTGACATTAGTTTAGCAATGCTTTTAGATATTGGCTGATCGATAAAGAAAGGCACAGCATTCTTCTGATGAAAAGCTGAGGTTTGTTCTGAAGTGACAATGCCAGTAAAGAAGAAGCGCGGCGACGAGCGAAAAATATCAAAACCACTTGATGAATGGTAAATGGTCTGTTGATGTTTACAAAAAGATAGAGGTAATAATGGCAAGAAGGAAGACAAAAATGACGAATCGAATAAGTGAAAATAGTACTGATGACCACTTTCAATAAAAACTAAAATAAACAGAACTTGTAATTATTCATTTAAAAAATGTATATCAACCGCTAACGACACATAAGAATAAAAAATGTGTTTTTTTGCATGTAAAAGCCTCGTTATCGTGATAAAAAAATGTTGAGAGAAATAGAGGGGAAATGGATGTTGGTGATGGTAATTGGATAGAAAGACAGAGAAACACAGTTAGAGGAAAAGATCCTTTCTCTCGTCTTCTTCTTCTTATTCTTCTTCTTCGTCTTCTTTTTTCTATCTTATATTTTTTGCCTGCATATGAATGCAAACGAACAGCAGCTCTCGTATGGCTTGCCACTACAACTACTCCAGACGATGACGGAAAAGCAAGAACGACGATGCAACGGACTCATAACAATTTTTGTGACGCGAACAAGAAAAGGGAGAAGACATACACAGTGTAGACATGTGCAAGCGTAAAACTAGCATTACTGGAAAGAAATAGAATTTTATCACATCACCCTGTGAGTAGAACAAAAAGAAAAACGCATTCACATCCCCAAACATGCACGCTACATGGCGCTGTTCAACTCTCCGTGAATGAATCATTGGTGCCAATGGATTAAATAAAATAGACGAAGAAAAACAAAATAGATATGCATTTTAAAACGATATTGAAAAATGTTCAACAATCAAATCGATGAGTAACTAAAAGAACAACATAATTTATGTGTATGCATAACAAACTTTATTACATCTATCCTTCAAGCCTAATCGAAATGCAACATACGAAACATTATTGCTCTTAATCCAATACTAATATGCAATTGTATATGACAAAGCAAAAATTGCTATTAACAAGTTTAGACATATGCATTGACAAAAATACTTCACTCATCGGAAATACATTCGATAACTAGATTAAGATTATGGTTATCTTTTTATGATCGATAGTACATTTCTTTTGCTTACTTCTTTCTGGTTCACTATTAGTTGTTTGACATGACCTTGAAAGTATGAAGTGACTTGCCGAATGGTTTTCAGTTGTAATACCATCAATCGAAATGATGAAGATGATTAGATAGATAATAATCATGATTGAAATTGATGTGCATTCACTGTGTTACAATTATAAAGGATTACTAGCAGACTATATTGCTCTCTCTCTCTCTCGCTCTCTCCATCTCTCTTTCGCTTGGTTATTTTTCCAATATATTGCTCTGTTGGTTAATTAATCGCACATTTTGATTACGACAACACTGTTTAATGGAAATCTGTTCAATGAGATCAGATTTCATCATCATAAAAGACACCGATGCCATATACAATTTTTTTTTCTCTCTTCTATATTTGCATGACTTGAAATGCCAATTGATAAATAAGCAAGGTGAAACTTGAAGAGAAAGGCAAATTATCATGATATGACTGTACAAATAAATTGTTTTACTCGATAGTTTATTTTTGTTCATTGATATTTAAATGAGCCGATTGTGAAAATTAGACTATGCAGGTGTAGTCAATCATATTTCAATTAGACACCAATTTTCTAACAAGAAGACTATCACGCGTTAAAGGAGCATGTAGACAACATATGTTGAAAGCCGGAACGACGAGAATAGAAATTCATGTAGCTTTATTCAATAGTAAAGGTCATATCATCAGTATCATTTAGTTATCGTTTTCGAATAATGTTCGTCTATTTCTGAATGGTAAATTGTCATAACATTTAAGAAAAGCATCTGCTGCCATAATTAATGTATTGCTTTTTTTCATTCTAAACGAAGCGAAACGAAGTTTCGTAGGCATACGCGAACGAATTCTATGTAGATGAAGAGAATTCAAACGTTAGAATATGAGAAGTATTTAATGATGAAAATTATGGTGGTTTCTTGTATCGCTATCTAATGAAGTATTTTTTGTGGTTCTGTTAACATCGACTGTGCACGAGTTTAGTCACGTGTCTCTTGATAAAACAGAACAATTATGACTAAGTAAGCAAAAATTCTCTACTGTACAATCCCAAGAGTAATCACGATTCTTGAAAACTTCATTCAATTTATTACGAATAGAAAACTGTTTCCGATATGTGTTTACTGCTAAATAATGTAAAATAGACAATAACATTGCTTATAGAGGATTTTCTCCTTACAAAAAAAAGCTATACACCTCATTAATTACACTCATGTTATATCGATATATGGAAGTTAATGGATACACATAAAAAATAGTTTTTTTTTATTCTTAGCTGAACAATAGAAGTAAGAAGAAGAAATATTTTTTGTGTATTTCAAGATAATGCATTTTATCACAACATGATTAAGAGTTTATTTGAATGTATGAGCTGCTGTTATGGAGTGAACTATAGCTATTTGTTTTAATCGGCCTGCAATTATTTTCATTAAGTTTTGAATCGTCATCTATCAGTAAAATTCTTCACATAAAATCTCATATTTGGATTTTTTAGAAAAAAAGATGAAAATTTATACTAAATTAGTCTTTTTTTTTATACATGTGACTAGATATCTGGTAAAAAGTATACTTCAGATTATCCACTAGTTGCAGAAGTAGCATCATGAGTATTAGTATCACTTATATCTTTTTTTCGTTGTTGTCAAATTTAAAACTTATTGACGTCTCGTAGGAACAAAAACTTTCTATTCAATCAAAGGGTTTTATGATCGAACAATACGAGCTCATCGATATTGTGTGTAGCTGAAAATGGAGATATCTGTAACATACTTAAAAGTAAAATACTTTATGCGTTTTACATAGTATTCATTGACTTATGTATATAAGCAATTAACTATTCGAGGACTTCCGTTTTTTTCGTTTTGCTTTTGATTATGAAAAACATCATTCTACTTATGTAAGATTTGACAGAGTGCTATATCAAATATTTAAGTTTTTCATAGTAAGAGTTAGAGCACTCATTGATTTAAGTACGAGTCTAGATAATCATATAAAAGCTTTTTCCATAATCGAAATCATGTCGTACACTTACAATCACAGAACTATGACTATTGACTTGCTTCATATGGAAAACAGCTATTTTATTGAAAAAGAAAAAAAACCAATTTACCTGTATGTCGTTCTTGGTCTCTTATCATTATTTGATTATTACCATATTTTGACTTCTTTTGCAGATGATTTCACTTGTTTCAGTTGGAAATTGGAATAGATGGGTTGCTTAAAAGACCACAAAAGTGCCGTACCGTTTTCTCAACATTCAAATGGACATTTTGAATGTGATCGAATTATACGCTGTATTTGCTATCACCGAGGATCAACGACTCCAAGATTCAAAGCGAACAGACTAGTTCTTTATTATTATATTGGTTGTGAATTTGTTCATGTCGACTCGATCATTAACGAAAAAGTTTGCAGTTCAAACAGACCTCTCATTGGTAGGTGAATTGGTAGAATTTATTGCATTCATTGCCGTTCTCAAGAGAATGAAACTATTTCTCTGGAAACTTGTCGGAACAACAAGTCTATCAGGGTTGCTGGTTTTCCTTAATGAACGATCTCGTTTTCAATATCGTTCATTGCTCTTGACCAATATTTTTTTGCAAGATTTTGGGAGAAATTGACAGTATTTTTAGCATTTGCAACGTGTTTCTCGGTGGAAATGACTTATTTGATACTAGCTGCTCAAGAAGCCAAACAATGGAATGTTCCTTGTAGTCAAGACAAGCCTATTTATGTTTATATATTTGCATCTCAACCCCTCGCCCTCCTTACCATATGCGCGATCACTATTTGGTACCTCAAGATGCGATTTTTCAGTTAATTTTTTAGTTTCTGTAGCTCCTCGTAAATTCGCACTAGAAATCTCTATTGTTTGTAATTGCTTTTCTAATAAATATCTTAAAGATGTGGGTGGGACTGATATTCTGATCAACATCTATACGTTTATCTAGACTTCAAAATTAATACGTTGTTGGCACTTGTCAATAATAGACTTGATGTAGTCAATGAACTGTAAAAAATAGCTTTAACTTGACCTCGGGTTAAGCTGACATGTGAAATTTGCACTTTGTATTCCTCCAAGGACCTCATGATACAAATAAAAGACGTGCCAACTACCATATCACAACTTGATGAATACATCAGCATGCGATTATAAACATAGAAAAAAATCGCTGGTGTTGTTCTGCAAAAAGATTGCTATGTTTTACACTACTATTTATGTCAATCTGTCGAGTACGAGATCAGTTTATTCTCATAAATTTTGATACTGACTGTTGATTTTTTTGTAAAAGAGCACTAATATAGTAAAAAAATAAAATGTTTTGAGTGATTCAAAGGTAGTTATGACTCGTCGTGAATTTTATTTTATTTTACACGATGAAAAAATCAATAGTCATTCTTGTCGATCTACAGGTTTATAATGAATCGTAATAGAAGCACTTAGGAAAAAAATGCTATCGATTGCAATACTATTTGTTGGAGATGCTTGAATGAAGCATATATAATAAGATTCTTCGTATGTATCCCTCTGTAATAGATGAAAGTAAACTTAGTTTTAGACGATTGGTACACCTCTATTCGTATTTGACCACTATTTATACTTTAATGTATACTACAGAAAAGTACGATAGACTTATTCCGATAGAATTTGCTCAACATATTCTTTATAAGTTGATTTCATGAAATTTCAATCGAATTTCTTTATATCCATTGTATGACTACAATCGGAGTCAATAAAAACGTGCCATGAATATTAAGATTTTTCTTTGGATAAACGCTTCTTTATTCAATAGTTAAACTATTACAATAACAGAGCTAACAAAATGAAAATAATCATTTAAATAATTAATAAATAAATTCAGTATATTGTCATTATATAATAATATATAGTTCTAAATATACGAATAATAAGAAATAAATTCTTCCAAAAAAAAGAAGCATGAAACTCTAAAACGTGGAAAATTTAAATGATTTATTTTACATTGAATTGCAGAAATAAGTAATCGATCTACTGGATGTATAGTTTGATAAATAGATATTGCTTGTCTGTAATTCTGTGATGATTCATAGATATGTATTGTTTGCGCATGGATATTACCAAAAATAACATATGTATTAACTAATGATGCATCTCGAGAAAGATTTCGTGTAAGTTGTATGTTAAGTAACGTTTGAAAACAAAGTAATGCTCGATTAAAATTCTGTTGTTCCAGAGAAATATTACCAAGAATCACGCAAATATCTTCGGATGATTGATTTTCAGCTGTGCCATGAATCAATTTTTCTTGAAATAAGCAAATGTTTGATTCAAATGACGTTTTTCAAATTCACGATTGTATAACAACGATTGAGTTGACATGTGAAGTGTTTCATGTCGTAGACTCGGGTTAAATCTAAGTTCAATGAATTTGTTCAAATAATCTGAACCACGATGAAAATGATTTTTCTTCAAATAAATCTTTCCAATCATTGTATAAGTATCACATATTGATGGGTGTTCTATTTTTTCTGTTTTCAATAGAAAATCAAGTAGTCTATTAGAATAGAGCCATGATTGAGTATAATTATCTTTTGCAAAGTAAAGAGTAGCAATAGCTTTGTGAATAGTTTTCAATGATCGATCATCAGTTGTTTTCCGTGCTAATGCACGATCTAACAAAAGCAAAAAATATTTCAATGCTCCATCGAAATCTTTTTGGTCAAAACAAATATTTTCTACAATATAATACTTCTCGATTAGTGATAAACAATTTCCTGAATGTTTTTTTTACCTTTTTATGGATTAGCCGTTTGAAAATAATGGCACGATTGTTCTAAATGACATTTTTCAAAATAAATTGCTGCTATCAATTGATGCACATCGACCGATATATTATCATTTAGTAATTTGTTTTGTCAGGTTTCTCGTAATATAATAATGTTTGATCAACATGATGTTTTTTAAAAAACAAATTTCCAATTAAATGATAAGTTTCATCAGTAACTGATTGTTCGAATGGCTTTTTTGTCTAAGCAGCAACCAAGACAACGATAAAAATAAACTAGCGATCGATTTAAAGAACGTTTGTTTTATAAATAGAAGCTATTAAAATATCTTGAAGTAATTTAGTTTCTAATGCATCATCAAGCAATTTAAAACATAATTCTAATGCTTCTTCTAAAATCGAATCATCTAATACAACGTCGTCAAGTTTTTGATAAGAACTAGTGAGTGATGATGTATGACCAAGTTGTTTTCTTTCCAATTGAGCATCAAGAAGTTTAAGTGTAAAAATTGATGCTTTAGCATAAGTTTTATTTTTCATATCAATATCTTCAATAGCTCGATAAGTAGCCATAACTGATGGATGTCCGATTAATGTATAAGCTGTTTTTGATTGATGTTCAACACATTTTGTTAAATTTTCTAATGCCAAATTAAGTTTGTTCACTTTATAATGTGCATCGGATAGAGCTGCGCAAGTTTCCCATTTATTATAATTTATCGATGCAACTTTGGAAAAAGCTTGCAAAGCAGGATTATAATCTTTTTGATTGACATAAATAGATCCCAATTCATTATAACATAATGATAGAAGTGCTTGGTTATTTGTCGATGGTGTTGCTAACGATAGATTATCCAATGTATATTCTAATGTTCTTTTAATATTTTTAAGAGTTAAATCATAATCACCTTTTTTTATTATTAACTTGTGCTAAACCATAATAAGTATAGGCTAATTCGAGACTATCCTTTACTAAATGTCCTTCTCAGCGGTACCCCGACCATTCCAACTTTGGAGGGGTGTAAAAATTTTCTCCTTCAAAATGCTAGGATCACGGGTGTCGCGAGAAAGCAAAACTTGGGTGAGGGAGTAGCTTATAAAATCCTATTTTCCAAAAATGTTGAGAAGGAATAACCAGTGTTACCAGATCTTCCATGATCTTGAAAAATCCTGCGTTTTCACAATTTTCCCTAATTTTTTTCAGAACTTTTCCAGATTTTTCGGATTTTTTCTCAATTTTTCTGGATTTTTTCGAATTTATCAGGAGGTTTTTGGATTTTTTGAGGATTTGACATTTGAATTCTGGATTTTTGAGTTCAACATTTGCCAATACTGAGAATAACTTATAAAATCACGCTTAAGATAGTATNCCCCCACCAGTCGGGGCACCCCTGGTCCTTCTATAACATTATGAAAATATTCTTCGGCATGATCATATTCAAAGACTTGAGTAAAATAATGACCAAGTGAAATAGATCGACCTTGTCCATCTGTCTTCGTCTGCTGATGACAAAAATTCCTTGACGTCTTCATCATCTTCTGCGCATGATTTCAATTTTATAATCCAAATTTTTGTTTTTTTCATCTTGAGAAACATCGTCAATGCGAAAAATCGTGGCAAACATAAAAAGAACCTCTTCTTCTTCGGCAAAAGCACCAAACTGTTCTATACCAGCAAATGGTTTAGTAGTAGAATTTAAATCAACACTAATTTCTAATAAAGCCGATGTTAATTGATCATTTGGTGGTGAACGACTTATTGCAAATTCTAAAGCTTTCTCTCTCTCTCTCTCTGTATTTGTTGATAAAAACGCATTCACTGATAACAATTCTCCAAGACTTGTTTTAAGACGATTCAATTCAACTTTACTAATGAGTTGTGCTCGATAAAATGTAAGATTTGATGTTTTTTGTTGTGCAATAAATAATCTATGTTCGTCAGTTAATTGATAACTTAAGTCCTTTATGTAGGGTCCCAATGGGAAAATATCATAAAAATTTTGTGTTCTTAAAGATTTATTTAAAATTTTATAAATACCTGTTTCTCTTGTATACCAATTAATTGCTTTTTCTACTTTATATCCTGTATCGAATTCCGTAATATTTTCTTTATCTTTTTCGTTTTCTGGTTGAAAATATTTAGCAAGAGATGTTTCGTTTACCAGCGAATAAAATATGTCATAGTGACAAAACAGAAGCGATATGCAAGGCATATACGCTAGAAAAAACTTACTTGAATGTATAACGAGTACAAAAAGAAAAGCAACCAAATAAAAGTTCGATGAAATGTAGCGTCTAGTCGCATAGTAAATTATTTCTTTTTATAAAATAGCAAAAAAAGGATGGATTAGGTATTGTTAATATAGAATAACGATAGTCCACTAGAACCTCAATCCTGTACACAATTTACATTGAAATTAGATAAAATATAAATCAATATTCGTGAAACACTATTCAGCTTTTCTTTTTAACTTTTGATTTATAATTGATGAAAATAGTTTCAGCTAATAATTATCTAATCTATTTTTGTTTTGTTTCGCTTTTGCTTGTCACGAAAAAGAGAATTTTATTCACACTAAAGAGAGAAAATATACCGATCTTACTACTTTTGTTTAACGGTTATAGTACAAACAGAATTTATTGTTTTATATGTCAGACTCACTCGTATAGCTATCGTAACTAATAATAAATTGATATTATCTGAAGAATCTCTTTTAAAACGATCCAAATAAATTCTTTCGATTAGCGATGTTATAAAATAGGATAAAAATAAATCAATAAATATGTATTGTTTGTTAGCCCTTCAATAGTTTCTAGATAGATTGTAGACTTGAATTCTCGTCGATGAACTTTGTTAAAATTATAGAATTCGATTTCTTACAATAATCTATGAAAAAACTAAACTCAGACGAAAATATTCGTATCTAATTAGTAGTGAAAGCTAATATGGTAGAAAAATTTACAAGTTCACAAGTTCAAATTTTAGCTTTTCCTTCTGACTGTGCCATTGAGGATTTTATTTTGATTTATAACATAGCAACATAAATTTGTCATAAATCGTTTGATGCAAAACAAGTTCGTTTAGACCAATCTTATATTTGACCTTTGTGCTTTATCTTACTGAAAATTTTTGCACTTGAATCATACAGGTAGCAAATAAATTATTCAACTTTTAAAAAAGTCTGTTGCTTACATAACTAATATTTTATTTACACATCGTAACGCAGGAGCACTCTGCATCCCTCTCGAAGAGTCTTCTCTGTTTATCAATTGAAACTCTGGCTCTGTATCTATACAGATAGGATGGTCTTTTTCTTCAATTGTACTTCTTAATTATAATAAATCAATTTTCCCTCTTTTTACTTCAGTAGTGTCAATCAAATTCTAAAAAGTTGACTACTATTAAATTCAAATTAGACGTGCATTCTCACTATATGCTTTGTAGAAAATACACATTGTGCACTAATTCATACTTGAGAAATATGTCAATATTTACTAGATATTGTTCTTTTTTTTTATCTATCCTTTTCTTTGCAACAGTAATGTTTTTTTTCTAAAGAAGTTTCTATTAGTGTTGAATACATCCAATCAATCACTCGTATCATCACGAACCATGAAATGTAATCATATAATGGATTTGTTTACGATCGTACTGTTATCGTTTGCTTGGTGTGTTTGCAGCGGTATATTTTGATAACGCTATAAATAGGGCGTGTGCTATGACGAATAATTGATTTAATTCCTTTTTACACCTTGCATAGTTTTTATGGAATATACTTTTTAATTATCTAAAATCAGGTTAATCAATCATTCTTTTACTGGCACCATAAAAAAAATTTCGTCAATCTCTGTTTGGTTCGCTTGTGAACTTTTCACTTGAAAATTCAGTGACTCATACGAAAGGGAAATACCGTTATTTTGTATTTTAAGTCATTTTGAACTCAGTTGAAGGGAAAAAATAAAAAATAAAGTATTCTGATATATTCACTAAAATACTGTATGAAACAAACGTAAGAAAACAATTATGATCTACATGTTTATGTATTGAATTCATATAGAAGCAGTAACAAAAAGTTTGCATTTGAAAGTCATCTTCTTGCACTTGCACTCATCAGAGATGTGTTTTGAATACCAAAACACAAGACCATACAGGCTGATGATTACACATTTCGTTTAGGACCATGTCTATTCTACTTCAGAAACCAGCATCATATTATTGATATTCGAGACGAACACCATAATTTGAGGACAAAATGAAAAAAACAACAACATAAAAACCTATCATTCAATGATATTTTTAACTATTTGAGATTATGTTATTGAAGAAATCAGATGAGGGTACTGATGAACTAATTATTGATTGCGGTCGACATGTTCACCCTTATCCAGATAGACAGCCTTCTAATTGTATTTCATGTAAAAGTGACTGTGACATTCAAATGTCTTCTTTTTTGTTACGATGCGCATTTCTAATATAATAAATTTCGTGCTCAATTATTTTATCGATAAAAGAAGATATTCTGTCATAGTCGATGTTTATTGGCTTGAACAAATGGCGCTTTAAAAAAAATTAGACGAGACATTCAATGCGCAAATTATCTCTACAACGCGTATATGGTTGCTCAACCGCTCATCGGAATAGCATTATTGGTTTGCCCGATAACCGTGTTGCTTTTCTAGCTGGTTCATATTTAGTTATACATGATTGTTTAACAAATGAACAGCGTTATCTATCGTTTTCTGCTATTGAACTTCTCTATATATCATCAAGTGGTTCATTGATGGGTATCATAGATCGTTTTACACAAAACGGAGATACACGTATACATATATATTCAACAAAACCCGTCGATTTACTTTTTGTTATCGAACCAGATAGGTTCGGAAGTTTTATTGAAATAACTATAAATAAAGATGATAATTTACTGATGATTTTACACAATGAGCCAGCATATATGATTACAATTCGTAAGTGAAACAAAAACGAAACATAGCTGAAATCTTTATTTTTCAACTTTCTTATATATATTAGAGGAAATGAAAATTGAATTCGACGAACAACAAAAATTCAGTATGACTGATTCAGCATCAGTACATGTTGTTCATGGATCTGTTTTTAATCGTATGATAAAAAAAGAAATTATACCTCATGTTTCATTTGTTAGTTTTTGTCCGTATTCGTCCAATCTTTTTTGTGCGACTGGCCCAGCATTATTTAAGATGTATGAAATTGATAATCAAAATGTTAACCAACAAATTGTTCATTTTCGAGCTGAATTTTACATATTTACATGTCACTGTTGGCTTGATATTAATAGTATCTTAGTATGAAAGGATACTTTTAATTGCCATTGAATTTTTCTTTTCATAAGGCAGCTACTGATCACGGACATATATTTTGGATTCACGATGGTTCTATTCGTTCAGATATTAATCTCGAAGAATCGATTACTGTTGACTTAGATTTCTTAAAAGCTTCTACATCAAACGAAAGTTCGAATCGACAGTCGATGTCGAAAACACCTCCATCAAAAATGAATTTATTAGGAAATGGCAAGATTTAACCATTTCCTAGTCTTTCATCAATTCTATTTCTTTCTAGACCCAACAGAACCGCTCAAAGATGATGCATCACCAACGAGTAATACTAATTTATCGTTGACTAACGACAAACAAGTGAAAACTCATTTGGATGATTCACCGAAAAACGACAAAATATCAGAAGAAACTATCTTATATCTTGATATTTTTACATCGAACGAAATTTTACCAAATTTTATAGTTTCATTTCGAGAATACATACTTGTAGTACGTATAAGCAAAACTCAGAAGATGAAAAAGACCTATGTTTCACATGAGATTATATTTTATTGTTACTTTATTTTTGTCATGCTTCTTTTTCTAATCATATTTATAGTTTACTCCAACTGCTGCTGTTGAACCATTCTTTCAAATAATTTCACGTTATTGTCTTCACACAAGCAAAGACCATCAAATTGATTTCGAAAAACATAATATTCATAAAATGTCGTATATTTTTGATAATAATCTTTCTTTAATTTACTTGCTAACTGATCGCAATCAAATTTTTCGTCTTAAAATCAATCAGTCCAAAGCTAAAATCGAATTCGAGGAAAAATCTATCTATGGTTTTCATGCCTACAATATATTATCTATTGGTTTATGTGCTCATAAATCTTGGTTAATTACTCTCGGTGGTGATAATTTAATAAAAATCTTGGATTATAAAGATAACGATCGAGAGATTGTATCGAAATCGATTTCAGATGATGCAAATGTAGTCACAGGTAAAAATAAATAAAATATTTATGTCTATTGAAATTCATTTTTGGATGAATTGAAATTCAGGATGCGATCCATATGGTTTTCATCTATGTCTAGCAATGGACAATCGCTTTCAATTATATTTGATAACAAATTATGAATTACGTATGTTGCATCAATTCGAAACACGTAGTATACAAGGTTTAGAAATCAGTCAATCGGGACATTTAGTAGCTGTTATAGCAAATAATTTAATAAAAATTTATTCAACAATTCATTTTAAATTGATAAGTCAATTGCGTGGTCATGTTGGAAAAATAAAACAAGTTAGTTGGACTAGACATGATTCCGTTCTTATTAGTTGTGGAACAGATGGAATGATTTATATATTTGATATTTTTACTGGTAAGATTTCATGTTGCGTACATTTTGATTTTCTGCTTAACAATATGAAAAGGTATGAGAGAAGGTGAAATAATAACCAAACAATATCGCTATGGAGGTCTTGCTGTAACAAATGATGGCGTTCGTATCTATGCAATAGCATCTGATTCAAGTATTAAAATATTTAATAATACAAATTTTGAACAAGAATGGCCCATTGAAAATGGTTTTATTCCATCAGCTATTTGTTTATCGAAATCCGAACGTTTACTTTATGTTGGTATGACACATGGCATCATTCGTGTTTATACAATTCCATTAGTAGTTGATGGTTATGTTGATTTACCAGCGCATAACTCAAGTATACGACGCTTATTAGTATCATATGATGATCATTATTTAGTATCGATTGCTGAATCTGCTTATATACTTCTGTTTAAACAGACAATTAATAATTTGAGTTCTGTTTCGAGTTCATATAAATTTTCAAAATTATCAAGAGAAAATGTAGACACTATTAATGAACCTCAAGCAAAACAGATTATGTTTGAATATATTTTAGTCACAAAATCAGAATATGATGAACGACAACGAAGAATCAACGAAATTCAAACTAGCATTAAGTGAGTTGTAGTTTAGGTCTCGTTTCGATTCCGTAGATCTCAATTTGTTTAATCAAAGTTGATTTTCACAGTTATAAAGTTATAACGATCGATAAGAATTTTACAGAAACCTGAGATTTGATGACCATTAATCAGTAGAAGTAAGATGAAACGGGAGTGTTATCGATGAACTATTAACAGCGAGAATGTGAATATCGTTTTGATAGACGGATATGATGATTTGTCTTCTTCTAACTCACTGAAGTACTAGTAGTTTGGGATGACGCGTTCGTTAAGAGCGATCTCTTAATTAGGAACAAATAATTTTCTTGAGTTTTTACGATTCTTTCGTGAACTTGAAATTATTTTTTCTTCTTAGTGAGTTCGAAGCAGAAAATAATTTAAAATTAAGCTCAAAACAAATCGAGTTTTCTCAGCACTTGAACAATTATTCAAATAACTTTCAAGTGACTATGAAAAAACTTCTTCTTACCTATGAACAATTAAAAACTGAAATTGCCAATGATGATTGTGACTTTTTCAATGAAGCCAATGCAATAGAAGAAAGATATACAGCACTACAAACTCATACTGAAGCTATTTATGAAAATAAAATGATAGAGACGGTTTGAATTCTTTTTTTGCTATAATTAATCATTCAAATAAAAAATTGATCCGATTTTGTTTCAACGTTTAGTTGTCTCATATTCAAAATACGCAATCTCAATTAGAAGAACTTGAAAAAGAATATAACAATAAAATAATTAATTGTAATAATAAAGAAAATGCGAATCTAACTGAAATAATTAACAAAATTAATTTAACACTTCAATCAGAATGGCGTTCAGCTGTTCATAATCATGGAGCCATTTGTGAGAAAGAACGTGAAACAAACGAATACATAAGACAAATGGAAATAGATATTGACGATGAAATTGAAAGTGTTAAAATAAATTATGAAAAAGAATTGAACTTTTTAAATGATTATGCAAAGCGGCTAACTTTGAATGTAAGTTACGAAGATTTCAGAGAACGCTGACAAAGAAACACTAGTTTCCTATTGAAGGAAGAGTTCAAATTGTATTCTAATGTTCTTGTTCCCCAAAACAATCGCCGAGTTATTTCTATCAATTTTCAGTGTGATTCCGCTTCGGAGTGAATTTTTGTTTTTGTTTTTGTTTTATTTTACTCTGATTGAGACAATAGAAAACAAGGATTCTGTTTTCAATTTTGATTCATCAAATTTATATTTATATAATCCTAGCAGAGATTAAAACGTAAGGCATTTCAGGTAGTTTATTTTATCTTAATTCGACAAGTTCGGGATTACTTTTTTTCTTCGTAAAAACAACTTCGGGGCTTCATAACATTTCGAGTACTAGACTTATTTAAATTTAAAAATAGACACCGATGAACTTTTCGTCAAGAGAAAGCCGACAAGAGACATTTTTGTTTTTTTCAATAGCAATTTGTCAATTCATTAAATCGGTAGAAGTTATTGTTCGAAAAATAGAGCTTCACTCTACTTTTGTATGAATCTCTTCAACAGTTTCATCTTGTTACTAATTAGTTCAAATGAAATAGCTTTTTAAAAACTCGTCTTATTGTAAGATGAACTACTAAATAACGCAACGACAATCAATGTTGATTATTTTTTGTTCTTTTGTTTTAGGTGAGCACTCTTCGTAAACGTTATAATACGATAATTGATCGATTGGAATCGCGAGATGTCAAAAGAAATGATATTGAAAGAGAAGTCCAAGAATTATACAAACGCCAATCTGAATCAATAGAGAAACTTGATCGTTTTCGTTCGAGTATGGGAAAAAAGTTGTTTATATTAATTAAAAATTTTGCAAGTACATATCGTTTAGTTATTAAAAAGAAAGAAGATCGTATAGGTGCGCATGATATTAAATTACATCGTTTACAACAACATATATTACATGTTGAGAAAAGAAAATATGTTCTGGATTATAAAACAAAATCCTTATTAGAACGTATTGAACCAATCGACCAAGAAATAATACGATTGAAAAATAATAATCAAAATATGGAACAACAATTAACAATTCTTAAGCAACAACAAAATGATTTGATTTTACGTGAAAATGAATATGAAGTGAAACTTAATGAATCGTCTAAGCGATTAAATCTAGCAAAAATAAATCATCGATCGATATGGAAGATAGTGCAACAACAGAAAGGTTTGATAAATGATCAAAGACAATCGGTAACATATGTTATTCATTTAGACACAATAAAGAAAGCATTTGAATATATTGAAATCAATTGTGCACTTGATACAACAAATACAAGACATAATACAAAGGAACAATTGAAAAAATTCATTCAAAATATGTGTAATACGATGCAAAATGAGAAACAAACTGAAAATCAATTAGAGATACAAGGTTTTATGAAAGAATGGAATAATCAACGAAAATGGTTACTGAGTCAAGTAGGAGAAATTTTAATGATCTAACTTTGTTTAACGATGCTAGAAAGGCAATGCTTCAACGAATCTAGATCAGAAATGTGACTTCAGGTTGTACGAATCACGATAGACATTGTTACGAAACCGAAAATCATATTATAACGATGATTAAAAGGAATGACTGTTGACTAGAGGCCAGTTTACATTGAGAAAAATGATTCTTTTCTTTCATCGATTTTTCAAGTATCATCATAGATCATAAGCAAGTCACAAAGAATTAAAGAGTACTAGCTGTTGGCATTTTTTTCTAAAATTTTCATTAACAATTGCGACATATGTCGCAACGGGGCTTTTTTTCTAAGAACTTAGTCGAAATTATTCTCACATATGTGGTGAAACATAAATTGAAATTATTTTATTTTCAATAGAATATAATTGTATTCACAAGTTTATTTGTCAACATCTTCAATACATCTTGAGTAATAAAATTTTATAACTACCCTTGAACAGACTTTGTAAGAAGAGGCTACTTGTAAAATTCTGACCTTCAAATTATGTTTATTTTTCAAGTATTTACTATTGATTTTATTGATTCGGCATTGCCTATTTAATTAGCAAAATATAATTTGTCAGTAACATTCGAATCATTGGTTCTTTTTGCGGACTAAAGACTCACGATCTTCACTAGTTGATAATAATAAAAAACTCAGCATTAGCGATTTCTCTGAGTAATCCAAACCAAATTCTGTTTTCTTTTTTGCTTTTAAATAGCTAAATGCTCTCACTCAATACACTGAAGAAAATAAACAATCATTTGCAAATATTCAACGTGAACACCGCAAAAGTAAATTAAAAATAATCATATCACTATAATTTATTATTTCGCTATTCAGGTATTGCGCCATTCATAAATCAACTTCGTGAGTTGCATAATCTATATGACGAAATTCGAAAGAAAATTCGAAAACGTTTATTATCATTAAAAATCAAGACGAATGAACAAGGAGAATTTCTACAGAATATATCAGATATACTGCACGGAAATGAAAAAATACATTTGAGAGTTCATCAAATACATCAAAATGAATTATTGATTGAAACTCAAGACAAAGAAATGGATCGTTTACATTCAATTATATTTCGTTATCAATATTCAACGCCATGTTTAGAATTCCTTGAGAAAAAGTTAATTCATAGCAATGAAAATAGTACAACAAAATCAACAAATCCATTATCATCTTTTAAACTACTGACTAAATAAAACATTTCAGCTGCCTCAAAAATAAACATAAACTCGTATTCATTGTACATGCCGATTGTTTTAAAATAGATTGAAGTGTTTTATTGAAAGAAAAGTAACTAGAACAATAAATGAGCTGCCATTCTGTTGACTGTGTCTGGATAAAAGACACGTAGTGTTCAGACACTATTATTATTATTATTATTATTCAACGTGATTGAACAGTAAAGAATTATTCTTTATACTGAAGAAAGCAAGAATTCGTTAACTTTCAATTTAAATAGCTTCTCTTTTTAAAATTGAATTCTCCTGTCTGTCTGTCTGTTTTATCGTCATACAATAAAGAACAAAAAATAGATAGAGCCTTCAGTCAATCTACTTAAGATTACAATTCCGAAGTAAACGATCATCGACGGACGACGACAGGTGGTCGTCATACTAAAAGAACGAAAAGCGCGTTTGAGCGGGAGTGCTATTCAATACTCTCTTTCTCTCTATTCTCGCTAGGGTATAGTGGTTGCAACGTCTGCATGCCATTCTACGCTCAACAAAAAACACTACCTTATTTTCGTTCTTACGTACACATTAATATAACAAGTAGTAATAGTAATGCCAATACCTACTCTTCATTTCGTTCTGCTTGTTCTCATATATTAAAGTACAAAGAGAAAGAAAAACGAAATCAAAGCGAAAGAAATTGGCAAGTACAACATTTGACCTCTTTCCTTTTTTTTTTCATATATGTGTACAGTATATTCGATGATGCGAAGGTGAAGATGATGATGGTAAGTATTGCCAGTAAATCCTTTTTTTTTATACTTGCTTGATCTTTTAAGAACACTTTTAATAGTTTTCTTGTCAAATATGCAACAAAAACTGTTGCAATCTATAGAGAGTTTATTTCGGTTATGTGAACATTTTTCGATATGCCAAATGTTTTTCGTTTACTGTTAACAACTAGGAAAAATGAAAGAAACAAGCAGACGAGCTAGAGAGAAAAGTTTTCTTTTAGTCTACATTGATTGAGATAAACAAAATTACTTGAGTAATACACAACAAGGTAGGATTCTTCTTTTCAGTCTTTGACAAACAAACAGAAAGATTCGAAAGATGATGAAGTGAAGAAAAAGGTCAGGGTTATGTTGTATTTTTAATTTATACATGAACTAAACGAGACCTAAGTGCGTACTTGTTGATTCAAATGAGCAGTGCAGAATTGACTGTATAATACTATTAGGATTGCTAGCGGAGGTAAGATGAAAAGTGTGCCATTTGCGCATGCATTAAGATTTTTTGCGAGACATAATTTAAAAAACATATATACAAGTTTGTTGTTTTAAAAAAATGTACAGAAACGAAAAATTTCTGGTTAAAATTCAGAAGATGAAAATAAAAATTTGCTTTTTCAATAAACGTAACAAATTAGGTTAGCATTAACAAGAGAGAAAAAACGCCAGTGGAACATTTTTATTGATTAAGAGCTGTCACAGACTTCTATGCTATCACCAAATTGTACCGTTCGCATTCAATGTAAGTCATCGTGATATGTCAATAAATGTATTTAAAGACTTCTGATGGTTCGATACGTGATACGTCGAATGATAGCAATATGTGAAAATAAAACGAGAAGAAAAATGAAGGAGAGAGAAATTTGTGCATGTTCTCTCGGTTGTCCTTCATCTTTTACATTTATTAACTCTTATCTATTTTATTTCTATATCTATTGAGTTAGGTTTGTTACAGTCAAGCTCACCAGAACCAACTTCACTGATAGTGACACCTGATAATAGTTATTCAGTGATGGTGACTACAGTCAATACAATGGCATCGAATTCATTTAGTTTTGGACCTTCGAAAACAGTGACACCTCAAAAAACATGCAACATATGCAGACGTCTCCTTTATTCGTTTGAAGAAATCCTTGTTTGTCAGTATTTGTTTACAATTATTCTTTCTTTCATTTGATCTTTGATAACATAGGTCGCACTTGTCATGGTTCTTATCATTGGCGTTGTGTGAAACCTGAAACAATTTCTCACTATGGTGAACATGAAAATTACATTTGCGAAAAATGTAATGACGGTACAACATCCAATTCATCTCAACGAGTCCCAAATGGTGGTATTAAAATAAAATCAACTGATTCCATTATTAGAGATTATCGAGATTTTGTTAGTGTGCCATCAAAAACAAATTCAGCAGAAAGAAATGTTCTTAGTGCTATTCGATATTTTGAAGAAAAACAGCAACAATCTCAAACACAAAAAGAGACAAAAATATCTGAACTCGATGCATATCTTCCAGCCCAAACGAACAATAGAGAGTATGATCTACGTTATGGTAAGATTGAAAAAGTATAATAAATCAAACGTGAAAAAAAGATGTATATTTTATCTTTCAACATTCGTTTCTTTCATTGTGCGTTTGTAATTGATGACGTTTATTTGAAACGGTCTCATGCAAAAGATCAAATAGATACGCAAACAAAACAAACACAGCACTTTTGAAGACGAAGAAGAAGAAGAAGAAGAAAAAAACGAGATAATGTAATAGAACGCATTAATAATAAAAATTTTCGTAAAAAGATTCATCTTTCTGTCGGATCACTTTATACAAATTTTGTGCTTACATATGACTTTATTCGTAAGGGATATAAATTAAATCAATTACAGACAGAAATGAAGTTCATGCATGCATATACTTAGTTATCATCATCTTATGTATAATAACAAACATGCAAGTAATCAATGTATATGAACAACTATAAATCCTGTTTAAATGTTCGCTCGTTCCCCTTTTTTTTTGTCTTTTGTCTTCATTCATACTACACATACGCATACACTTTATCAATATCGTGCTCCTGTTACTATGTCTCATTCTTCTTATCAGTTAGCATTTGTCTTCTTTTTTTCTTTGTTTGCATAGATCAATATAACGATGGCAGTACAACAGCTTCTCAACAAACTCAACAACAACAACAGCAAAACGAAATAGAAAGTGACAACGACAACGATACAGCAGTTATGTTTCAAGCTAATTACCAATATACACCTCTGAAAGACTTTGCTGCAATGCGAAGCAGCCAAGCAACAAATGATAAAAACAACGCTAATGCTTATCAAAGTAAATAGATGCTATGTCATTTTTTTTGTCTTTTGCAAAGTCTTTAAAATAATATGACAAATATTTAAAATCTGTAAAAATATGCGTTTTAGAAAATGCCATTGAATGGCAGCAAAAGGTTTTTACACGTGAACAAAATTCAGATATTATTCTGTTCACCCTATTCGCTAGTGAGTATGTTTCTTGAAAAGGGCATTTTATTATTTCAGGGATCTCTATTCTTCATGGTCAAAACACGCACGCACACCTATCTAAATATATTTACACTGTATGGGAATCTTTTATTCTTGTTTTACTTAAATCAATATTACTGCTTATATTAGTTATATAGAATAATAGGGATCAAAAGATTAGAATTATTTATTTTTCTCTTTAATCAGCAGATCATGGTTTCTTATTGTTGAAGATTTTCTCATAAATTTCAACAAAAGAAGTGATACGAAATTATAAGTGTATTTGATATAGACATAAATTTAACATTCTACATTAAACATCTGATATCATTTCGAGACAAGCTGATTGGCTAACTGAAAATAATACAATCCAATGTTCTAGAATATCAGTTGTCGTTTTGAAGTGATTCAATGTAATCAATCTTAGAATATCATATTTTCTTAATCAAATCATGGCTTTATTTTGATGAGATTAAAATTGTTTAATACAATCGTTGTGATTACATTTAAAATACAATCTTAATAAAATATCACCAGCCAATCTTTTTGTTTTTACATAAGTCACTAATTTTAATTGAAAGATTTTCGTTTTCAATTGATTCAGGTTCTCCATCAGGCAATGCCGCTCATCAAACAACATCTCGTTACGGCGGTGGTTTACGCTATACAAATCATGGTTTTGATCCAACAGTTGCACGCCTAGTTGAGGCTCCCTTACATGATTCAACATATTTTGGAAGTCCAACAGTTAATAATCTAGCATTGCATAATCATCAAAATCATTTTATTAGTACTACGAATTTAAATATCAATGAAAATAATTCTCATCGTCAACAAAACCAACAACCACAAAGTTCTTTGATTTGTTCAACACCCTATGTACCACAAGTTCGTGATGATATTGACGATGATTCATCAGTGTTTAAACCTACATTTCGACAGCAAGAACAAAACATACAGCACTGTGATCGTCACTCAATAGTTGGCAGTGATTCAGGTATTGTTATGGTAAATTCTAATACTCCACAACACGAACAATCGGATGAAAATGTAATGGTTGAAAGAAAACTAAGCGATTTAGTACAACAATTAGGAAAACAGTTAGAAAATGATGCACAAAAAGTGAACGAAAAATTAGAATCGAAATTAAAAAAATTAGAAGATATGATTAATCAACAAACATACGTTATTCGACAACAAGATGAAGTTATTGAACGTTTAAAAAGTAAAATACTCAAAATCGAAATTGAACGTGATAATTTTCGTGATCGTTTGTTTGTACATGAAAAACGTGAACAAGACGAAAAGAAAACTGTTCCAGCTAATGAAACAGATAAATTTCATAATCAAAATAATAATACTGAACAACGCAATCAAACAGATAGAAAATATTCAGATACATCAACTACTACGGATAATAACAAATTATCGACAAAAAAGGTTTGGAAAAAATTTTAGTTTCCTTTTTTTCCTTTGACTTTTTTCAGCGGGGAAAAGACTAAGATTAGATTGAATTGAAAAAAGTTCTTTGTTAAAATAATAGTTCGAGATGATGTTTTATGGGAGATAAACAGAGTTTTCTTTTCTTCATTAGAGGTACTCGTAGGCAAAGCGTAAAATCACCAAAGACTTGAATTGGATCACGTTTGATTTCTCATCTAATTAGAGTCCGTTTTATTGATACTATTAATTATAGGAAAATATGAATGCAATATATTTTACGCGTCTATACCTAATAGCTTTAGGTTTAAAAATTTTCCTTTTAGCAAAACGCATGATAAAAACGAATGCTTGTAAAAACTTCTTGCAAAATCATTTTTATTTACTTATAGAATGCAGCACCACGTGTAGAACAACAGCGACTAACAACCAATAGTGAACATGAATCGGTAGCAGCTAAACTTGTGAAAAATACGTCCGCCATTCGACAACGCCAAGCATCCGATGTTTCATCGGTTCCATCAAGTTCTATAATAGAACGACCTGCAGCATCAAGCCGTCTTGATAATATAATTCGCCAAACAAGTGGAAAAGATGTTGCACAACAATCATCATCAAATTATAGTTTAGCTCAAGTTCGGCGTCAAGATCCTACACGAAATACTCAACCTATTTCAATGGAACAACAAGTTGTAACAAGTATTCATCATGTTGATACTAAAGTTAATACTGAAAAAACACAACCAAGCCGAAAAAAATTACCATCCTCATCTTCATCATCATCATCATCATCATCATCATCATCACCAAAGTCGTCAATATCATCATCAAGTTCAAAAATACAACCCGTTACAAAGCCAAAAATAACAACAACCAATAGTAGAACAAAACAAAATGACATCGCAAGTGTACATCGAAGTTTAGAATCATTACAACCTACATCATACAGAAGTAATCAACCATTGAGATCAACAAATAAAACAGGTTCACTCGAATTTGGTGCAAGACCGGTGCAATTTGATGATCCAGGTTTTATTAATTTTTTTTTCTACTATATTTCACTATTGATTTCCTATGTCAAGGATCTATATACATTACACCCGTTGAAGGCAATCAACCAGCTGCTCAGTCGGCTGCTCGTGCTAGAGGATGGCTTCGAAAAAAAAATATAAACTCAATTTTAAAGCGTACTGAACGCTACTATTGTCTTTTAACAGATTATTCACTTTTAATGTATCGAAATAATTACGATACAACACCACAAAAAGCAATAAATCTTAAAGGTTAAAAAATGAATTTTCAACTGAACAAGAAACAAGACGATGAAATTTTAATGAATATTTAGGTTCCAGAGTACTTCTCTACGAGGATCCTAAACATGGTTCATCACTCGAATTAACATGGTCGAATCGATCAAATGACACTAAACACTATCATGTAAGTAAAAGTAGAAACATACGTCCGTTGTTAAATATAATTGCCCAGTGTATTCACTGATTTATTTGAAATATCAAACATTATCTCGTCTCTGAAGATACTTCAATGTTTTTTCAAAACGTTTTTAGCAACAACAAAAAAAAGACAATGTTAAATCATTCCTCTAGCATGAACCGATGATACGACAGCAAGAGGGGAAAGCGCGACTTCCATACTCCAACTTTTTTTGACGTACAATCGAAGTACAAGGGAATACGAGAGGAGTACGGAAGCCGTGCTTTCCACTCTTGATTCAACCTGTCAATTGAACTTCAAGACGATTTACTCCACTACGTAATATAATCGTTTAGACTAAAAGTCTTGCCATAGAATTGATTGTTTATTCATTACATATTCTGTCTTCGATTTACGTATGTGTATTTCATAATTTCCAGCTAATATCAAATTATTCGGAAACACTTTTCAAAAGTCAAATGCATGCATATATTTTTTCTCTTTAGTTATATGTACCTAGTATGCAAGAAGCTGAAAAATGGGTCACTGAAATGCAAACAGTAATACAAGAGACCGAGAGAAGTAAGATATATTACATTTGTTTTGAATCGCATATGAAAACATTGTATTTAACAGGAAATTCTGTGTCAAATAATTACTAATGTTAGTATTAATTCTAAAAAACAGAAACTTTTGCTTCTTCTTTCGACTAAAAGAAATTCCTTCAAATTTTAGGAAATAGTGATCTAATTATATCTATTTTATTTAGAAGATAACTGGCGCCCGTATCGTATGAGTACATAGAATACAATCGAACGCTCAATCATATGCTTTTTTCTCTCTTAATTTTTCGACATTACTTCCCGTCCATCCCAAGAATTAATGTTTCCATAAATTGCATCTTCCTGGTTTTTTTTTCGCTCGCTTATGCTAAACTTCTTTTTTTCTGTTTGTTCTATTTGATACACATACATAATTATTTATACTTCTACCCTTTATATAAATAGAATAAAAATGAATGTCTTCTATGAAAATAAAAAGAATGTTTTCTTTTTGCGCGTTGAAGTTTTAGTCTTTTTTTTTCTGTGTCAAAAATATTGATTTGTGTTTAAATATATTTCAATCATAATGAAGATTGATTTGTCGAAAATACAAATTTTAAATGGATTCATCTAAACATCATGCAAATAAAAAAAGACCACGTAGTGCATCAAACGAATACGGAGAAAATTCGAAAAAAACTCATAAATTATCTGGTTGGTTTGTAGGATGTTGCACTCAAAGAAAACATCACATAAGATCTAGTAAAAATGAATCTATCGAAAAAGTTTCACTAGTAAATGAAAACAAAAATCTGCAATTAAAATGCAATATATCACAGCAATCTACTCGTATTGAAGAAATCTCGAATGTGCATATCGTACATTTGAAACAATCACCATTGTATAGGGAATCGAGGTTTTGTCAAACACCATTTGAATCCTATGAAGATTCCTGTATCAATTGTACTGTTCAATATGGACCTAATTTATCGGAAGATATTCATGAATATTATCATCAGTTAAATCAACAATTAAATAATGACAACAACAAGGTAAAACAAACGTTTGGTTTTCATTTTTGCTGTAAATGTTCTACGGTTCGACATTTAGCGTTAAGTAGAAATCGATCTAAATCTAGTTTTATTTTGAATCTAAGTTTGAGCATAAGACTAATTTTTGCTATATATCTTTAGCCATAGGACATTTCAATGTCTAATTCTAGTCTATGCCAATTGAAGAAGTTGAGGTATCTGCGAGCAATTCTCTGCAGCAAGAAAAATCTATTGATCAAGCCGTAAATTCATTTATCAATAATATTATTGGTGATGGAATTGATCGTCTATTCAATATAATTACCATGGCGTCAACTTATCGTAGTAAACAAAATGACTTTAGAATAGATAATAAGACAAAAGAAAGTCTTGATATTATTGAACAAAATCAATATTCAGAACTTGTTTTCGAAAAACAAAGTATCGTATCAATGTTTTGCAATCAATTATTTACACAACATGTATCATGTTAGATTTAAAAATAGCGCCGACAATGAATCATCAATCATCTGCTGAGCTCTCCTTAGACGATTTTTCACCTAATCTCAATCCAGATGTTTACCGTAATGCAGAAAAAAAGGTTGTAATAAACTATTGCAGTTCGCCTTTTTTCACACAGCTTGGAATATAACTGTGAGCGAAACACACCGCAATCAACAGAAAGAACTTGATAAAAAGAGTTCATTGGAAAATCAAGAACCTTACAGTAAATTATAAAATTATATGAAAGAATAAATAATTAATTCAATACTTTAGATTGGGATGATCAAAAATATTCATGTTCATCAGCGTTTGATCTATACGAAAAAGATCATTTAGTTGATAGTGTGTAAAAGACAATATTCAATTCAATAAATCTATTGATATTTCTTTGTTTTTGGTTCCAGAGTCTGTACATGATCCATCTAAACACATGTTAGATAATGCCCAAGACAAATCTATATCAGATGAGGATGACGATACTAATCTGTCGTATTCTGTTGCATCAGTTTTACCATCGCACAAAACAATGAAACCACAGTCACATACGAATCATTTACAAAATTCATCTCTGAATATTATAAATTCAAAAAAGTTTTTTTCGACATCAGATCAAGAAAACGAAGATCAGCATATTACAAGCTACAATAATTTATTATTAAAAAAGAATTCTAATGATTCGTCAGAACTTGTTCTTAACAAAATTCAAAAAATAAATTCATCAAACTTAACGAAAACTCATAATAATATTGAAATGTCTTCGTTTCATAAAGATTTACAAATTCCAAACCTTAGTGAACAAGAATCATCGCCTAAAATATATCAATCGCATAGACTTATGCAACAGTCGTATGATCAGTCTAGTACAACATCTGCCAATGATCTTTTCAATCAAATTAGTTATGCAAAAAAACAAAACTCAATAGATTCAGATTCAATTAATACTGGTTACTCAATACCTGTTTCATTGCATACTTCAGCATTATCAGAAACAGCAGCCGATAGAAATGATCAACATGAAAAACAACGACAACATGTTGAAATAAAAAATAACGTTAATCATACTTTTCGTTTTACCTACGACGATATGTACGTCAATAGATTTATGTTCTAATTCAAAATCGTATTCCATTTTATTTTAGAATGAATACATGGCGACGTTTATTTGAACGTCTTTTAGGTTCCGTTTTATCACCGTCTATAAACAACACTGGTAATAAAAAGAGTTCATCTTCCTCTAGCACATCATCTGATAGCTATTCATGGTCGACACCGATACCAACAGAAGGACTTAATATAACTGAATCTAATCATATGAGTCCATGGTGGGAACGACGTGATGTTTATAGTCGAACTCCGGCTACACTTAGATTCGCTAATGAACGATTAAGTACTTCGTATCCAATAGAAAAAAATGCTAGCAACAAACAAATGTGCATTTCTATTGAGAATAGACCATGCTGTTCTAAATATGATAGTTATCAGAATATATATCATTGCTGTTGTCGTTCATCGATAACTATAAACAACTGTTCATCATCATTTTAATGTGCATCACATGAAGAACTCTTATGTTTTCATCTATGGCAAACCTCTCCTCATCACATATAATAAATGAACTATTTATTTCCGTAGTATGTTTATATCTATGAAGTTAACGAAACGTTTAAAATGAATATCACGATGAAAGCACGGAAGTAAACAAACTAACTGATTCTATAACTCTATTTATGAATTCAATCAATATTGACTTTCCTATTCTTGATTGAGTACATGACGAAAAGTACATTGATATAAATATATATATATATGTCTTTTACAATATTATTATAATTGACACAAAAATAACATATCATTAGATGAGAAAATACAAGTACATGATTTATTTTTCGCACTCCAGGTCGCTTTATTAAAACACATAGATGATAATACAATCACAGCATCATATGGTCAATCATGATACACAGCAGCAGCAACAGGAGTCGTATTAGTAACTGTCATAATTGTTCATTGTTCAGTAGTGATAGCTGATCTTACAAAAATAAAAAAAAACACATTTTTTCAGTTGAATTAAATGCACACGTTTCCCCATGTTTGCTTTTTCTTTTCTATACAAATAAGCAGATGTCAAAGTGAACACGGAGGTCAACATTCTGATTCGATTTATTTTCTTCGTCACTGATTATGATGTTATTTTTGATTACAAAATAAAGAGAATGCATCATATATATTTATATTATCATAGGTTCATTCATATGATATGATGCAATCAATTTATTTTCATGTGCTAAAATATGCTTGTGCTCTAATTCGGTCGTCCATTCTCTACAATACTCTGTCCGCATTGTCCGAGAAGAGAAAAAGAGGAAAGAAAATTGCAATGTATTTACGTGTCCAGACACGTTCATCAATTTCATTTTGATACCTAGTATCAATAATTATTCTACTACTACTACAACAACTACTACTGTTATGGGTAAATTACGTCTCAATGATAATAGCCTTGCGAGAGACATATAATGAACTACGATGTGTTGATGTTGAATGAAGGGATAAAGGGATACAAGACGAATCTTTCTTCTCGCTCTCTCTTTTTCTTCTCGCTCCGCTCCGACTTGTTATACAATGTGCCGCCGTACCGACCGACATTTTCTCTTTTCTTTGTTTTCTCGTAAACAGATAGATAATCCTCTCGACACCATTCATTTCTTATGTTGAATACTTATGTATGACACAACATCTATTGAATGTCTGATTGTTTGACTAAATTCTTCAATAACAAACAATAGGAAGCTTTCTTTGATGGATGCTGATTTAGCAGAAAAACTAAATCGAAGAATTCGTCGTATTGAATCAGTAGAATCCTCTTCAGAAACATCATCCACTACTGGCAATGGGCTTGCAGATGACATTGACTTAACATATCCATTGACGAATTATGAATCACAACGGTCAAATGCATTCAATCCATATATTGAATATAATGAGTTTTCACGAAAACAAATACAAAATTTAATGCAAACATTTGACAAGTAAATTAAATAGAAATAAACAAGTTTTTATTAGCTTCTTCTTTTTTTGTTAATCTTCGTACTACTTTTATTTTGACAGATATGATATCGATGGAGATAAATCACTTAATTTTAATGAATTGAAATTTATGATGGAGAAACTGGGAATTCCACAAACTCATTTGGGTTTAAAAGAAATGATTAAACAAGTAGATGAAGATCGCGATGGTAAAATATCGTTTCGAGAAGTAAGAAAAAATGATTTATTTCATATGAAAATAATTTTTTCTTTATTTTTTTCAGTTTTTACTTATTTTTCGAAAGGCAATCTTGGAAAATAATGATCGAGAATGTGAAGCATCTGTTCTATATAAACTCTATGCAATGCTATTCGAAATTGATGTTTCAAAAGAAGGTGTTGGTGGCGCAAAACAGTTTTTTGAAGCTAAAGTAAAAGAGTTTCTTGTCAAAAAATTGTTTTTCATTCCAAGAATTCATATTTCTTTTTAGATAGCTGCAATTAAAGATAGTGACAAATTTCAACGAGAAATTCGCGACGAACAAGAACAACGACGTCAGATGGAAGAGGAAAAAATTCGTCGTAAATCAGCATTTCAAAGTCGTCTTGCACATTTTCAAATGACATAACAATAACATAAATATAAATTTATTCTGTGATAATTTTTTATAATATAATCTTGCATGTAATAATCTTATTTTAAACAGTTTGTGAATTTTTATTATTTAATTAGAATGCGATTTCATTTGGTTTTCGATGGAAAGTTTGCCTTTTTTCCTTTGTTAAATATACACCGAAAGTTTTAATTGCGAAAACTCGATTGACAAACATGCAAATACAATTAGGAAATCTTTTGTATTCTGAGAATACCGTCTAATGAGAAATTGTCAACACGCTCGTATTTATCAAACATGTTGATAAAGATTATGTAAAAACTAAGATATACTTTTTGTATTAGTTAAACGCTTATGTTCTTTGCTGTTTTTGTGTTGAAATGATTGTCTCTGCTATTATAACATTCGTATCGAATATCATAAGTACAACTATAAAAACAACGAAAGTAGTTTCTACCTACAAAATAAAAGAGACAATTATTAATACAGAACAAGGAGCAATTTTTCCTTCTCTTAATCTTTGTTTATAATAGGGAACATCTTACCACTTATTTGATAAAAAATTACGCAGTATTAAGCCTAGGGCATTGAGACAAACATTGATTGAAGCTTACAATATTCGATTGACACAAAAGATGCGGAGGAATTCTTAATCTATTTCTCAATTGATAAGAAGAAATATCAAAGTAGAAAAGGATTATATTCGTGAAAATTATATCTTTTCACACAGGTGTACGAACTGGCAATCACCCGCTGATTATATCCTCGTCAGACCCCTATCGAGAATAAAACGTGATAGCATGTATAAACTGCGAAATATAAAGAAGACTCATCGAGTAGATATCTTATGTTAGTGATTTTCACTGTTTCCTGTAGATCATTCAAGGTTTTTTCATGATAAAAATATTAATGGACTTGAAAAATGCAATAATTGATTTTACCACACTGAATATATGAAATTTAAGTTCTAGTCTATCACGTGTTTAATACTATTATCGTATTATATAACATGAACAGCTTGTGAAAAAATTATAAGATAATGTTTCACCGACGTGAGAATAAAATGAATTGTGCATGTTAAATCGATTTTGGCACGTATAAAATGCTACGAGTGAAATAAAATCTAAACTCATAAGCATGACATCTGTAGTTATTTTCTTGAAATTAATGATTCATTAATTTTGACGCTTGTTTAAATTGATTTCGAATCATTTTTAATGGTCTCGAATGAATGTGAATCTCTCTACAGTTTTTCACGATTTTGTTTTTTTCTCATAGCTAATAAATGATAAAATATGCTGTGACTAATATGATTCATGAGGAAGAAGAATTTTCATGACAAAGGATCGGACGGTTCGCGGGGAAAAAAATTATACGAGCAATATTTAAGTGTTGAAGTAAAATAATATTTAAAAGATGCAATCAAATACTAGATCAACGCATTGCATGCCACTCCTCCTTCCCCTTTATTTATGATTAATGAATAGGCAAGGTTGCCATAGAATTATGTGGAGTGTGGAAAAAATAAAGTATTACTGTCGCATTGTTCAGCGAACCAAAAGAAAACTACTATTCATATGAAAATTTAGTAAAACAGCAAAACTATGTAAATATTATACGTTGTCACGAAATTAAGTAACGAGTTATTTGTAGTTTTTTTACATAAACAAAAGAAAAATACACGATTAAATGTGTGTTATGATATGAATGATCCATTGTGAAAAAATTCAGATGAAAAAAAATCAAACACATTTACAGTTGATACAATGAATCTTCAAAGACGTTGCTAATATTAGTTTTATGCTATGAGTTGTCTCTGTACCATCGGTTTATTGCCAAAAGAGAATATTTATCATTGCAAAGAGTTTCATCATAGCAGCAAAGATTTCGTCCGTCAGTATTTTAATGTAAAAAAAATATTGATTCGCTTTTCAACATATGAATCTCTCTCGCTATAAATAGTAAACTTTCTTCGTATTTTTTTTCTTCATATATTGTTATCATACAGAGAATGACGAGCGTTTCGCTTACATTATAAATCAATATTGTTACAGTAAATCTAAATTTCATGCCCGATTATGATATCACAATAAACCCTGAAAGGACATATCAAATCACAGTTAAAAATTTCGTAGTTCTCTACGCTAGATTACAATGGCATTCACTTAAATATTGAATGCAAAAAAAAACGAGCAATAAAATGAACTTCTAACAAAGAACTAAGTAAAAATTTCGGTTATATGGTTTTTAATGAAAACATGATTGCGAAGCTTTTTTCTAAAATTCTTTTATATCATTATGATTGTATGAAATTTTCGATGTTAAATTTTTCTTTTCGTAAGTTTCAATGTCATTTTATACTAAATACATTAGCACATCACTTCAAAAATGTGCATAGATTAAAAACATGCAGTTTTGTTTATCAATCTCTCGTTTTATCCAGCTCTGTATTTCAATATGAAAACAAAGAATTTACATGCATGAAGCAACAGTGTGAAGAGAGACAACAAAGTGAACTGTGTACGCGCATAGAAAAAAAATATTTATCTCAAAAAAGAGGGAGGAGAAAAGAATGAAATCATGTGAAAAAGAAAAAAAGCAAACATGAAAAAGCTCCCAAAATATAATTTTGCGTTATATAAAACAATACAGAGTAATGATAAGAGAAAGAAACTTCCGTTTATTAGTTAAAAACAGCATTTGCTGACCAGCAGCATTATTGACATTCAAACGAAAGCACAAAATAAAAAAATAATAGCAAAACATCAGTTCGTTGTGAAGACAAATGTGAAAAAAGAGAAACAAATAAAATACTTATCTGATCTCATTCCATATGAATGAGATATGCTCTTTTTTTAAGACGTCGGCTACAGAAAATACAATAGAAGATATCGTATGTAAGCAAGCAAAATAAAATAAAATAATATTTCTATGAATCAAATATTTAATATGTACAAATGAGGAAAAAAGAGAAAATCATTATCGAAACGCTCTTTGCTCCTGTTCATCCAAGTCTTTCATGTCCTCAATAAGACTGTTGCTAAGCTCAAGTAATAATGAATCCATTGTCTAGAAAAATTATGTTCGATCATAAAACTCGAACTCTATTTTCGATGAAAAACAAAAACAAAACATGATTATTAACTTACAACATTCATAAATGTGTTTTAATGAAATTTCGTTGATGAATAATTGTCGAAACCTTTTGAACGACTCTCGTCTATGTCTTGATATTGATCAATTAGATTATGAAGAAGAGTTCCTGAAATATAAAATCAAAACAAAATTTTTGAAATATAGACCAGGAAAACAGTTAGTTCTTACCATCTAAGAGACGCGACGCATCGTCCACATCAACACTTGAACCTTTTTGTTTTATACATTTTCTAGTTAGTTGATCAAGAAGTATTGTATCCAATAGTTTACTTTGTGCATGGTTTTCAATTGCACGATATTGAACTTCATCGATTGGACGTTGACTTGTGTCGTACATATCATCATAATTATCAATGACGGTGGAAGCTTGATGTGACTACAGTGTCGATAGCAGTTGAAAAAAAGAAAAGCTATAGTACAATGAAACTTACTTGATGAGAATATTCTTGATTATCTAATTCTCTGAGCATATATTGATTCGTGTTTGTTAAAAAATCTCCTTGTACATCGGTTGGTAAATCATAATATCGTAGTTGATTAGTTGCTCGCATATATATATCTTGTTTAGCATTTAATGGTCTCAATGAAGATATGTTTGAATCGAAATTAGATCTAGAAACAAATCCATGTTGATAACCAAGTTCACGTACCCACTGATCCGATAGCAAACTAAAGATAGTTGGTTGGTGTTGAATAGTATGGAAAAATTTTAAAATAGTTATATACTTTTCATCTAATTCTTCTCGATTCATACGACTTGTCAATTCTGCATTGTATCGATGAATATCTGATCTATAGAATTTATCATGTTGCTTTTTCTGTCAACGAAAAGACAAAATATTCCTTGTAAAAGATAAATTTTTCTTTCATAATTATCATATTTACCTCTGCATCGAGCTCAGTAATAGCTTCAAGTAAAATGTCTGGTAGCAATTTATCTTCAATATATCTACCAATAAAATCATTTACGTAGTGATTAGCGAATGCTTCATTGTGCCGTACAAATAGATAATCAAATGGTTCCTAAGCATAGAATTTCTTTTTAGTTTTTATTGTAGACAGACGAGGAAACGATATTATTCAAATAGTATTGTATATCATTATGGCGGTTAGTAAAATGAAGAAAAAAACATCGGTTAATAAGAAGACTCACACAATGAAATCGTTGTGAAGAAAACTTATTCACTCTGTCACGATATGCATAGTGTGAATTTGGATAATAAAATGGTGCTATTCGACGTGGAGGTATTAAATAAGAACCACCAATACTATTACTCACGGGCGGCGATAAAAGTTTATTTAAATGTGGTACAACAATATATGACTAGTAATATTGGAAATGTTTATTCATAGACTTATTGAAAATTATTTTCTTTTTTTAATGAATACCTTCTTTCGTCTTGAGAGTCCACTACCTAAACCATATTGAGATAAAGGTGATGGATATCGTCGAATTAGATTGGCATTTGAAGTTACGTTGTAATCAGTTGAATTAAGACCCCAAGTGCCAAGACCAGTTGAAGGAGAACTAAGGTATGTATGGGAAAATGTTTTTTTTTGTGCATATTCGATATTTTTCTACTCAAGTACTTCAAATCAGACAACAACCAACGGCAGACCGTTCAGTATAATATATGTGTTATGCAGACGGTAATAAAACTAATAGAACGGTTAACTATTCTCTAACCGCCATTCTACCGTGATATACGCGTAACAGTACGATTAAAACGTGCAACATGAATACTTACTGTAAATTATCAACTGTTGGTAATGGGCTAGTAAATCGACGCAGATTATAACGATTCCGATAAGGTTCAATACCAGGTGGTGTTATTAACCTAAAGTAAGGGCGTAACAAAGACGTATTTGAATTTTGTGATACTAATTCAAAATGTTTTTACTATTTTGTTCTAAAGGAATGCATCCTATGCTGACATTTTATACGTGATAGAATTATCAATACAAAATATAGTTTACATCATAGATTGGTAAATACGTGATTATATTCCTTGTTTATAATTATAATTCAAGGATAAGTATGCATCAATTTTATTTGTTTTCTTCTGATTTGTGTATATGAAATCAACTCTTGTGAAACCTCGATCAGTTTTGTGCTTTTTTTTATGAATAGTCTACATCAGTAAAGCCTTATTTGTAAGAAATGTGTTTGCTTGAGAAAATGAGAGCTTTTTGTCATGTTGAAAACGTGGAATGAGCTTGTGCATAGAATAATTTATTTTTCGTAGTTTTAAAAATTAAGATCACATGACTCAAAATACAAATAAAATACTAAACGAAAACAGGATAGAAAGACGCCTATAGTCGAAACGGCTGAAGGACAAAAATACATGAGAAAGACATTCACCTACTTTCAGGACGGAACAAAAATAGTTTGTTTCTGTTTTTCAATACAGAAATTAAGAGAAAAATAATGCTTGATCTACAAGGCCATCTACCATGCTTTTGTAAACGACCGTTTACATTTCTAATCATTCTAACATTCTGGATATTGTCTAATAAAAAAAATCTATTCCTTACTGATTATGTTGTGTAATGTTGATTTAATCGTTTTGTTTTTGTTTTTACAAAATTTTTTCGCTTTGTTTGTTTTTAAAGTACTTCAGAGAAAAAACTATTTGTTTTTATGGGCAAAAGGTAGTATCAAAGCATTTAAAAATATAGTGATATTCATATTTTCTTCAATAACTAACGAGAAATGTTTCTTTTTTGAATACTATGAATACTTGATGTTCAAATATTGTAAAAATAACTACATACGTTCGTAATCTCGGTGGTGTACGAATAGGACTATAAAATCGTCTTGCTCTCATTGGCTCCAAATCAGTTGGTTGGTGCCAATTAAACATATTTTCACTGAAATTTTCACTATAGAGTGGTTGTCGTAGGTGTGATGCCTTCTTTAATATCGAAGCTGGTTTATATATTGAATTTTGCGATGAATTATTTCCAAATCTAAATTTTTATTTTGTCTAGATTGTTATATTTTTTTTTGGCTTCCAATATTTGTGTATGTTAATCAAAAAAGAAAGAATACCGTATTTTGATGCCATTCGGATTGTTCGTTGTTTTAGAATTTAACTGATGTGTGGTAGTTTTTTTCGTTCGAGACTTTTGAACAGGTGGACGTCCGAGTGAACGTGGAAGATTTTGGTATGTTGTTGCCATTTAATAGAACAAGTATTGATTTGTGAAACTCAATTATGCTCTATTATATATACGTACAATCAAACATGTCACTTATTTAAATGTCATGGTAACAAAAGCGTTTAGGCTATTTGTTATATGAAAAATGCCTCATGTGAAAATTCTTCTTCGTTTCTTTTCAAATAATTTCTTTTCTCTTCTAATCGATAATTTTGAATAGTAATTTATAAACGAAGATTTTCAATTTTTAGATAAAATTGATTTGATTTGTTAAATCTTTTAACCAATACAAATTCATCGGCAGTGACTCATTCTTATAAGAACCCTTGTTTATTATTATTATTCAGAATTGTTCTGTTATCTTTTCATTGCCTTATATTTTGGTATTATTATTAAACGTTGGCTGTTACAAGTGCGTGTGGATGTTTATAAAAGAAATCAGAAAAATTGTATTTTCTTATTTCTTCTAGATAAATTGGTAAGTTTGGAACAATTGAAATTTTTCGTAATTTTTTCTAAACGAAAATCAACACATGCGCGCACCAGGCACACGCACACATTGACTTTTCCCCATCCTTCTCACTGATTTTATTTGCGCAACTGGTCTTTAAGAATACATTTGATTTTCTTTTCTGTACTCTTCACATCATCCTATGCATATGTCTTTATGTTGTATGATTTTAGTTTTAGCCTTCGCTCTTTCTTTCTCTATGTTGTTTCAAATGCATTTTATACCTGTGAGTGAAAGAGAAAAAAAGGAGGCGGTAGTATTGGCAATAGAGAAAAAAAACTCATTTGTAATGTCGTTATTCGTCAAATACTTGTCACCTGTAGTTGGTGATGTCGTTTTTTCTTCGTTTCTCTCTCTATATTCTATGAGTAATAACAAGTGTTTCATTGCATTACTTTTTCATTTCGTTTTACAAAAGTAAGCAGAGTAAAGAAAAAATAGAATTGAATATAAAAACATCAAATCATGAACGATATTTATTGGCACGAGAAACGAACGATGTCTTCGAAACAACTTTCGTCACCTCCGCCAACACAACCTAGACGTTCATATGAAAATGCACATCGAACGAAACATCACGAGCAAATGGATACTCGATATAATTCACATACGGCATCAGGTCGAGCAGCTCCTTCGCCGTATTATCATTATCCTACAGTAACAAATCGATCACATCATAGTAATCATGGCAATTTTGCATACACTTCCAGTACACAAGGTGTTTATCATCAAACACCGCCTGTTAATATGACTCCTCCTCCACTTCCGGTGTATTCACGCCATCACAGGCAGATCGATTCAAGAGATCAATCTCATTATTCTCAGCAAAGATACTCATCTCGTAGCGCTAGTGACGATTATTTTATATCAAACTATCATGATTCAAATCATCTTAATGGTAACATGTATGATGATGATGAGAATGACGATGGGCATATTCATGTAGAGGATAATTCGGAAGTTTTCAATTATCCTTTCGATGATATAAGTGTAAGTTTTAAAAGAGAGAAAAATAATAGTATTGTCTATTTTTTCCTTTTCACTTCTTAGCGATGCTTCGTTCGCATGAGAACAGATTTCGATGATTCATCATAGGTCTGATAGAGTCTCTTTTTTATTTCTACAATTTTTTTACACTATATGTTAATCCAATAGAAAACGTATGTAATTTGAGGTTCTTATTCAAGAAAAAGAAAGCATTCTCTTGTTTCTAATCAAATTATTCTAAGCCATTTACATATATATATATATTTCATCAGAAAACATTTTTATCCGAGTAAAACTTGATGGTAAAAAATGTCTTTCTTTCCTGATGAATTAGATGAGCACACCCACGAAGAAAACCAGCAACCTTTATTCCTTAATGACTATTTTTGCATTATAGATCCTTATATGATACCTGTCAACGTTTTTTTTTTTTTGTATATACCGTATTATTAATACTACTAATCTGCTGTTACTTTTGAAGTATATGACAAAACGAAAGAAAAAGTATTTACTAAGATTGTAACACAGTTGCACTTATTTTTCGCTCTTATCAGTATTCTTTTTCTATAACTGATTGCTTTGGGATTTAGGAATCATTTCTTATCTTCTGTTTCGTATTCATTTCTTTTTTTTTCTTCTTCTCCGTAAAGAATCGATAAGCTCTATCCTATGCATAACTTATTCATCTCAATAAAGTTATGTTTCTTTTCTCTTTTTCGTTTTTACTTTCTTAATCTTATTGTCGGATAAACGACAAAATATAATCATGATCATCATTGAAAAGGGTCATATTTTGTGTATAACAGACATACTAATCAGTGAACAACAGATAGAATATGAAAAAAATAAAAGGTCAAATGTCATCTTGTTTTCGTATTGATGTATAGTATATAGATAGATGGTTAGATAGATACGAAAAGAAGAACGAACAATAGAAGGACTCGGTTGAGGAATGGCCTTCATTTACGATTACGTGTACTCACGTCCGTTCGTTTTTACTCGATCGGCCAAACGCTAAACGAAGAAAAAAAAGTAATGAGGAGAAATTTTATACGATGTTAAAACAAAGAGAAAAAAAGAAGGAGAAGAATGTGAAAAGAAACCAAGCAAAAATTATCATTTGTATTAAGACAAAACGAGAAAAAATCGAGAGAAAGAGAGAAACTGATTTAATGTTTCGTTACAATAGTATTTGTAGAAGAGTATAGAGAAATGGGTCTATCTAATTCTCGACGATGGTGGCGAGTGGAAGAAGTATCAACGGTACATCTATCTTCTACTGAAAATATTGATTTGAAGGCGAGCCAAGATGAGAAAGAAGAAAAAATTGATATTGATGAGGTATGTTCTTAATTGATTTATGAATATACTCAAATAGTCAAGAGAGAACTCGATTGCCATTTGGTATTCTTTTTTGCACGTCATATACACATGACTATGATTGGATTCACAAGTGCCCTCCTCAACCTTGGTAGACATGGTTCACTCCAGTGATTCATTCATTCGTTCATTCTTTTTTTTACCTCTTTCTCTAACGCTCTTACGAGTGTACTTGCTCTTTCGTAGTTGCTGATAAGAACGATGAAAAAGCAAAAATTGAACATTAAATCAGTATATTCAATTTCTTTTTTATTATTATTTCTTTAAAAAGGACGTGATATCACCAACTAGTTCATCGATGGCAACATATCGTACTGTAGGATTTGTTACTTCTGCGAATACAAATAATAATAACAATAATAATAATGCACCATCAAATTTAAATCGCGATCCAATCGATTATTCTTCAACAAAATATAATCAACCACAAAATTATAAAGCATTAACAATGCCTAAAAGTCATTATCAAAATGTAACGACAACAAAAGATTTTCTTCCAGGAGATAGTGAAACTAATTATTCAGTAGCATCATCATCATTAGATCCAGAATCGAGTTCCAATGTAAATGAACCAACCAAACGTATCAATAATCCTAATGGAAAATTTTCGATACAAAAAATATTCAGTAAAGGACTTTCGTGGCGTACACGAAAAAAACCGCCATCAATATTAACGCCACCTCCATCACAGACCGTCACATCATCGAATACAGTCTATAGCAATATTTCAGCACCATCATCTGCTGGAGCATATGTGACAAAAAATTTTGATAATTTTTCTGAAGTTCCTCCACCGACAACTGTTCGTTCTATATCAGTTGATTCAATATCAAATAACACATCGCCACAAAGAATTATTGTTACCGAATCAGTTAATGTTGCAACAACAAGAGCGAATAGTATCGATAGTGTTACATTAGATTTTGATCGACCAGTAACAGCCAATCGAACTTATGTTCAACCATCATGGGCGACTAATGTTTCATCGTCTTCAACAACAACAACAAATGCAACTCCTGTTATTACAGAATCAGTAAATCGATTAACTCCGATACCAGCCACTCGAGTATTACCTGTACAATTCACTGAAAATAACAAACTATCTACACCGCGATCTCCGGCACCACCACCACCCTCATTATCATCCATTGTATCATCACCTCTCCCTCCTAACAGCATGTCATCAACAATAAAAACAATAGAAACCAATAATGCTACCACTTCTTTAATAAAAACTACATCAAATCCGCCTAGGATTCCACCTCCTGGTAAAATATATTCATATAAAAATCTTTTAATAAATTTCATAATTTGATTTTTTTTCAGTTGCTCCTAAACCTGATGCTAGTCGTTTAACACCAATTCGTGCAAGTTATTTAAACCATACTACTACCAATAATAATAATAGCAACAACAACAATAATAATAATAACAACAGCAACAACAATAATAATAATAATAATAATAATAATTTTTCTTCCACTGCCAATCAGACACCGCCACCACCACCACCACCATCATCACTGCAATCACCCACAACAACTACAAGTGTTACAATTACTACCACTCCATCATTAATATCATCATCTTCTTCAATTTCTGGGCCTACAATCGAACAACGTCGTTTAGCTTTAGCTGATAAATTTACAGCAAGTCAATTCAAGCCTATTCATGATAATAATACTGCTGGTTATCCTAATGGCACTCCTATGTCAACAACACGTCCAATACCTTCTAGTAATATTTTAGCATTACAAGAGAAATTTCAAGTACGTTCTTCATCTGTGAGTGCATCAAATTCATCACCAGCACCAGTTGTTTCGACTAATCCAAATGTGATTTCTTCAAATGTAATTAATTCATCGTCACCATCAACCAATTCCTCATCAACACCCACAACAACAACGATTCAAACAAATAAACAAATTACTATTCAAGATATTGATACAAATAAATATGAAGAAATTCTCGCTAAGGAACCAGATTTAACAAGACAACCAGAAAAAAGTGCGTTGAAAAAATCTCATGGAGTCAAACGTCGTGTTATACCAGTATTTCGAGAAAATCAACGTCCATCACCACGTCCTAGCCCAAAAATGACACCAGCCGTTATTGTAACTACGTCATCATCACCCTCAGCCGCAACCGCAACAGTGGCAGACAATGATGAGCATAATTCGGATTATGAACATAATGATAATGGTGATTCTTCATCTGACGATGATGGCAGTAGTAATGATGATGGAAAAAAGAAACGTTTTGTTAACGTTAAACGTAATGACTCATTAGCACGATTTCTTAAAGATCGTCCGATGCCGAATGAATTATATGAGAAAAATATCCTTGTTAAACCTTTAGATGAACGTAAAAATGAACGCGAAACAATTGAAACAAAATTAGAACGAAAATTATCATTGAGACCAACTCCAGAAGAACTCGAAGCAAGAAATATTCTACGTGCAAAAACACAAGCTGAGTTAGCAGAAGAAAAAGAAGCAACAAAACGTTATTTAATACGAAAACTTAGCTTCAGACCAAGTATTCAAGGTAAAGCAAAACTATTCACTTTTATCATTCGAGAGAATCACTTTGCAACATGATTCCTAACAAAAATGAGTTTTGACAGATATTTTTAATAATATTATTTTTCACTCTAGAGTAAACCAGAAAGTATTTTGTTATCAAATTTCTCGACAGTAAAAATAACAACGAAAAATAGTATCCCAAAATAGCTCAACAAAGAAAGTTGCCTTATCTTTACCTGCAGAGTTTTGTATTTTATAGCTTTTGACTGTAAACTTTTTTATCGACAGTATTTTATCATTTCATAGCGAACATTTTCATCGATAATTTGCTTTTATTTTTATTTTAGAACTTCGTGATCGAAAAATCATTCGTTTTTGTGATTATATTGAAGTATCTGAATGTGATGATGTTGATCGGCGTGCAGATAAACCATGGACACGGTTAACACCACGAGATAAACAAATGATTCGAAAAGAACTCAATGAATATAAAAGTTCAGAAATGGAGATTCATCCCGATAGTGCAAGATACACACGTTTTCATCCTCCTTAGAAATTCTTTTTCTTCATATGAATTCCGATTTGTTGTTCTCTATTTGATTTTCGCTTTTCTGTACAGAAATTTCTTTTTCTATCGAAAAGAAAACCAAAGAAAGATTCTTCTTTTTTTCCAAAAAAAAGAGCAACAAAAAGAAACAAACTTCCTTCATTCTTGCTGTGATTTTTTCCATATTCACATATGAATGTTTATTTCTGTTGACTGACTGACTTATTGCTACGTCTAATCCACATACATATATTTTTTTGGTTCAAATTTCTTCTTCTTCTTTTTTTTACTTCCAAATAAGTAGTGTGCGTTACCTTATCGATCAAACACTATTCATGTATAATTTCTTATCTTACATTGAGACCGGTTGTTTGTTCTTCATATTTTTTTTTCGCTATTGTTATTGTTCATGATGAACATTAGATTTTCTCGTTTTTTTCTGCCTTTTATTGTTCAATACACATTCCATACACACTTCAAAACATGTCATGATGTATATCTATGATCGTACATGTTCTCTTGTTGAATACGATTTTCTTTTCTTTTTTGTAAAACATTTGCTTGAAATTTTTTTTTGTCGTTGTTGTTGTTGTTGTTGTTGCTGTTGTTTGTCTATACGAAAAGAAATAATTAAATGAACAAACAGATAGACAATAAAAGAAAAGGAAGCTGATGTAATTACTAAAAAAAAAAGAACTATGTTTTTGTTTGTTTGTTTAATCTATTAAACAATATATTTTTCCAGATTTTATGATAGATAAAGAAAAAATTCGAATTAAAAACTTAGTTACTTATAAAAAAATATACATTCGAGATTTAAAAAAAAATGTCAAATAACGATTGTAATCCAGCATCATCGACACTCGCTGATTTGAATCTATCAATTGTTAAAAAAATTTCGACTTTAATTGATAACTCTGATTTTAATGAAGCTCGTGACTATTTGGCATCGTTAACTGAACAACAAACCTATGATAATACATGGGATTTATGTACTTACTTATTTGAATTATTAGAGAGACCGTCAGATAAATTGTGTAATGAATATGAACTTTATGCGGAAGATACGTTAACGCATGTTGCACAATATGGTAATCCACGTGAAATGTTAATTATTATGCTTGAACAATCTGATAAATTTATATCAGATAAAGCGTTTGCATTTCATATTAAATTATTTTTTATTATTCTAAAACGTTTGCCATTAAAAGCAAGTATAATAACATATATTGATGATATTCTTTCATTATTAAAATGTCATTTGACAACAATTGACTTGCCGACGATTACAAATGACTTTGCAGGTCTTGTTTGATTTTTAATATTCAATGAAATAGTAAAGAAATTTTTCTCGTTTTTAGGTAAAGATTTACTTGTATTTAATCATGATTATCGTGTTCATAATTTATTAAAATTAACTCAACTCTATGTTGATTTTATTTGTCAACTTCGTGACTATTTTTCTACAACACCAACGATTAATATCGTTCCTATTCTAGGAAAATATTTAATATCTATTTTACAAAAGCCACTTTCATCACTTAGTTATGAGCCAATTGATTCACAAGAAAGTTCATCATTTACATTAATACGTCCATTATTAGATTGTTTATTCACACTAAATCCAAATCCACTTCAATTCATTGATAACAAAGAAGATCAATCGGTTTTTATTTATTTAGTTTTAACAAAAAAAAATTATTTTTCATTATTACCGTGTATTTATTCACCATTCTTCTATCTTATTCTTAGTATACCAGTTATTCAACAATTAAGTAATGATCGTGAACAAGTTATGCTAACAGAAAAAGCATGTGTACTTGTATCAACTGTTTGTTCGTGGTTAAGACCGAACAGCGAATTTAATGAAAATTCATTAGATAACAATGATCTTCATACACTTATTGATACATTAAAAACTTGTATGGTTCAATCACCGGCTCGGCAATATGCACCATTAACAATAGGTGCATATCGATCATTGTTTCGATCATTCGATCATTTTGGACGCTACACATTTCTTCGGCAACAAATAGCTAAAACGTCTTGTAACGAAGATTCTTATCGAACATTTCTATGTAGTTTACTTAAAGATGAATTTCTCTATGATTATCGATCGTTGTCAAGTGAAATTTATAAGGGACCATCATTATTTCAATTACTAGATCGTTTATGTAATTTGCCGAATGGTGTTGAATCGGATTTACTTGAAATTTATGATTGTCTTTGCTCGACATTGAATTTTATTCGTTTTATTGGTTTAATTGATAAACGAGATGTCAATCGAACATTACTTTGGACTGAACGTTTGAATCGTTTAAATGAAACATTTCTTAAACCTTTAAGAAAATCAATTGATTTAGCTCGGGCGCATTATAAACTTGAAATGCGAAATAGAAAAGAAGACAATAAACCAGAAAAAATGGATACAGAGATATTAGTCGACAATAAACCTCTATCAATGCCTAATAAACAAGAACAATTGGACACATTACATTCAGCAGTAACAAAATTTGACATTCTTGATTGTATACTGAGTGCTCTTACCGAGACATTTGGTGGTGATTTATAATTCTTTTAAGTTGCGTTTTTCTTATATTTGTTTTCGTTTGTTTTTATTTATGGGATAATAGGCAAGAAATGTATTCCACTATTAAAGCTTCAAATAAAGCATATTGACTTTCATTTATGTTTTCTATTTATCAAAAGAAGCTATACAATTTACCTGCAAAAAGGTTTTGTTTCTTCGTTGATGTTACAAAATATTAGGTACCTAAAATTATCATCCAATTCTTTTGATGATAAAAGTATCTCACCGATTGTGATTTTTAGTTCATCGGTAGAAACAAATTTTCGACTAGAATTTCCAAATATTTATTGTTAACGAAAAATTGTACGATTTCTTCAAACTTCTATTTATGAAAACACAAAAAAAAATTCATTTTAATGAATACTGATCGTTATTTACAGTAAAAGTTTCAACAGTTATTTTTGGATTCATGTGTACTTTGTTCTACAATAATTGGAATACTGAGTATAAGATGTTGCGTTTTACGTACAAATTTAGCAGTTAAACGTTGAATATCATATAAACTATTACAGTTTGATATATTTGGTTTCTTGCGTTTTTTCATATCAAGTTTTAGATGCATACGAAGTTTTGTACACTCAACTTGTATTGTTTCTTCCGTAGGTAAAACTGTAACATCACAATCAGCAACACTTTCACATTCTGGTAATGAAATACGAATGACTAAACAACTATTATTATTCGTGATTTCTTCTGTATATGTTGGAATAGTCCAAAGTTCTTCAATTAATACCGTTGGTTTTTTCGTTTTCTTTGGTTGTTGTTGTGATGATGGCAACTTGTTAGAAGATGTTGATTGATTACTTAAAGCCATTGAAGAAAGTTCTTTAAGTAATGATGGACTAAGATTACTATCAAGTAATTCATCAATATCTTCATCATTTTTCTTAGTTTTCGTTAATGGTTTAAGAAAATTTCGTTGAATTTCTTCTATATCACCAAGTGCTGTTTCATCCAAATATTTATAATTGTTATAATCGACTAAAAGTTTATGTTGAGAAGCTACTAAATCAAATGTTGATCGAATCAATTGAGTACGTCCAATGATTTTTATAACATCTGGATGTACAGCAATATTCACAAGAATACACTGTTCTGTAAATAAGTACAAATTTTGGCTAGAAAAGCTTTCTTCAATATATATATATATCGCGTTGACTTACCATCATTATGAGTTATTTCTGTTGGTGAAAGTGAATACATTTTTGTTAATTCATCTGTTTTTGTAGGAGCTGGTAAGCGAAGCCAAGTAAAAATATTTAAATAAAAGGTTTTAATGTTCGGATGGCTCTTTAAAAGAAAAATTTAACATTCTACATACATTGGACAATAAATTAATAAACCTACATGTAATACGGATCGAACAGCTAAACATGGTGTTGGTGGTGCCATATATTCTTTTCCTTCTCGTATAGTTTTCTCAATGAATTTTCTATGAAATAAAGAAAATTTTGAATATGAAAGGATACAAAATTTGACTAAGGAGACAAATAAACTTCTCACTTACCGCCAAAACTTACTTGTAAGCTGTTGGATCACTCGATGCTAATTCATCTAGCATATTCCAAACATTTTTCGCCTTATCCATCATTTCATTAGGTGATGATTTACTTGAAGATTGTAGACGAAGCATATCCATTTTGTAGGAATCTATTTAACAATAGTCTATAACAAATTACGTTTACATTGAAGTAATAATGATATAAATAAAATTCTCTCTGAGTGAATTCGAAATTTCGACAATTCTCATTCAAAATGAAATACTATCAAAATAAATGCGAAGATTTATTCATTGACATCTGAAATCATATTAGCATGCAGTACTTTTTCTTTGAAAAGATTGAACTTAGTTTCTATGGTAACTTCAACAGAACAAGTCACTGATAGGATATTTCAAAATATGTAAAAATGAAATTCAATTGATAATTAATAGAACTTTTTTCATCAATTTTGAATTAAATTTATTAAAGATGTCATTAGTTCTAGTGATACTTCAAACTAGTTTTTTGATTGGTTGATTCCATCTACAACTCATCAACGGACTTTACTTAACTAACTGATTGATAGTTCGAATGAAACGAAGGGTGAAGTCTCACGCGCACTTTTTTAGTAACTACTTCTATTTTATTACTAGATAAAATTTTTTCCAATGGCTTCTTCATCTCTTACAACAACAAATGCTAGTTCAAAAGATGAAGATGTAGCTTTTTGGCTCCACAATAAACTTGGTTCACATGTTGATTTATGGTCATCCTTTAGCATAAGTTCAACATTAACACAAGAACATTTATTATCAATAAAATCCATTCTATGGAGTTTAGATACAATTGTAAAAGTTAAATTATTACTGTCATTTATTCATATACCGAAGCGAAACATCAGTGAAGTAAGAAAAAAAAATTCTATCAATGAATAATTGCAAAAAAGACGTTTTTTCTAGTGGGAAAGCTTAGTAAAAGATATAATTGAATTAAGTCGAAAAGATAATGTGGGTGATCAATGGGTTGCTGTTATAAGTGAAATTATGAAAACATTTCCCGATAAATCATTATTTAATCTTGATTTAACTGATCAAGAATGCGAAGGTTTTACAAATGGAATACAAGAATTAAGAAAAACAGGTTTTATTAGTTATTTTCTCATATTTAGCAATCGCATTTATTTCATTTTTCAGTTAAAAAAAATAATGACACAACACATTTACCATTAGAATCATGTTATTTGGGGAAAAGTGCATTAAAAATGTTAACAGGCGATATACCAAATCCATCGAAATGTTTTAGTCTTATACGTAAAGCCAAATCTGCAAGAATACGACAAGAATTACTAGAGAAAAGTATGTAAACATTTTTTCGGTTTTGTTAAAACTATGAATTTATTTTCAAGGTGCTCAAACATCTAAAACAAAGAAAGTAGCAGATTATGCAGCTATACCAGGATCTCGACGATCAGTTGATGAATATTGTAAATGCATGAATATTTATTCATTGATTTGTAAAATTTCTGAAATTTTATTTAGCATCAATTTATTCTTCATCAAGTGCAACATCAAAACCATCAAATATTGGATTTCTTAAATCAAATACAATAAGTTCAACGTCGGGAATTATTGGTACTTCACGTTTACATAATCGTCGGGAAGGAAATGTTAAAGTAAAGAGAAAAACTATTATTCGAATATGTTTCAAACGGTTGTTTCTTCATTTTAGCTTCTTTCTTTAGAAGAAGAACAAGCTTTAAATGATAAGAAACGAAAGAAAGCGAATGGTAAGTCATATGCCATTGCAACTGATGTTGAAAGCTAAAAAAAATATTTATCTATCATAAAATCAATTTATGGGTTCTAGAAACTTTTCCTTCATGTTCACTGATATTCAGCTATTTTTTTCGAGATAGACTTTCTTCAATGTAACATTATTATAGTTGTATGATATGATATGCTGTCATCTTCTACTTCTATAGCTTCTAGTATAGTGATTATAAAATGCCTAATGAGATGGAAGAATTTGAGTCACTCTTTCAAAGATTATGTCGAAATGAAATCTGCCTTGGGATTTTCCCCTAAATTTCAAGATTGTTTTTTTTTATTACGTCCTACTTGCATACAAATACAGAAAATGCTTTATATCAAGAAAATATGTATGATTAATATTTATGTATAAAATGAAGTATTATAGGAAAAGATATATCTTTCAATGCATTTCTAGCTGTCGTCTTTCTGACTGATTTTGTCTTTCTCTCTCTCTCTTTATCTTACTAGACGATGATGAAGATGCCAATGAAAAGAAATCGAGTCGTAATAAGAAAGCCAATAAACAACAACAAAACACGGATCATGCGGATAGTACCATCGACGATTTACTTACTGTTCCATCAACGTCTTCGGCTAATACTGACTCACATGAGTTACCTACTCCAACTAATTTTGACCAATCATCTACCTTTGTTCCGGTATGAAATCATTTTTCTTTGATTTTTCAATAACTTCTGTTTCAATTTAGCAAGCAACGTATGCACCATTTAGTATGAATGATATGCCTGCTACACCTAATCCATTAATGAATAGTAAGTGGTTTGAGTTGATTGTTCAAAACAAATTATGATCAAAAAAATTAAAAAAACACCTAGATGCAGCAAATGATTTACTCTACGGTCTACATCAATCTCGTATTGACAGAAATTATTCAACAAATTTCAATGACATTAATAAATCATCTGAACAAGATAGACTTTTAAATACTTCACCTATACGAGCGGATCTAAAATTAACCGTAAATAGATTTTGAAAATAAATTAACATCGTCTTTGTATTTCACATTTTCTTTTTTTTTTGTAGAATGAACAAATTGAATTCGCTCGTGATCTTTTTCGTTCAAGTACTTGCTTAACACGAGCAGATAAAAGTCGAATATTGGCTTTTATTGCTGGCGTTCGTGGTAGGTGGAAATTTATTAATTGATGAAATATTGGATTCTAAAATCTTGATTCTATAGATCGTTCATTAGATAATAATAAATCTGGCAATCCAATTATAACAATAAAACTAACTGAAAAAGATGAAATGATCCTTGATCAAAATACAAATCAGCCTCAACAATATTTTGCTGAAACATTTTTTCAAATGAATACATCAACTGGGGAATGGAAACGTATTAAAAAATTGCGACCTTTAAATCAAATTAATTGAGAACAAATAAATTTATTTTCCTTTTTGTGTGGTGGATATTTCACCACGTGCTTACTTTGTTTTTTTTGTTTGTATGTGCTTTTTTTCTTTTGCTCGTATACACATAAATATATGTAAATAAAGTCGAGAAGAAAACAAAGTAGAGAAATGCATAAAAAAATTCTTTGTTTCTAGATCGTAGAAGCAATGACTGTTGGCAAATGGATATTAAACATACTGTCTAATATTAATCAAGATTTTATGTAAGACAATTGTTTCATTTATTTCAGATAGATAAAATATAAAAAGAATTGTAAATAGAAGTATATTTATGTATTATGTACAGAGTTCTAGGCTTTTTTTTTGTTCTGTCAAAGTTCGTCAGAATATTTGCTAAGGAAGTCATATTTGCGTTGTGTAAGACATATATCAACATTCATTACACTATCTGGTTTTTATTATCTTTCATTACTCATATTCGCTTTTTTTGCTGCTACAATAAAATCACAACAATATCATTAGAGAAAACATGAAAATAAAAAAAATTTTCTTCTAAACATAAAACTATCAAATAGACTTCTTACAATGTGTAAGAAAGAAGATTGCGATTCTAATTTTTCAAAAAAGAAAAAAAAATTATAGAATGTATTAATGGTTAGATAATAGATCTAGTGTTGTAATATTTAATTAACATAGAAGAAAGATGTCCCGGATGAGTTGAAAAGGTCGAGCTAACAGTTATATTTTCAGTTCAATGTCATACGCATTGTATAAAATTGAAAACAAAACAAATACTTCAAGTGCATTAAGGATAAACAAAAAAGAGCACTTAAATCATTTCCTACGGTGTTGTCACGGGAATAAATCGTTTTCATTTGCATATCTACGAATGGACGTAAATAACATTCGTTGAATATTTGAATGAAAAATAAAATAACGGTAAATTGAACCAACGAAATACAGAGCACGGAGAAGGTAAGCCTCTCCAATTTTCAATTTTTGTTCAGTGACTTTATTCGTACTAATTACTAAAGATTAGCGATTTGTTAAATCACCTTGCTATCTTATCAAAACTCTTCTGATCTTGGCAAACCCCTATAGTGACAAATTTTACTTTAGGTAATACTAATTTATAAAACTGAAAACTATTTTCCAGTAGAATCTAATTAATTTTCTGTGATACAATCTACTTTTTTTTTATTACGCAGAAGAAGTAAGTAATTATATCATAGTCAAAGATATTTTTCTGTTATTGAAATAAACCTTAGATTCAAGTATAAGTAATCATACAAGACCTTTGCCAATAATCAATTAATCACAACATGTTTTATATACATTTCACGCATTGATATTTTGCCTCATCGATCTTAGCAATAAACACTAAGTTAGTTAATCAATTTTCATCCCTATCAAGTTTGTCTGTGTGTCGATCATTAAAAAAGACTTCTTCAATGTCTTTGCACCATCACATTGTGATAATATTCACTTTTGAAAAAAAGTTCTCATGACGTAACTGTTAAACGTAAAATCAAAAAGAAGCATTATTGATTGTATAATCAATATTATTCGATATTGAGGACATGGCATCATAGAAAGAGAGAGAGAGAGAGAGAGAGGGAAAAGAAAGAGAAAACCTTGATTTTACTCTGTTTGTAGAGAGTATCAGCTAGTACACATGTAGCGTTGTGCACGTCACCAGTTCTACCAAATGTCGTCTCTTGAAATCTACTAGCGCTTCGCGTGCCAGTGCCAATCATGTGGATACGTTTACATTGCTTTGTTATGACAAAAAAAACTTGATTTCGTTTCATCAGATAGAGAAAAGCTTAAATTTGTTATCTTGGTTCTGATTGACTTCGAATTGAAATTCAAAAGAAAAATGAAAATTTTATTCCCGATAACCGAACTCATTTTTAGACATATATAGTTTTAATTCTTTTTTCTTCTTTTGTTCAATTGCGAAGATCAATAGACGGGTGGAAAGATCATAGACGGCAGACTGCTATTGTACAAAGGAAATTATACTCGATTGATCGAGTGACATATATATACATACATATGAACACTGTTGGACGTCGTCTACTGTTTTCTTCTTTTTTGTTTTTTGAAATAATTTAATAGATCAAATTTTAGTTGTACTGCATTCGAATAGGTGAGAATTTGTTGGCTTAGGTATTTTTTGGGAGAGTGAAATCCATTGTTTATATGTAAACTTTTATAGTATATGAATATTAAGTAGTTACGTATTCAATGTAATGACTATTCTGCTCGTTGTTCATTAGTATCAACCGTTACATTAAACAAAAAGTCAGATAGTGATATTGTTCTTTACCTCTCTCTCTTACCACCCTACTCTAGTAATCAACAGACAACAATATCTATCGCGTCTCTTTACTGTTGTTGATAGAGAAAGAACGAGAAGCAAGTTCTTAGATGCTTAACATGTTGTGCATGTATGCGGAGGAGGAGGCGAGATGAAAGATGTTCGCTGAGTGGGAGCATGAAGAAAGATAAGCTTTTCTTTCTTTTCTCCCTCCACGCTCATTGGCAAATATGTACAAAACGTCGACATTTTCTTTTCTCTTTTTGGGTTCCATTGTTCTGTGGAGTGTTATACATATATAAATATACAGCAAAGACTCTCCTATGTGCTTCCGTTGCATAATTTTCTCGGATTCTTTTTTTTTTGTCCAGAACGAACACAGAACGAGAAAAAAAAGAAGAAGAAGAAGCGACGGTACCTTCTGGTTTTTCTTTTCCTGGCTTGTTGTTATACCGATCATCTCTTTCTGATCATCGAGATAGGCTGTTTACGCGCGTTTACAAGAACATTTTTTTTTCTTACCCTCGTTGATATATTTATGTTGACGTCTATTTTTACGCATCTTCTTGGAAAAAAACGTCCTCCGAGTACCATAAAACATATTCGTCGTGTACGATCAATGTTTCAATGCACAAGTTCTATTTTCCATTCGATTTGTCTTCCTGATAATAGAACTGAAAGCTAGTCATTGCAAATAGAATGCAATCAAAAAAATAAATGATATATCATCTATTATTTTTAGATAATGTAGCTAAAGTAATTATCAAGGATCTCAATTAAAATGAATTTATTCAAATATCCAACATAATGTCGACTTCATCATTAGCTTCGTCGACAACAAACACTTATAATGACACTAATGGATTAAATGGTAATTCATCAACATTACAATGTCGTGTACAGTATCTTGATGATACCGATCCATTTTCAAGTGTAAATTTACCTGAGCCAGCTAGGCCACCATCATTTACATTTCTTACGGCAACAGTTTTAAGCAATCAAATCAGTAGTGTACATAAAGTTCTTAATGCTCCACATAAAGTAAATTTTATTTTATATTAAGATAGAAATAAAACTAAGAATTGTTTATATTCTATTGCATAGATTCCTGATTGTACACTTCAATTATGTCGACAAGATGGAAGTAAATCAGAACTTGGACCTTATCTTGATATCGATCAAACACTTGAAGAACAACGTGAAGATATTGAAGCTTTTACAGAAGGGTATGTCATTTATGTTTACTTTTGTCCACATGAGTTCATTAGATCTTTTTTTTGACAGTATTATTATTATTAGAGATTAATAAAAAATAATAATAAACTTTCGTTGGTTTTTTAATCTTACTGTGTTAGCTACTATATCACATTTCTTATGTTTTTTTAAGACGTAAATGGTCAATAGTGCTTCGTACTCAATTAAGTGTACGAGTCCATGCTTGTATAGGTAAATGAATTGAATGTTTTCTGTTTCTCTTGGAATTTAATAGAATCTTTTATTTTATTTTTTGTATAGATAAATTATTAAATTCAGATGGACGTGAATTACGACGATCATTATTTTCACTGAAACAGATTTTTCAAGTAAAAAACACATTAAAACGCTTTTTTCTGTTATCAATTTTGACTTTTGTTATTTTACTAAGGATGATAAAGATCTTGTGCATGAATTTGTTAATAATCAAGGTTTACAATGTTTAGTGAAAATTGGTGGTGCTGCTGATCAAAATTATCAAAATTATATTTTACGAGGTAGAATAACGTTTTTTTTTTGAATTTAAAAAACAACAACAATGTTTTCTTCATCTAGCACTTGGTCAATTAATGCTTTATGTTGATGGAATGAATGCAGTTATGAATCAAAATGAGGTTGTTCAATGGCTTTATTCATTAGTTGAATCAAGTGTAAGCAAAAAATTGTCCTAGGAATATTCTTTATAAATTCTAATCGATTGTTTCTTATTTAGTTTCGACTTGTGGTTAAAACCAGTTTAAAACTATTGATTGTCTTCGCTGAATATACCGAATCAAATGCTCTATTAATTCTAGCAGCTGTAACTAAAGTTGATCGAGCATCAAAACGTCTACTGTGGTCAAATGCAATGAAAATTCTAAATGAAATGGATAATTCAGCTTCAGAAGTTGTTTTGTTAATTATAACGTTGTTTAATACAATTTTATCTGCTATGCCGGATCAAGATACATTTTATGATATGACTGATGCATTAGAAAAGCAAGGAATGCAAAGATGTACACAATTTTTTCTTAATCGAAAACCAGTCGAACCAGATCTTGTTGAACAATTTAATATTTACGATGTAAGTTAGACTATAGATATATCAGTACAATAAATTATGAATTTTAGTGCTAGAGAAGAACCAAAGTTCGAGGTATCTTCATCGTACTCGTGTTGTTGTCTGAGTATGTTTGAGTTTCGTATAAGCTGCTTAATGTAATCATAAAATTTGGCTATAAAATTGATTCTTTTCATATCAAATAATAATAATAATAATATTGCATTATGTATCTTATTTTTAGGCTGCACTTCGACACGAAGATGGTGAAGATGATACTACAGCTTCTCAATCAATCAGGTGTGTATTATGTAAATAATTATTCATTAAGCATGACAACCTTTGGTAGCTACACTTGTTCTTTTCATCAAAACAAAAGACTCGACGGGAAAATAACTTTTTCTTTTCTAAAATATAAAATATCGACATTAGATCTCCATCGTTATCCAATATTCTTGAAAATGCTCTTTCGAGGTAAACTTTCAAAGTTCTTTTCTCTACACAATATAGAAATAGCTTCACCAGTTTATAATTTTTTGTTTTGCTTTTCAATCCAGCATGCTTTGCATTTTTTTAAAAAACATCCCCATGCTTATCGCTTTAAGGAGGCGTATACCCCGCACAAAATCAATATTTGAACGAACGTCATCACGTCGTTATTCATCTGTGGATCTTGAACCCAACGATTTCTGTGATAATCAACAAGAACGTATGATCAATGATAATACTAATCATGGACATATTCGTCAAAATCACTTGCATTTTATCGATTCAATTTTACGACAAAATGATGATGCGATTGTTTCCTCGAATGGACACGACGAATCAACTATATCGTTCGACGGTGAAGACAATAGTGATGAGTATGCTTGCTTTATTTTGCAAAAGCTCTATTATTTTTCCCTTGAGATTTCATTTTTTTCTTTTGTGTGCTACTTGGATTCTTTTTGTTTCTTATGATTTCATTCGCATCAAATTTTTATAAATCATATCTTAGGCGAAAAGCACGAGTTAAAAGTGCTGCAGGTGATCGCATAAGTATGCGAAGGTGTTCATCGAATGCTATTTTAACTACACCGAGAAAAGAACAGGAAGCGTAAGTAAAAATAGAACATCTTTTTTTATTGTTTCTATAAAAAACAATTTTCATTATATTTAGACCAAAGCCAGTGCCAGATAGTAGTGCTATACGTCGAATGCAAAATAGATGGGAAGCAGAAACTCAACAACGTGAAGCTGCAGCAGCCAAAGCTCAAATACCTAAATTAGCTTCAACCGGACGAAGTCGTGATCGTTGGGCAACTTCCAATGATACATCAGCAGCAAATGTTGATACTCAGCGATCTAATCAACAACCTTCACGTAAATGAATTGATTTTTGATGAGAATAGTTTGATTGATTGTTGAAAATCTTTATCTAGCTTTAAAAGCAATGCCATCATCTGATGTTCATACAGTTCCGTCCAGTCGGTTTACACGCCCGTCAACTTCTTTTGATGCTGTATCACCTCCTGCGACACCTTCTCATCATCAGAATAATCAACAACCACTAAGTCCGCGTGCAACTGAGCCGAAAGTATTTTCAAGACCGCCACCTGCGCATCAAAAGACTACAACAAGTACCAGTGCAATTGAAGCTTTAACACGTCAAATTAGTTTATCATCAACAGGCGGAAATGATGCAACACTAACAACAAATGGTCAGGCCACTATTCTTGTAAAAGATGCAAAAGTAACACCAGCAACAGAACTTGTTGGCGCTGTAACAAGGGCGAAAGACAGTAAATATATAATATTTCGGGAAATGAAAATAAATTTTAATATTAAATTTTATAGGCTTACAACAAGCAACAACAAAACCATCGCAATTGATACTACCAGGCATTGGTCTATCTGGTCAATTGCCTGACTCATTACTATCGAAGCCTCGATCGGACAATGATCTTCAATGGGAATTTATCGTTGGCAAACTACTCTCACGTAGATTAGTCGTACAAGATCTGAATTTCGAAGAATTGGATGACCGAGATGATAAAAGCATTTTCACGATGGGAGGTGGTCATATGGGGCCTCCTCCACCACCGCCGCCAATGATGAACGGTGTTGGACCTCCTCCACCACCACCAATGATGCCTGGTTTTTCATTACCACCACCGCCACCACCACCACCCATGGCTGGCATACCACCTCCTCCTCCGTTCTTACCAAGAGGCATGGGACCCCCACCACCACCGCCACCTATGAATATGAGTAATGGTAATTTCAATGGTGCACCACGACCGCCGCCACCGACAGCACAAACAAATAATAAATCTGTCAAGACTATTCGTTTACATTGGCGTGATGCAGCGCCGAATATGTTACCTACCACATCAGGAACTGATGATTCTCTCTGGAAATCATTAAACAAAGTTCCATTAGATACTGAAAAATTAGCTCAACTATTCGAATTAAAACAGAGTGAAGTTAAAATCAAGGTAAAAACTAGAATGATTATTTTCTAAGATAATAGTTCCAGCTATTTTTTTTTCGTAATTATTGAAATGAATATTATATTTAAATAATCATTTCTATATCTTTCATTTCATTTTAATACATTTCTTTCTTTCTTTCTGTTTTTTTATTCATCCAGGAAACCGTAAGTTTAATGTATACGTGTTGTTAATCAATAACTTAAATTCTTTGATATTATCTAAGTTTGAATAATAATCAAACTAAACAAAACTTCTCTTTGAGATAGTCTACGACTTTCTTTATTATATGTGCATACGTAACTAACCATTAGAGTTTACATTTACATATTAAAAACAAAATGCGTTGTTATTATAAATATGTTGTTCTTTCTTTGTACATATATTTGCCTCTTGTTTTTCGTTGGGGAAATTTATTATATGTATATATCAATGAGAAAATAACTTTTGTTTTCTTTTTAATCTATAGAAAGGTGGTGATGTTAAAAAGGAAATTACTGTACTCGATACAAAACGTTCAAATGCAATTAATATTGGTTTGACAGTATTACCACCAGCACGAACAATTAAAGCAGCTATTTTAAAAATGGATAGCAGTGTGATTAATAAAGAAGGCATTGAGGTAAATGTCTTTCGTTTTTGTTATTTAGTAAAAATATGGTGTACCCATTGATGAATTTTCCATAGTGAGACTTCATCCTTGTTTTGATAATCACAGAAAAGCTTATAGATTTGAATTGAATATTATCATCTATCGAGATATAAGTAAACTCTGTATTCTAGACTATAAATATTATTCCTATCGATCTTAATGAGAAGATTAATCAAAATTGAATGAGTAACCGAAGAAAATCAATATAGGAATAACAGGACGATTATTGAAGTTGAATAATTCGATATGCATTAATCTATTCCTTGCGCTATAATGAATAATAGACTGAAAAAGAAAAACTAATTTCTTTTTCTACTGAAATATTTGATTATAATAATTGTTTATTTAGAAATTATTAACTATGCTTCCAACTGAGGAAGAAAAAAATCGTATTATAGAAGCTCAAATGGCTAGCACGGATATTCCATTGGGAAACGCTGAACAGTTTTTATTAACACTTGCATCTGTTGTTGAACTTGAAGCTCGTCTTAAACTATGGTTATTTAAACTTGATTTTGACAATATTGAATTGGTTTGTTAAACGCACAATATTCATAAAATAACTTATAACTGTTTGGTCTCTAGGAAATTGCTGAACCATTAATGGATTTAAAAAATGGAATGAAAATCTTGAAAGATAATAAAACATTTCGACATATAATGGAAGTACTTCTTGCTGTCGGAAATTATCTGAATGGAGTTGAAGTATATTATCATCTACTTTTTAAAACTCAATCTTTAAGCCATTTTTTTTTCAATTAAAGTCAATCGGTTTTCAACTTGATTATCTATCGAAAGTTCCTGAAGTTAAAGATACCATTCAAAAGCATTCATTACTATTTCATGTGTGCAATATTGTCGTTGAAAAATATCCTGAAACAAGTGACTTCTATTCAGAAATTGGCGAAATAACACGATGTTCTAAAGTAAAGAAATTTGCATTTTGTTTTATTTAAAGAAAAAATTGAAAATTCATTGTTTAGGTTGATTTCGATGAACTTGAACAAAAATTAATTAAAGTCGAAAGTGATTGCCGAGCTTCATTTGATCATTTACGTGCAATCAGTAAACATGAAACACCACAAGTTAAAACAAAGTACGCATTCATATGCATGTATGTATATAAATATACATATCAAATTTGAGTCTATAAACTATCATAATCATATTGATAAGAGTTTTTTATTACAAAAAGAAAAGTGAACAGATAGAAAAACTATTTTCAGAAGTGATCTTAAAAGTACATGGTTAAATCTATTTTGGCACGTATGTATTGATGGATTCACTTGCTTTCTTTTTTTTTATCTCTCTTGTTCTACGTTCACAACGATACACTTAAATGGATAAAACTTTGCTTCACAACAAACAACTCGCTTATCCTTTAATGTTTATTTTAGTTTTATTTTTAATTATTTTCTTAAAATACCTGAATTGATTTAGATTGTCTGAATTTTTAACTGATTGTGCTGAACGTATTTGCCTATTGAAACTTATTCATCGACGTGTCATGAATCGTTATCAAAAATTTCTTATTTGGCTTGGCTATTCTCCTGGTATTTTAAAAGACACAAAAATAACAACATTTTGTAAAATACTCAGTGAATTTGCACTGGAATATCGCACAACACGTGATCGTATCACAACACAAAAACAGAAAAAACAAAACCGAGGCGAAAGAAATCGAACTCGAGGAAAGTTAATAACTGAAGTGAGTTTTTTCTATGATTGAGGTTCTATTGAAAATAATAAGTGAATTTCGTTTTTTTTCTCTCTCTATTTGAATAGATTATTCCAGAAAAAAGTGGTTTACTTAAACATGCTTTACCAAATGATTGTCGAACAGATGATGAAGCTGAATTTATGTATCAGCGAACAATTGATAAATTGAACCCACCCAATAATCGAACAAATAATGATTCATCTCATACAGTACCCGCTGTAACTAAACAACAGCTAAATCCACTCACGAAACAGTCAAGTGTGTCAAGTGGTTTAGCAGCAGCTGTACATAATGCTTCAAAACAAGAAACAATGATGCCTGGTCATAGACCAAGAGAAAAAGCTGCTAGTACGTTTGAACTTTTGTTTTCTAAGTCGTTTCATTAGAAGTCGCATTTAAATTTTGCATTAACTCACATAGAAACCATTGTCTTGGCGTGAACACGTCCGAATAGTTTAGTCTTTAGTAGAAGCAATTTTCGAATTCTATACTCTCGTTGAGAGTAGTTCTTCTAAATGTTACTCTACTCTACAAGAAGCACTGATCTAAAACAGTCATACTAGTTTTCTAGTCAGAGAATGCAAAAATGAAATTCCACTTGTTCTAAGCAAAAAGGAAAATTTTCTAGAATTGAATGTTGATAATCTATTGTAAGTAGAAAAAATATCATGAAACAAAAACAAATTTTTTAGGTAATGCTTTGAAAAAGCCTGCTGTACAATCGTCATCAACATTAGGTGTAAAACAATCATCTAATCCAAATGAAACTGAAGCTTTTGATACAAGTGATGAACTACTTGATGATCTTGTTAAAAATGCGACTTTAACAGCGTCAAGAGACGCTCTCAAACAGCGTAAAACCGCTCGATATGGTGCTCAAAGACGATCATGTATGTTTTCATATCACCGAGTCAAAGCATTTATTTTATTTTTATTTTTCTATGTGTTTACAGTACGTCGTACTCTTCATCTTGGTTTAAATGAAGAAGAACGTGCCGAAGTACTTGGTGCTGGAACAAAATAATTTATTTTATTATTCTCATTTAATGATTTTAGCTTTTAAATCAGTTTTTATTTGCCCAATCCTGCGCCGGTGTCTTCTCAAAATTTTGTTTATGTTTTACGTTGTACATGTTTTATTTAACTAAATGTACTTTATTTCAAATAATCATCAGTTTCTCTCTTCTTTTTTCTTTCTTTCTTTGTGTTTTGCTTGCCTATTTGTCTGTCTTTCACATGACAAAACAAAAAGAATGACTTATGCCTTTGTTCCCTATTACTGCCAATCTGTGTTTTACGAATCTCTTTGTTTTTTTTTTTATTGTACAAAGAAGAAACCAAAACAAAACAAATGATAACCATTTTTTTGTTTATCGATAAAAGATAACAGTCAATAAGGTTTTTTTGTTTATAATAATGATAATCATAATAATAATCGGAAACAGACACGTTAGAAAACAAGTGTGATTTTGTAGATATGTCGGATTTATTACCGGAACCACCATCATCATCAGCATCGGCAACCAATGATGAATCAGAATCCCTTGATCATTTATTGGATGATGCTTTAACTGATTTTAAACAAACTGCAGCAATAAAAAAAGATGCAGTAACTCGTTCAGCTGATGCACCACCACCACCATCGGATCCATTGCAAACAACGTTTGAAGCTATGTGTTTTAATGATGAAAAATTCTTAAATGAACTCGATTCAATACCGAATCTTTTATCGAATTTTCCGTTTGGTCTAGGTGAAGCAACAAATGAAAACGAAAACGAAAGTGAAACTAATAATATATTTAATGTTTTTTCTCAATTGGGTAAACATGCTGAATTATTACAAAAAATAAAAGATGAAGATATCGAAAAAGCATTAGAAAAACTAGCTGATCAACCGAGCACAGCATCGGCATCGAACGCAGCAACATCCGTGCCCAATGAACCACATGTTGAACAACTAAATTTATTCATGTCAAGTATATTATCGAAAGATGTTATGTTGCCGGCATGTCAAGCCGTTGATGAATCCTATGACGAATGGTTAGAAAAAAATAAGGATAATTTAACTGATGAGGAACTTCAACGATATACAAAACAACATCAATGTGTTAAAGATATATGTCGAGAATATGAAACAGTATCGAACGACAGTCAACAAATTCAACATGTTCTACAAAAATTCCAACAATTACAAACCTATGGTGATCCACCAAAGGAACTTTTATTTTTTCCTGGTTTACCCGGTTTTGGTGGATTAGGTAGTGGAGATGAAAATTTATTTGGTGATACTTTTTCAGAAGTTGATAATATTGGACAAAATGAAAAGGAATGTTGTGTAATGTAGAGCTGATCTTGTGCGGTTCATTTGTGATGCGACTAGTCGATCAGTTTGTTATACGCATGTGTGACTTGGCATTTTCCATATTTCATTGCATTGGATGATTTTTTCGTTTTGATTTGATATCTATTTACTGAACGTTCTTTTCTTTCCTGGCTTTTATTTGAGTAAAAAGATGATTCTTCTGTTTTCTTTCATTCGTCTGGTTCTTGTTCTCGTACATTGTAGTGTCTCTGTTTATGTTGTTCTTCAGATAGTTGTTTCAATTAAAACAAAATCAAAATTTCATATGTAAACATTTTTAGTGATTTCGACACAACAAATTGTAAAAGCAAATCTTGTCTATACAATGGTTTTGCTTATCGAAAGTGTTAGATGATGATTTAAAAAGTATGGTGAATAAGCTCACACGACTGCATGAGGCAGTCATGTTCAATTTCAAAGGTAGAATAGTTACAAGTTTCTCATCTATATAGAATTTTTTCTTCTCTTTGTAACAGATGTATTTATTATGAAAGATACTACAGTGAACGATTGGAAATTTTCATTTCGTTTATACGAATTAATACCATTAGAGATATGGAATTTCGATATTTATTTCACAAGAAAAAACGAAGAAAATTTATGCTCATTTCGAGTATGGATCATTAAAAGTGAGTAATCATTTTTGATTGAATTCGAAAGCGAAAAGTGTCATAAATAAAGATTGTAATTACTTATCTATCATCATTTTTATATCTTTTTATTAGATAATTCTTTTTTTTTAATAGAATAAATATTTCGCATGAAGTGACGAATAAAGGAATTTCTAAAGTTTTATGAATCCAATAACTTATCAATCACCCTTACTATTTCTGAGAGAAAATTCTACTTATATTTTCAATAAAAATTTCTGAATTTCATCCATTATCTTAAATTTAAATATGTGTACTCAAAATTAGCCTTTCATAGTAGCTATACAGCAATTTATAAAGAAAAAAACCCAAGTAAAGAATTGCATCAATTAATATGTATGTATACAATGGCTTTGTACAGCCTATTAGCCCCTTTGAGTCACGACCCCCCAACAATGGAAATTTCATACATACATCTAGAAATAGTGTAGACTCTTGAAGTATCTTATGAATAATCATTGTGCAGCATAAAATATATTTATTTAATTGGTATAAACCTAACATGTAGTTACACTTAAAAGTTGCCGCCGCTGTATTGTTTATAGAAAGATGATTCATTGCTGGATTTGAATTTTATGCAAATATCCTTGGAAAACTAAAATAAATCGAAAAATTTTAGGATGTTTCTAATTTTAGCATATGCATAGAAGAATTGATTCTTTCTACATTTAGTCAATGTTAGGTATTGCTCATAGTTCAGGTCACTGATTTGATGTTAAGGATTCGTTTGACCTATATTATATAGAAGATAATATAAGTAGTTACTTATTATAATTTCAATAAAGCTTGTTGTTCAAGACAGAATAGATTTTTTGTTACCAGTAATTATTACTTGTAAGGTATTCTCGACATCTTGATATTTTCAAAGGAACACAATATTATTACTACGCAGTGTATCGACTGCAAAAGCATCTAAGAAGAATTTCTATGTAAAAAGAAAGCTATCAGTATATTCTCTAATTTTTTTTTATTAAATAAAATCATTATTTATGATTCATGGTTAAAGATTGTGCAATAGGTCTAAAGAATTGAAAACAGAATTCAAACAAATTTATCATATGCATAGAAAATCTGTAGAAGAAGATTTTACTCATTCATACAACGAAATACTCCAATATGAAAAGATCCATCGCACTAGCATGAGTATTATTAAAGATCATTGAGCTGAATATTGCACATTTTTATTTATGCAATAGTTCGTTGTGGTAATGCTCCGATAATTCTCTCAATTACTATGGTAAATTATTTCTCTTTGTACACATTCATAGCCGTTTCTTCATTATGTTCAATGAATTGACCTCATCGTGTTTATATACGAACTATAGCACATGATGTTAATTACTAATATGCCGTCATATAGCCTAATTATATATACTATTAGTCTAAGAAGCATTTAATAAAAGTACTATGCATGAAGGCTATATAAAAACAAATCCGACTATTTCTTTTGATTCGATCGAAGTACGTATTGGACTTATCTTGTTACGCATTTATTGTGATAAGTAATGAAATCGATCTCTTTCATCACACGAAATGAAGTTCATACGTATATCGATTACATAGCTTAGAGTGTTACATAAAGTCTATGAGAATTATCCATAGTTTATCGTTACGCAGCGAAATGAATGCCTATGACCAGGGGCGTAAGTCATGTCTCAGAGCAGGGGGAGTGTGACGACAGCAACGTCACTGATCTTGCCTTGATGTTTGTTGTATCATGTATGTTTGCTTCTCCTCTGTGTTGTTCTCTCTTATTGCTTATTGTCGCGCTTGTTATTTTCAACATTGGCACCTTTTTTTTTGTTTTTCGCGCTTAGACTCAGAGAAATGAGATCTAATTACTTTCTTTTTTTTCTCCTCAAAGTTTCCTAGAAGCTTCTTGATATATCTTTCTTCACTGAGATATACTAATTCTTCTTTTTCTTCTCTGACTACTACTTTTCTTTTTGATCAATTACATACTACCTTTTTCTTTTCAACTTGATTGTTCTTTACAATCAATCTGATTCGATTGTTCCTTACAATCGTTCGAACTCGTGTCAGCTATTTGCTTGTGGAGTTCTTCTTATTATTCTCAACTATTTCTGTTCATTGAATAAGCAATTGGATCTCCATCCAATATTCAATACTATTCTATTGTCGTTGTTGTCATTCTGCCATAACCAATACCATGGCACCTGACATTATTATTAGTAGCGTCTCTGATCCTCATCAAGGCGTTACAGGGGGGGGGGGAACTGTAATTTTTGTGTTTTGGTGTGCAAAAAAACGAAATTTTCAAAAGCAGGGCGGCGTTACGCCCCNTTACTTCCCCCGCTATTTACGCCGCTGCCTAGGACACTTTTTAACCTATTCATTTTCTGCGTTAAATAAAACGATTACATTCAATATATTTTACATGAAAAGCTAAAAAGCGAATTTCTATTCTTGATTCGCTCGATATAATAGATACTACTAGTTATATGTATCTATTCATCAAAATATATAGCAATAGTGGTTCATACTGAGAATAATGTTTATGGGTAAAAAAGGCGCAAAAAAGCAGAGAGGGTTAATCACGTTGTTCTGTGAAAGTCAGTTTACGCCTTCAAGAAAGAAAAAGAAAAAGAAAAACAACAATCAAAAATAAAATTCATGAAATCTCACCGGTAAAAATGCGACTATTTTTGAAAATCAAAAGCATGCCAGTCACTCAAATAAAACCATCACAACCCTTTTCTGTTTGTTTTTAGAAAACAACGCTTTTATCATTCCAATGAAATCATTTCTTTTCAGTTGCTTTAGTAGAATGTCTATGCTACTGTGTGTGAATTTTTTCCTTCACTCAATTTTTAAATATTCCTTTACTACCCTATGGCCAAAACAGTGATCCACGTGCGGCCATGATAAAATTTCTCAAGCCTTCTATTATGCAGTAGTAGTTAAATGCTCTTCAGGCATTTTCTACCAGAGGGCCTGCTATCTTAGTTAATTATGGTTAGAAACAGTTGTTTGCAATGCTGCTACACGTTAAAATCGCTAATACATTTTTTCGCATTCGGACTCTGGTGAAGTTCGTTGTTTATATTCATTTCTAAATAATTTTCAGATACAGATCCAAAGCACTTACTCAAACTCAAACCTAAGTTTATGCCTTAGGTTCACATTTTAATTTATTAACTAAGTAAGCAAAGATCTTATTTTACAATAGATTAGGCTAACAATGGTAAGAGCATCCAGAGACTTGAAATTATTTCTCAAGTTTTCAGAGAAAATAGCTCACAAGAAAAGTTTCAAAGCTCGTGAATAGAGAAATCTAGAGGAACAGAACAACAGTACTAGTCGGTTCATAATGCTGTACTGTCGCTATATTCGAATCTTACGAGAGAAAAACAATAGTCCAACTTTACCTGCCATAATAAAATATGAGACAAGCAGTTTACACTATATTCTACATCGTTTGGTTGATCTATTTTTTTGAAATTCTTTTCATTGTAATTAAAATCTTAAGTTTTTCCAAGTAGCTTGAACTCTCACGTCCTTCTTTCCGCACTTTCACCACAAATACACTTTTTTTAAGCATCGACAAAATTCAACGTGACATTACATTTTGAAAAGAAAAAGAAAAAGAAAAACGTAAACATTCACATTAAACACTGCGGTGGAAGTAAAACGGGGGCTGATTTCGATAGTACTGAACTTTACTGCGATTAAAAATTGTGAATGATTCATATTTTGTTTTTCTGATAAAAAGAAATTGATTGTTTAAAAGAAATAAAATACTTCATAGGTTTGCATACATTCATTGATTCAACCAAAAAAAAAAGGAGTTGCATTATATGACCGTTCCTCGAGCAGGTTGCTACTGCAAAATTATTCGGGCTTTAAAAAAAAGTCATCTGTTATAATATGCAGATTTCTATTAATTCTTGATGTTTATCGCACCGATTAAAAGCACTTTTAAGTGTTCAAAAAGGAGGCAGAACAAATAAAGGTGAAGTTCCGTTGAAGAAAATACGAGCCTTCTTACAAAATAAATAAAAAAAGACGTGCAGAGAGTTTTATTCACATTCGCTGAAATTCAGCCAATTTTCTACTTTAATTATTATACGTTAATTATTAAAGGCACTAATAACAATGTCAAATTTTACCAGTTATGGTAAGAATCTTTCAAAATAAATAAGAAGCTATTTGATTATTTTACGCTTCATTAGATCCTTATGAAGATATTCCTTCTCCATCAATCGATGCACTAAATGAATTGCTAAGTAAGTTTTCTAGCATTGCATATATAATATTCGTTTATTTGAATAATTTTTTAGATTTACCATCTAATTTTGACTTCAGTAAGTGTGAATTTTCTCACATTTGCTTTTTTTCTTATTTCGAAATATAGATATGAATCCCACACCGGACGGTATGAATCCGTCTCTTCATAGTAATTCAAATTCTCCTTCACATTTAACAGAGCTACCTGAAATATATCCATCCGTCGCTCTTCAATACAGTCTAGATTTTAATAGATGTGAATCTTCGAATTCACACCATAATCTTGGAACAACTTTGCCAAGCAATAATAATTTCGAATCAATCTTAATGAAAACAAATTCTTTACGTTCATCACTGCATACAGATATTACTATTGATACGTCTTTAGAACTAGAAGATGAAAAACTTCATATTTTGGCTCAACCCAAATTATTTTATCGTGATAGATATCCTTGTGAAACTGACCCGGAAAAAAATCGTGCCCAGCGTTATATTCGGGCTGAAGACGACAAAACCAGCTACGAATATCCAACTGTTAAAGTATTGATTGACTATATATTGTTCTGTTGCATATATTTAGTTAGTTGTTTTTTAAAGATTCCAAAAAAGTGGCGTCATTCGACACGACAAATATATATTCGCGTTACATCAATTACGATCGAAAGCGAACTTGTACCATATCATTGTATACATCCCTATGAAATCGACACACCAGACAAGCATGCCATTAAAGATTTGAAGAATAATTCATTATATTTTTGTGTTAAAGATGATGAATTAATTACAGGAGAAAAAAGGTAAACATGAAAGATTATTTACATAAACATTTTCTAATTGTATAATTTTAGTTTTCAAATTACTCGAAAAAAAATGATTCAACATGATCTAAGACTTTATGGGCCTTTACGTTTGTTTAGTTCGAGTAAGGCAATACTAAATAATAATTAATCGAGGATATGGTTATATGTGATGTTTCATAGATCAACCCGATCGACAAGTTTCCATAAATGTAGACGATGCTAAACTCAAAATAGCTAGATATCAATTATGGAAATCTCAATTAGTTTTTACTATTACAGAACTCACCGGTACTAATCATTGGCCTGTTCCAATAGTTCATACATCTGTCAAATCTCAAATTATGATTGATCGAGAAACAGATAAACGAAGTAAACTCTTTGAATAAAAAAGAACGTTTCGAAATAAAAAATGTTTGCTTTATTTTCTTTTATTCAAGATGCGTCAATCAATATTGTGAATGATAAAGTGAAAACTAAATTAAAATGTGTACCACAAAAAGGCGATTGGAAAGGCGGCGATGAAGTAGTGATTATTATGCCCAAGCCAATCAAACGAAAAGGTTTCTATAATCGAAAATTTTTGAATTTATATACCTTATCTCTTGTACTCTATTATTAAGCATATAATATTTGTTTCGATTTTGGTTCGTATGGACAACAAACTGTTAAAGAAATAGAATATATTGATATGAAAACACTTGTATTTCGCACACCCTCGTGTCCAATATTACCGGACGATGAAAATATAAAAGCATCGATTATTGTTAGAGACAATAATTCAACTTCGTATTCAATTGATTTTTATTATTTGACACGTATGTAATACAGATTAAAAAGAGGTACATATGCTCTTGATTTATTTTAGCAACAAAAGCAGGGATTCATTTATGTTCACGTTGTCAAAACCGTCAGTGGGATGATCGTATGAATAACAAGAGAAAATGTGAATATAAGGAATCTTTTGAAAATGATAGTGGTCACAATCTTCTTTTACAAATGAAAAAATTATCAATAGAAAAAGTTCGTTTTGTCGCTTTCTTGACTTTCGAAAAAGTAATTTGCTATGGTCATCTTTTAGAAAACCAGTCAGTCTCGTGTTCGAATTGCATCATATGGTATGTTAGATCATAAAAAAAGTTGTGTCGACATATTCTGATTTCTTTTTTTAGAAACGAACTCAAAATTTGAGAAATATCTTAACCGATTAAAAGCTGCTTCAGAAAAATTCATTCGTACCAATGATCCTTCTCGATTGTTTCGTCAAGTACGTGCTTTATTAACTGGATGTGATGAAAATCCTCCTCCACTACATGACGCTATACAACGTGGACATACACAATTAGCATTGTCACTTATAGAACAAGTTCTTGACATGTCTCCATCACAAGGAATATTAGAGAAACAAAATGAAAATGGCGAAACACCATTGTTAATCGCTGCTAAACTTAACCAATGGAAATTAATGGAACCAATTCTTAGAAATCGATTGGATCTCGTCCAACAGAAAGATAAAGCTGGAAATAATCTATTGCATTTACTTGCAGAAATCGATGACGACGAGGGTGCAGCGACCATTCAAAATGTTATCAAAATTTTACCCAACGAATCAAAAGAGCTTCTTTTGAAAGGAAAGAATCAAGCACGTCAAACACCGTTAGAGATTGCACAATCACATGGCAATCAACAAGCTACTGCAATGCTAAGCTTTTCAATTGAGGTTGAAAAGGAATATTGAAACAGTGATTCATATTCGTTGTACTTTTTCCAGCGCATTGTGGATACTTTTATTTTCAAAGAATTTTCCCTCAAATAAATTTATATTACCAATACGTGTCATTTGATTAGTTGCTTTTATTATAAAAAAAGAGAGAAAATTATACGTTTACAACAGAAAATTTCATGCTACAGATATCTGATAAACAATGAAAAAAGAGCAAGCATGTGTAAAATGATAATTGCGTTTTAGATTGTATTAGTATAAAAACTACGATGGATTCAATAGATCAGATTCTTAGCGATTTAGAAAATAGTACGTAATATAAAGAAAACTTGTTTTCTATTTTTTATTCTTCGAATTTAGCGCCAGAAAAGCTATTAACTTCATTATTAAATGCACCATTTGAATTAGACGCAGGTGGGAAAAAATGAATGAATTTTGTCGAAGTGTGTAGTATTTTGGTTTAGATTTCGATATGGCCATCAGTTCTGTCCTTACATCTGACAACATTGGAACTCCATCATCTTTATCGTCAGAGATCAATTCTGACTCAAATGATAAACAATCATTGGGCAGTAAGTTTAGGAAAAACAGAACTTTCATAAAAATCAATTGGAATGACTTTTAGTCAGTAGTGTCAAACTTGAAATTTGAATTCAATTGAAATTTTCAACTTTCAAGTTTCAAACTGACAGCGACGATGTGTGTGAGTCACAATTCTTCAGAACGCTGCCGGTTAGAAATTTGAAAATTGAAAATTTCAATTTCAAGTTTGACACAGACGCAAAATAGCAAAAAAATAAGAATAAGTTATATTACTAAATTCAAACAATTAATGTAAAATCATTGACTGTTGTCGAATTTGTTTTGTAAAATTTTTTTCTAAGGTTTGGCTTCACCAGCAATTTTCCACGAAAATGAAACACGTCTAACAATAATAGCTCAACCATATTACGGTGGAAAATTACGTTATCGTTCTGATTATGATAAATGTCGAAATCGTCTAGGCGTTCTTAAAAATAGAAATCCGCAATCTAGCTATCACGGCCCTGCTATTTGTGTAAGTTTACTTATGTTAATTATCTATTAGACGAATTTCTTGTATTATAGATTCCAAAATGTTTTTTGGATTCAACTGTTGAACACTATATTCGTGTTGCTCTTGTAACAATCCCATATAGTAAAACAAATCTTCGCTATTTTCATCCGTATGACATTGAAAATCCTCGAGAGCAGCAAACGAAAGATACGAATAATAATTCTGTTTGGTTTTCAATTCAGGATGAAGATCGCCGTTCAGGTGTTAAAAGGTATTGAAAAGCAGCAAAAAGTTATCTAAAGATGTTGTCTATTTTATTTTCTACTGTTATTTAGTTTTCCACTATTACGCATTGTGAAAAAAATTGCATCTGATCTAAAGAATATCACTGGTTTGTGTGTATTTGATTGTCAAGGTAAGATTCGATTTGTTTCACAGCAAATAAGCATCATCAATTGAATACTTACTATCATTTATTAGATCACAATTTACAGAATAGTTCTGTTCCGCAATGTTCTCCTTCAAAAGATCTAAATAAAGAATATAATCTTGATAGAAGTCAATTAGCATTTACTGTTGGAAGAAAAATGGCTGATAATGGCCGAGATACGATAGAGCTTATCTTAGAGTCAACTGTTTTTTCCGAAGAAATGGTAGAAGGTGGTGATATGGAATCATCTATTGGCAGCAATATACAATTATCAACCGTAGAATTAGATCCAACAGTTAATAAATGTCAAGTCTATAAGTATGCACCTAAGCATGGCTTTGATGTAAGTAATGAAGATATGGTTATTTTTTTGACACGAAAACTCGAACCAAAAAAATTTGGAGGTTAGTATCATTTAGTCAAGCACAATGCATTTTTTAAAGTTTCATTCCTACAATCGAATAGAGTTAACAATAACATTTGAATGTAACTGGGACGATCAGCGTTGGTCGGAACCTATTAACAATATTGATATTAAAGATCGAATGATATCATTCAAAACACCAATTTTTCCATATGCATGTGATTTACCCCGTCCAGTTGATGTTATTTTAAAACAGCATAATCATGTTTTAGCAACACTTAAGTATTACTATTTTTCAACATGTAATATCATTGATGATTTTGAAAATTTCCAGTACATAAATTATATATGTTTCAGTTAATTCATGTTCCAAATGTCAACTGCTTGCTATGAACAATCAAAATAGCGAAGTACCCAATATTTCTACAAAGCGTCCTAATTTTCATATTGACCATTCCTTGTTCGAAAATGATGCGATGGTACCAACAGCAATCAATCGAGACGAAAGTTCTTTATGTTTATCAGTGCCGGTAAGTTCTATTCGCATTTTTCAAAAGAAATCATATAAATTATGAACCATTTAAAATTGAAGGAATCATCAATACCATATGCTGCTACATCGGATGATGGTAAGAGGTTTTTTCTGTCACATTAAAAATTACCCAAATGTGCATATCAACTGATATTTCGCTTAGATTTTTTCTTGAATTAATAGAAATCAGTTCTCATGTTAATTCTATCGGTTCTCAAAAGTTTGATTATATTCTTGTGAATTCGAAATTAAGTTTTCTATTTTTCGTAGAAAGACTAGTAGTTTTATGACAGCAAATATCTTCTGATCTGATATGCAAATCAGTATAAACTCTTTCACATGAGATGAGCTCTGATATTCCGTATCGAAGCACAATCTAGTACAATGATCTTAAATGCTTTTCAAAGAAAATTCTATACGTTTTCATTATAATATTTTAGGATATTTGCCAATTACACGTACTGATTCAACAGTAGAAGACGTCAACGATACACTGATAACTGCCTTAAAAAAAGCCTTTATATCATTCTTTTCACGCAATGATAATAAATTTTTTTTGCGCCTGGGCCGCTCGTTTATTGAAAAACAACCAGAAATACTACATGATGCTCTTAAGAATAATCAATCTAGCCATTTAATAGAATTTATTCAAGTGGCTCGTATCGATATTCTTCAACAGAAAAATGAACATAATGAAACTTTTGTGCTCCATGCTGTACGTCTTAACCGTGTAGATGTTATTCAGGCTTTATTAGAACGAAAAAACTCAGAAAAACTTATCGACGACATGGACGAGAAAAAGAATAATATTTTTCATTTCGTTGCATTATATTCAAAGTCATCAGAAATACCTGATTTATTAATTCAATATCTTCTCGATAAATCAATACCTATTCAAGCAAAGTTCGATCAATGTAATCAAAATCATCAAACACCATTACAACTAGCTATTTGTGAAAAAAATCTTTCGGTTACAAAATCTATTTTCAAACATTTCAATACCAATGTGCATCAAAATAAAGATCTAACGGGTGATAATCTTGTACATCTTGCAGTCCGTAAGGGGGACTTGACCACGGTTAAATATTTGATTGAAGAAGGCAAATTACTTGATCAAGGTAATCAATCCAATTTGACGATGAGCCCAATCGAATTAGCTAAATCACTTAAACACGATGATATAGTCAAATATTTAAATGAAAAATATGAAATCGACGCTGATGACGCTGATGACGACGATAGTTCAGATAGTGCTTAAATTACTTCTTTTATTCAAGAATTTTTTATATTCTGAATTATATAGATTTGTTAATGATTTATAGAACAACGTGTGCCATCTATTTTATCCTAGCTGTTTTATTTAAATTTTTTTGTTGTTTGTGTGTTTGTTTTCTACGTCAAATAATAATTGCGTTTCCTATGATGCGAAACGATTAAGTTACATAGATTGACCTATAATCAATATGAAACAACTAATCTTTATTTAGCTGTTAGCGAAAAAATTGATAAAGTAAAGGTGATGTTCTTTTTATACATCATGTCTACAGGCAAAAATTCATGAAATTTAGCCATATTAGTTGTTTTTTACCAAACTATTTGTGGTTAATCAAACATGAATGTGTTATTATTCAACCATACCAATTCGGAATACGATTGATATGGTACTTCCAACCGAAATAGAGTATTGCAGGCAGACGCAAAAAAGTTTTTGACTAGATAGATCGTTAAACAAGCTAAGTAGTGTATATTTATAATTTATTTATGTTCTTTTTAATAATCCCAGAAAACTTGGAGTGAAATACGATTTCGATTCATTTGAATTCGTATACGCTTATTTGAAGCGCTTCAGTATTGATATCATTAGCAACAAATAGAAAACTAATGAATAGAATATTTTTGTTTTGACTTTCTTTCTCAATTTTTAATCAGAAAATCAAACTCACTGATCGATCAGTTGGATACAAAGTAACTAGAGAGTTACTGACCCTATTATATTAAAAAATCGACTTGAAATTTCAATAATATATGTTGGCCTGTGCCAATTTTATTTTCGAATTTTTCGAACGAGTTTCTTTTTTCAATAGATTATTTCAGTATGTTTATATTATGATATATTGTATGTTAATTGAGCTTCACAAAATATGAGAGCTTTTTTTTGGATGCGTGTCGACAACAGTAATGTTTTATTTATTTATATGAAATCCTCTTTTGTCGTGTATATCTTCATATGAAACAAAGGTTAGCGAGTGAAAAAAAAGAAGAAGAAGAAGAATAGTCTAATTAATTATTGGGCAAATCTCATTTAATATGAAACAAAATAATAGTATAACGATAAAAAATGATTCATTGAGTACTTTTACTGTAGTATCTAAGCTTCATAGTCGGATAATATGTCACAGGATATTTTGCTTACTTTTCACTTCGAGAAATGATTCGATAAAATCGAAAATCCTGATAGTATGATTATCTACTCAATTTTCGAAAAATTCGAGTCACTGACAAGATTGATTTCATGTAGAATTATGCTCCGTTTAGAATCTCACAACACGTTATTTTGTCATTGGTACTCATACTATTGCTGTCATCATTGTATATATTTTTCAGTCTATTACTAGAAAAACATATCTATTTTCTTATTATGTATGCTCCAAAACATTTTTTCTTCCTTCAGAACCCTCCTTGTTTTCTAATACAAGCACAATAGTCCGACTTATTTATAGTTCTTCTTTCGGATTGGTCTATAATATACGATTTCTCATGTGATATCCAGCATCAAGAGTTCGTAGTTTGTAGATTTATAGCGTATGTAAACGAAGACATATTCTCGTCGATCCAAAAGAATACAACTTGTACATTGACTTTTTAACTTACTACAAAACAAAGTTTGGTATCGGATCCATCTATCTTATGACTGCTTTAAACTATAACGGTACAAATATTGTAAAAAGACAAAAAAAAAACAATCAATTTTATTCTATATAAATAGATTCAAGCAGTACAAACTATATAGGCGTATCAGAAATAATCAACTCTGAGCCCAGTAAGTTTTTTCTTATTATAAAAACTAACTAGATTTTTTGAATGTCAATTATTGACGAAGTTTACCAAAAACTTGTGTTTTAAGAGTCAGCTAATAATTATTTTTTTTTATTCTCTTCTATTTGCCATATACCTATATGTATATAGGTTTTGATTTTGATTCAAATGTGCCTGATACTACTGCAACTAGTTCGAATTCATTTACTGATATTGATTCAATATTTCAATCATATTTAACATCAAATTACGATTCAAATGACATGCACCAACCAGAGTACACAATGGTTGATCCTGATTATCAACCTACTTTATTAGATACAGTTTCTTCAGTTGATTCAAACTATGTGACATTGAATTCAATTCAAAATATTGGAAATGAACTCGAACAGCTCCATATTATTGCTGAACCAAAAGCTACTTATCGTGGACGATATATTTGTGAGATTCGTGAAGGTGGAAATCGAACTAACCGTTTTATTCGGGCTGAGCCCAATGGACTAGAACATGAATATCCAACTGTAAAGGTATTTATATTTTATTGTAAAAACTCAGCAAAATAAATATTACAGCATTGAACAAAAAATAAAATAATTCATTTAAAACGTTCTAATTGAAGATCGTGGCTATCATATATTTGTTAGTAGAGCCAAAAATGAATTATATATATATATATCTCAGAGCTTCGAATGAGGTACTTTCAGATATTCGAAAAAGTAAATTTCTGAGAATATCAAATTTTTTCTCTCCCACTATTAAAAAACGTACAAGAGTGCCAACAGAAATTTCCTTGAAACTTCCGTAATTGCCATTACATACAAAAGAATATTATCAGAAAATATCATGTTTTCAGATACAACCCAACAAAATTTCCTGGGGATATTCGAAATGACTTCCGCATATAAAAAGAAATTTTCCGGTAATTTCGAAAAATAACTAATAATATGAAAGCAAATTAGAACCCCAAAAAAAGTAGATTCTCGAGTAATTTCAGGTAATTACGGAAATTACTAGAAATTCTTCTCATTCTTCAGGGCAGGGTTTTAAAATCTATATGTATATTTATTCTTAAATCTATACGATATGACTATAGAAATGACCGTAATTTGTAGGAAATTACTTTATTCAGGTTTCGATTTATGGTGAATAATATTGCGGTAATTACGAAACTTTCTGATCTTTTCTAAAGATTGAAATTTTCATCCCTGTAATTTCCGAAATATGAATATTTAGGTAGGAAATTTCCTTTTCTAGAAATCTTTCCACTGTTGATTGACTATTATTATTATTATTATTTTCTAAAATAAAAAGTCATTTTCAATTGATTTTACTTAGGATTAATCAGTAACAAGTTGATACACATTAGTCTATGCTGTAATGAATTGTAATTTGAAAGTCATCTTTGATTTCTAGCCTAAAAAGTATATATTTCATATTCGTATGAATAAAATATCCTTCATATACATTGTCAATTCATCGAAAAACCATTCAATCTTAAGAGATAGCGCAACTAATTTTGTTGCTGTTGTTGTTAATAGATTTTACCGGAGTGGAATAAACCAAATCGGCAACTCTATATTCGACTTACACTGGTGACTGTTCCTAATGAACGTAAACCTCGTCGTTGTATACATCCGTATGGGATTGATACGCCAAACGATGGAGACATCAAAGACCGCGAGAACAATTCACTTTTTTTTCGTATCGATCCAAGCGATTATGTTAAAGGTGAAAAAAGGTAATGATTAAATGTAACGCATTTACTTAAATCTTTTAGAATTTTGATTTATTTCAGTTTTCGTATTTTGTTGAAAAAGCAAAAACAAGAAACTTTGAAATCACAACCGATGCGACTTTTTGATTCTGGTAAAAAACAAATAAGTTTTTTTTCATAATAATTATATGAATGTTTACGTGTTTATTTCTGTTAGAACAACAGAATAATATAGATATGGAAGCTCCAATAGATGCTAAAAAAAAGATATCTCTCTATCAACTAAACAAATCACAACTTGTTTTCACATTAGCTGAACAATACGGTTACAATTACTTCCCGGTACCAATACTTCATACGTCCGTCGAATCTCAAATTATGACTGATATAGGAATGGACGATCCAAGTGATACTTCAATTGAACACAAAAACTTCTAAAAAAAGAATTCTTTTTTAGGTACATCAATGAATCCTGTAATAGAGCGACAGACTAATATAATTAAATGTGTACCACAAAAAGGCGACTGGGACGGTGGTGATGAAGTTGTAGTTATAGTGTCGGAGCCAATCAGGCGAAGAGGTTTCTTTGTAATCATACTTTCCTTAGAGATAAATAATTTCATGTTTTATTTTCATATTAGTGAACTATGTCTTGTTCGATTTTGGTCTATGTGGAACGAAAGTTATTAATGAAATACTACAAAATGATACAAAAACAATATCTTTTCAAACACCAGCATGTCTAGGGTTAGAAATCGGTGAAAATGTTAAAGCGACCGTTACCATTGCAGTAAACAATCTCACTCTGGGTCCCATTAATTTCGAATATGTCCCACGTATGTGATACGAACAAAAGAAAAAGTATATAGGCTCCATGATGCAAAAATTTCTGGGCAAAATGTTTCTTTATTTATCAACAGAATTCAAAAGTCAAACAGTATTGAATGGATGTTTTCATATTTTACATTTTATGCTTTTTCGGAAATCTGATTCGAAAGTTTCGTGGCATACATGAGAGGACTACCGAACATTGATGTAATCAGAGATCGTATGAGATTTATAGCAACATGCTTAAGGACCTTTTAGTAAATCATAATAAATGATAAAACTATTGGATTATATTTGAGAGTATTCTTCAAACTTTTTCTTTCTGTTCTTAATTCACTTAGCTGAGAACTGTCTTAGCTACTCTTAACATCAGGCTTAAACAATGATTATACGAAAGCATTTTCTTTCTGTAACTGATATCAGTTGTAAAGTGCTGCTCGAAAAGTCCTCAGACTGTGTCCCAATCAAGTAAACGACAGTCGAGCTAAGCTAAAGTAGACATCGTTACGATAAAATCAAGAAGCTACTAAGAAGAATATCTGAAAAATAGTATGCAGTCAATTTCAAATTTTGTAAGATAGATTTTCCGGCGTTATTTCTACTGATTCTAATACTGGTATATAGACGAATGTTTTTGGCTTATCTAAGATTTACTGAGCATTTCTAAGAAAAGATTCTAATAGAAATTTCAAGCATAGATCCTCAGACAACAGAAAATTCTCTTTTACGTTCAATGCTTTAAATCCTCTACTAACATCTTTAAGAATCTATCAACAGATAAAAAAAATGTCCTTAGAAACTTGCGCATCACTTGTTTAATATACATATTTTTGCTATTCCTTTAATTTGCTTTAGCAACAAGAATCATGTATAGTGTATGTCCACGTTGTCAAGGAGCTGTATGGAATGGACCTCGAGATATCACAGGATATAGACTGGAATTAGAAGATTTTGAGTTTGAAAGCGGTGAAAATCTACTTTCGAAAATGAAACAATTATCAATAGCAGAAGTAAGTGTTGATTTTTTCGATTTTTCTTATCTTTGGTCATGTTTATAGGAGAAAAATAAAGACGAAAGTCGAACTGCATCAGACGGTGCGTGACATCGTAGATAAAATCTATTTTTTGTTTATTTGCATGTCCCTTGTTTTTAGAAACTAACTCAAAATTTGAGAAATATCTTAACCGATTAAAAGCTGCTTCAGAAAAATTCATTCGTACCAATGATCCTTCTCGACTGTTTCGTCAAGTACGTGCTTTATTAACTAGATGTGATGAAAATCCTCCTCCACTACATGACGCTATACAACGTGGACATACACAATTAGCATTGTCACTTATAGAACAAGTTCTTGACATGTCTCCATCACAAGGAATATTAGAGAAACAAAATGAAAATGGCGAAACACCATTGTTAATCGCTGCTAAACTTAATCAATGGAAATTAATGGAACCAATTCTTAGAAATCGATTGGATCTCGTCCAACAGAAAGATAAAGCTGAAAATAATCTATTTCATTTACTTGCAGAAATCANGACATACACAATTAGCATTGTCACTTATAGAACAAGTTCTTGACATGTCTCCATCACAAGGAATATTAGAGAAACAAAATGAAAATGGCGAAACACCATTGTTAATCGCTGCTAAACTTAATCAATGGAAATTAATGGAACCAATTCTTAGAAATCGATTGGATCTCGTCCAACAGAAAGATAAAGCTGAAAATAATCTATTTCATTTACTTGCAGAAATCAATGACGACGAAGGTGCAGCGACCATTCAAAATGTTATCAACATTTTACCCAATGAAATAACGACAAAAATGTTGAAGCAGAGAAATAAAGACAAGCAAATCCCTCTGCAAATTGCAGAATCGCGTGGCAATTCGTCTTCTTGTAAACTACTTATCTAAAGTATTCGTTGTTTGTGAAAAATCAGAACTTTGCTCCTATTTTTCTCTTATAATTACCGTGCCCACCATTAATTTTAATATATACATCTTTTTTTTAGTACGCCATCAAAATTTATAGTTTTATATCACTGATTTATCCAAATATCATTATAAGTCTTTATGTGCATAATTGATTCACATGCAGTCATTGATATCAGTTAGAATTTTATTTGAAATTAATATTTAGTTGAATAACTAAAAATTTTCTTCGAAATTCAATTGAGGAAACGTAATCTCACTGTGTTCTAATTGATGTACAAAACCAAAAACAATCAAAATTAAATAATCAATTTAACGATAATTTTTTTCAGTGATATCAAGACATGAAAAGAAAGCTTTCACTGCTTCTATAGCATTTTCTAAGTTGGTGTCATAAGTATGAATTCATTGAAATTCGAAAATGTATCTTTTACTGAATCCTGAACGAATGATACTAATCAATAAACATTCAATGTTTTTTTCAAAAAAAAACAAAGCATTCTCAGGATCATTCGATAAAACGAATATCCTTTAATTTCTACAATAGCAAAAAAAGTCATACTGGTTGACAAAGTACGGATCAGAGAAAAATAAAGAATTCGCCTAGAGAAATAAAGTCTATGATTTTCTACTTGTCATAGTTATAAATATACACGTACGTCAATGATTAGTTTGCTGCAAGGTATGATAGAGAACACTTTTTAAATTATATTTGGTTTCATCATTTTTTTTGTATTTGATAGATTTTGAAGTTATATTTCAATATAGTATATCCGAAGATAGATCGTTATTTGCAGGCAATGATTGGTCTCGTTAGTAAACATTGAATGATATAATTTTAAACAGATTAATCTTTCATACGTGATTACAGAGGCAAGAATCTAGTTTATTTCATATTGGGAATAAGGCAGATATTTTAAAGTGGAAGATTTGCAACCTTTTTACATTTTGTTCTCATCTCTATCAGTAGATTTTCAAGCAAGAGAGAAAAGGCGGATTCCGTCTATTCGGGATACGGCGATAATCCATACAATCCAGCGGATACGATGACAATACAGATGATCCTACAATTCAGGGATCCGCTTTTCCCCCCTTGATTCTATTAGATATTCTATTAATTCATTATATCTTATGAACAATTGTAACACTCACCTATATGAAAATCAATTTATATTTAATTAAGATAAACTTTTCGTTTATAGCTAGAAATTTTTCCTTGTTTACAATTTCTATCTTGTCCTGTGTAAATTTATTTTTTATTTGTAAATGAAGGAAAACTACATAAGAATATTGAAGTCGTTTTGAATATAGAAATTTTCTTTTGTTTAATTTTTATTACAAATCAAGAAATATGACAGTAATTTATCAGTAGATTATTAGATCAACAGTGAAAAACACAAAATATATACATATATATATATATAATCTGTAAAAAAATAGAGACAACAAAGTAATAATGCACTTGTTTAACTGATGAAGAGTTACCAAAAAGAATATCAGAAAGCCTACGAACAATATTTGTCTTTTGAGTTGAATTCGCCGAGTATCTTGAAAAAAAACACTGATAAGAAACAAAATAATAAAGTTCAACAAACTGATTATTAAAAAACTATGAAGTTTTTAGTAAAAATTCTGTGTAGTCTCAATCAGAATTATCCAGTAAAATATCAATATTTCTATGTTCATTAATAATTGATTTTGGATGCGCATTAAAACTAATTGAATATGATTTTGATGATAGAAAATTTTCATTTCGATATACCTTAAATAAAGAATATTCATTATATCGAACCATTCTTGCAAGGGGGAAAAAGTGGGTCCCGGTGACTGTGGGATCCTCTGGGTTGTCATCGTATCCGCTGGATTGCCACCGTATCCCGGATAGACGGAATCCGCTCCCCCCTGTGACGGCACCGTGTGTCGTCACATGTCTTGTTTCTAATTTCGCGCGAGTTTCTCGCTATATGTTCTTTTTTTCTCTCTCTCGTCTTCATCGCTTTGTCTTTGTCGCGTTTTGAAATTGAATTATGTTATGTTTGGCGCGTCTAGTCAGTTGATACATTTTGTTCTCTCTATGAGAGTGTGAAAATTATTACAAGAGCTTAAAGATATATATAATACATTATTTGATTCTATCTAAAATATCAATTATTAGAAGAATCATTATTCGTTTTAATCTTAATAATTATATGAAACTAACATTGCCGAATTAACTAAACATCGCACCCCCCCTTGACTTCATTATATCTACATGAAAAATATTTAACATTTCTTTGAATTCAAGATTTTTCCTTCTAGATCCGATTCGAGTTTCGCATCGCATTTCGTATACGAGTAAAACTCGGATACCATCTAGTTTAACATGATTTTGAGAGCAATACACAAAACTCTAAAACTGAACTACTTTTATTTATTTTATTTTTGCGAAAAAGATCGAATAAATGAGAAACAAGAAATCTAAAAGGGTTAAATATTGACGGATCTCGTAAGTAAAATTTGAATATTTAGCAACGACAAAGCATTTTATTATCATGTTATATCATCCGACATCTATTAATGACTTCACAATGTCAAAGAAAACGTAAATGCACTTGACGAAAGAAGCCAGTTTCTCATACAAAAATAACAGACAAAATAAAAAAGGGAAAAAATGAAGTAGCAAGTAATAAACGTTTTGATAAAGATTTGTAATCTACAAAGACCACAGTCAATAAAAACCAAAGTGAATAAATAATAATAATATTTCACTAAATGAGATTAGTTTAAATTTACAGAAAAGGAAATTATCCAAATGTCCGTCATTTCGATATCTATATTACAATACAAAGCCAAAGTTTTTCAAAAAGATCTTCTAAATTTTGTAAAATCCTGAAAAATTCACAAAACAAATATTTCAAACTACCCAAATTTGTGAAAGTTTCTATTTTGTAACTCTAAGTACTGTTACATCACTCGCAAAGAAAAAAGTCAATGATTAATACATTTGAGTCCAGTTATTCATTACTAACGAATACTGACAGATTTTTATCAGGATATTTCTTATATGAATCATCAAGAGGAAAATAACCCAGACAAATCAAGCATATTTATCGTCAGATAGTTCAAATAATATCATTTCGTCTTGTCATCAATATGTTCCACAAAAATATATACTGTATACGTATGTTTTCTTATTTTATTTTATTTGCGACAGAAAAATGTAATAAAAAAACTCGATACCCACCAGTCAGACAAGCAACGAAAAATAACGCGTAAAAACGAATAAAAACCGCACATTTTTGCCATTTTATTTTCGTTAAAAATTCTGCGCATTTTTACGCGTTATTTTGTTGAAATAAGTGACTCGATAGAGGAAAAACAGCTATAATCCGTAGAATTTTTAATGAAAATAACATCGCAAAAACGTGCGATTTTTATTCGTTGCTTGTCTGACTGAGTAATAACGAAAAACCTTCGATCACAATCAGTTGCCTTGCATAGCTTGCTTTTTATGTACGCTGTTTTCTCCTACCTCAGTTAGATATTTATCTTTTCTTCAATATTTAAGTGAAGCACATTGGTGTACTGTCGACTTTTTTGACGACAAGCCAATCAATATCATAATTTATTCACAATATGAATTGGTACACTACAGAGACCGAAATCGAATCGAATTGCCGAATAATTCGGTTCGATTCGATTCGTCTGCGGCGAATCGAATTGACTCCGAATGGAACTTCGAAACTGCCGAAGCGAATCAATTTATTTTGAGGTCGAATCGAATCGATTCATTTTTTTTCAGTTTCATTCGACTACTCAAAATCATTTTCTTTGTTCTAGTGTTATGGTCGAGGGCAGTTGACTAGTATAAGAGATGACGCACGAAAAAGGACGTCCACTGTTTCTCTTTCTTTGTTTCTGTCAGTCGTGCTTATTTAATGGTCATCCTTGTTCTGTTCATATCGTTACCATTATCATGGTCAAGTGCATTTAGATTGGTATAAGAAATGCTCACTTACAATGAGCGTTCCATCCATCTTTCTTTCCTTCTTTCTTTTTTCGTTAGTCAATTTAGGCCCCAATCACACTGAGAAGTAAATTAACTTTATAGTTGAATTAAGCCATATGACTGGTGCATTAAGAGTTAAGTAATATTTTAAAGGTGATTTTAACTCTTAATGTGTTGGAGGGGAAATTAAAATCCAGGGCAATTCAAGTTTCCCCTAGGGGAAATTAAAATTTTTTGTATTTTTTATATAATTGTCGCGATTTTTCTGAAATAGGCAAAAATGAATATTCATCTTGAGGTCTAGACAGGAATATTTGTGCGAATGTCCATCATTTCTGTGGGTGTAACTGTACAAAGTCAGTTTGAATGCACAATATAAGTGCGGGTGAGGGTGAGGGCTTGATTAGTACGGGCTCACATCCTTCCACACTCACACCCACATATAGACCCACACCATCACACAAACAGTACATTTTTACCTATTTTAGAAAAATCAAAAATTATATAAAAAATACAAAAAGTTTTAATTTGCCCTAGGTGAGATTAAAATTTTAATTTCCCCTCCAACAAATATATTGATAAATTATATTTATTCAACATATTTCTGTAAAAGACCGACAGACTATTCTCATTCTAAGAAGATGACAGTCTGAAAACAACAGTACTATGTAATAGTGAATACCAAGTTTTGTAAACCCAATTTGAATCGAATCGAATCGAATTACAGTTTTGAAAAACAAAAATAGTCAAATCGAATCCGAATCGAATCGAATGGCATTTTTGCCATTCGTTTCGGTCTCTGGTACGTTATGCCGACGGGTCGTCTATGACTCTCGTTGACGAAATAAATACTCACCGATTAACTTTAAATGTCAAAGTAGTCTTCGCAAAAAATATAAAACACTATTCGTATCCTTCTTTCTGTTTGAATGTATAGAATGCGATAAATAAATATTGCTCACTAAATAATCTTATTTAAAAATGAAGGATAAACTAGTTTTTTAATTAAAATTTTGCTTGGATGCTTTTTATCGATGACATGCACAACAGAAATAAGAAGGATCGTGAAATTGAGGTTTGAAAAAACTTGATCTCCTAATAAAATTTCACGTTTACTTAGCATTGTATAAACAAGCAACATTTTATTTTTCCCTTGTATTGAGTTTTTTTCAAAAAGAGAAGGGATACTCAAAAGTACAATATGAGAAAGAAAAATAAGCAACTTCAAAAGTAGCGTGATCACTTGCCCACAAAATATTTACATACTACAGAACAAAATAAAGTAACTTTTTCAATGAAAGGTATTTCTGCAGCAATCAAAGTGTTATAAATAAGACTGATTTGCTATAAGAAAATATTGGATAATTTATTATCAAAGTAATAAAACCTAGTACGTGAAAAATTTTGTTGGATCAGATTGAACAAAATATTTAATAAATAAGCTTTTAATCACATTGCATTCTATATCATGAATGATTTAATTAAAATATAAATGTCCCATTACTTCTCTTATAATGACTCATGATCATATTCGTTGATAATCAGAAGAAAAAAGTAACCTCACTGAGAATCATGTCTCATCCCTGGTTTTATTATCAACGTTACTAAAACTAACTCTGAAGCACCTTCAAAAATTAGTGTGCGTCGTTAAACTAACAATCAACACGTGCTTTTTTTTATCAACGCTACCTGAAAGCTGTGACTGGAGTAAACGTTTTTCTTTTCTTCCCTTGATAGCTTTTTGCTTTCACATCACTTTCGTGACATCAACAACTACACTGGGATATTTCACATACACGTTTTCTGAATTGTTATTTATAAACCTGATCAAACTCATCATAATTTGAGTAGCATATTATTTTTTAAGATGACTGCACCAATGCCACCACTTCGTCTTATTGCTGAACCTAAATCATCGTATCGCGAACGATATATGTGTGAAACAGATCGTCGTCGAAATCGAGCTCAACGCTTCGTTCGCGCCGATAGTAACAATCCATACCAATTTGTTTATCCAACGGTTGAAGTAAAGTTTCAAAAAAAAAATTTTTTTTAATTAATTAACTACCAAAATAGATTCCAACGGAATGGACTGATAAACTTCACCATTCTTTACACATTCGTTTAACTCTTGTTACTGTTCCGAACGAAAGAGCACCTGTTAGATGTGTACATCCTTATCCTATTGATACAGAAGACACGAATGTGATCAAAGATCCATCGTCCAATGCTCTTTATTTTCCAGTATCATACGATGAGTTGCGTAGCGGTCGGAAAAGGTTAAGTTATGGTATGAAATATTTCCTCTATCTATTTGAATTTTTGTTGTTGTAGCTTTCAATTCACTCAGAAAAAACTGACTAAATATCAATTAAGAAATCATGGAGCATTGAGACTATTCAATTCGGGTATGAAGTCAAAACAAGTTAACTGTTTAAAATTCTCTATATTCTAATATTCAAAAGATGAAAAAGATAATGATCGTCTTCAAGATCCAACAGATGTTAGAAGATTCATTGAAATTTATGAATTGAAAAAGTCACAATTAGTTTTCTCAATAGCTACTATTCAAGCTAATACACAACTACCAGTTATTTACGATATTTCCTCTGTATTTTCACATGTAATGACTGCGATTACAGCACCAATGAACGATGAAGATATTGGGTTTCGATGTTCACCGAAAAAAGGCGATTGCAAAGGTGGAGACGAAATCATCATGGTTATTCCGAAAATTGACAGAAGAAAATGTAATTTTAATATGCTTTTAATCTCTTGCTCGCTTTCTCTCTCGCTCTCTCCCAGCTTTACTTATTTAGAGGTTCCAATAAATTAATTAATTCCTATGAAGAAAATATAACACAGAGAACGAGTAGACACTTATGTCCACTTATAGTATGAGTTAGAGATATTCCATCTGATAAGAACCCTAGTCAAAGTTTTTTAATGCACTTGACCTGCACAGACCGCAATATTTGTCCATAGCGTAGGACTTTCTTGCTCCAGATCCTCAAGTATCTCATGTGCATTCCAAAAGATGTTCGACTAGGGTATGTTCTACCGGTAGATGACATGAGAAAAGCTCGACAATAATTTTACTTTCTCTCTATAACCATTCTGTGATTATTAATAGAAGATGTATCACTAGTGTTGAAATTGAAAGACGAAACTGAAGAAGAATATTGTGTGAGAAAATATTGAAATTTTTCAGTACAGATACATCTTGATTAATACAGCAAAAATTGTCGTAAACTAGAAATTCTCGGACGCTTCTTTATAGGAGATACGAGAATCAAAATTGCTAAAAACCGCCCGAAGCTTTTCTTCCGTTTGTTCAAAATATTCTGTTTAATCATGTTGAAATTTTTAAGTCATAATCATCAGTAAATACTGCTTTCCATGAGTATTTTTTTTATGTCCTTGTGCGTTCTATGGCTTCCGCAAAAAAAACAGTCAAACTATCAAGAAATCCATCGAAAGTGCATATTTTTTTGCATTAAAAAAGCTTTGCAAGAGCTACTAAAAGTGAGAAGTGCAATATGTTTTGAAATCAAGAATATTAATCAGCACAAACAGCACTGTTTAAGCTAAAAACATAAAACTATGTATAGTTTTCGCTATTTCAATTCTGCCAATTTGAGTTTTTCACTTACTTTTATCAGGTCTTCGAGTAGTATCTGGTTCATAATATGTGGCCAGTAGATAGATCATATTTATGACTGTACAATAGGCTGTAAAAATAAAAGAACTCAAACATGTGAGACAAAAACAAGAACAGGCTGCATCCTTAACGAAGATGTTTTTCACAATGCCATCAACTACTAGTTATAGTTTAAAAATGAAATTCCGTCTTCTAATGGTTGATCCGTTAACAAAAGATCAGAAAGAAATTCTGACAGGCTGGAATAGAATGATATTTGAGTAGATTTTTTTCTTGGAACTGACTGCTTACAATTTTCATAGATTTATTTTAAAAGTTTATCGAACTTTATGTTTTAGCACTTACTGTTTGCTTTGAGCATCCTTCAATTAATTCACGATGCAACGTTAGTTTGGAATTTCTCGATACAAGAACTATATTATTTTATTCACCACCATGTCCATTGATGCTGACGATAGATAATCCAACAGTTTCAATTCCGATTGTTGTCACTCAAAATAGTGCAGTAATTGCACACGTTGATTTTATTTATCAATCATGTGAGTATTTGTTGATCTTTTGTTTTATCTATGTTAGAATTTTGCTTATTATAGTGAATAGATGTGTAGTTTGTGATTCAAACTTCATTTTAACAAATTCAAATTCAGCATCTTATAAAAAACGATTATTGACAGAACTTGATGAAGTTGACGCAATCAGATTTAGTGAAGCAGGACTTGATCGACAGAAAAAAAGCGAATTTGACCATTCTCACATACGAAATTATATAATCAAAGCAAAAAAATCGATACCTCTGAAATTAGATATTCAGTATCCATTATTAGATAATGCTATGTGTAAAAGAAGCATTGATTCAGCGTTTAATTTAGTCCAGACAACGAATAATTATTTTGATCAAAAAGATGATCCTATTGAAATTTCACTATTAAATGATTCAACGCTTAATCAAAATAAATCGAACGAAACAATGTTCAGAAAACGAACTAAAACGGCGAACCAAGTTACAAACAAAGGAAATAATTTATTACGTGTGATAGCAAATGTATCTAAAGATCATTCTAGAGAGACCAATGGAAGTTCAACATCATTAAGCGATGACGAAATGAACTATTTTATGTCAAAAAGTTAATTAAGACTAGACAACAATCAAATAAGTCATTAAGAAAATCATCATCATATGGCATACATGAATATGTTGGCAAGTAGGCTCGAATGTTTTTTTTACGATAGAAATTCATTCCAGAGTAGTTCTATGCTATTTATATTTCAACCTTAATATATTGTAATTAAATATTCGATTTGAAAATAAAACATGAGCTAAAGTGATTTACGATTATTCATGTGTCTATATTGAAATAGGACTTTTTCTTTTCGAGCACAGTGAGCGAGCTTTACTCTTGAACTTCAATTCAATAGGTGAGTTTCAAGCGAACATATCACATTTTAATGTTCGTGAAAGACTATTTGTTTCCTACAAATACCCGATATATAAACAAAAAGAAGGTGGAAACGAAGAGCAAAACGTTTTCTTATGTTAATATTATAAAATATATTGATTCAAAGTATGAAATATTATATGAATTGTGTTAGAGGAACAATCTGTAACTTATATAATTGATATGACTGAAAAATATGAGAGCCATCAAGGTTCATGATTGTATTGATCAATCATAACCTCAATTATTTTGCGGCAAGCCATACAAATCCTGTGAGAACGTTTCGTCGGCAGCATTGCCTTCATGGAAAAAATGAATGAATCTACCCCTTGAAAAAGACAGTAGTGTCAAACTTGAAACTTGAATTCAACTGAAACTTCAAGTTTCAAGTTTGACGTTATTGCTCTAACACTACTGCTTCCCCGGCACCCACATTAAGGGTACATATGTGTGTGTAGACAAGCGTATCTCCCTTCCCCGGCACTCACACCCTTGAAACTTGAAGTTTCAGTTGAATTCAAGTTTCAAGTTCGACATGTATGCCCATTTGAGCCTTTTGTACCTCAAAAAAGATTGTATCTCTGAGGTACGCATTTTGTACCACATCTGCATTTTTCAATGTTACGACTACTATCATCCATATTGTGGTTGAAATACACAAAATTATTTCTTATGTGTACTCAATTTCTTGCTCGAATACATTGGTCGAAGGCGGTTTTAGTCATATGAAAAGTGCATGGACAACCAGTCGCAATTCGATGGTGAATGAAACGATAGCTGCTGAATTGAAAATCAGATTAAACAGTACTATGGCATGTGAAGATTTTTTTCTTTTGCTCAAACACAACCGCAACTACTAAAGTGCGCCAAAAGCCAACAAAAATACAGTTTCGAAAAAAAGCGTGCAACAGTTAGTGTAAATATAAATCGAGAAGGTTCGCTTTGAGTAAGCATTGTTTTATTATGATTGAATTGAATATATGTATGTCAAAATGAAATTTTATTGTGAACATATTTATTAGAAAATAAAGATTTCAATTTGAAAGCTAGTCTTTATAGTAAAAATAAAAACTGAGAATGTCCTTTCAAGATTGAAAGTAGTTTTCGAAACTGATTTCCGTCGCTGATGAGCAGCGTGAAAGATGTAAACTGCGTACCCAACGAATGTACCCCATTTGGGACCTGAACACCTGGCAGCCCTGATTAAACCACTACTTAACACGTACGGATACACATACACACAACGACTGTAACTACATCAGACCAACTAGAACAGAAAGAAACACTCGTATATATATGTCCGTTCCGCACACCCAGGGTAAACGAAAGAGAAAACGAATACAAGAAAAAGAAGATAATGTGATCGAAAGATATTGCACCGAAGAAAGAGATATATTAATACATAAAGAGTGACGTCACATCGATGAAACAGAAATGATATTAGGATATGTGAGGGCAGGCCCGTAACACATAGAAACAGTTCAATGTCTGTACTTAAAAGTATTTCTCAGCAAAGTAGCAATGAATGAAAAATTATTCATGGTTAATATCATTGTTTTTCTTTTACTAATGCTGAAGTCAATAAAGAAGATCTGTAGTGTCGTCTGAGGACATCAGACTGAGGTTGAAAACAGAAATCAACGTGCAACACATGGCATCTGTAAAAAATCAAAGTAAAACAAAGCAAAACCATTAATTATTATAAATCGTAATTATTAAATATATATAATTTCAGTTTAATAAAATATGCGGGCAACATATTTATATTAAAGTGCTAAATTTATACGACCTGTGTTTTTTTTGTGAATTCACATCAATGCAGATCATTCTGAATGTAATACTTTAGAATGCTGAGTAATATTAATAGCATGCAGGCGTCTTTTTCAGCGTAATATTTTCTCTAATGATAAATCAACTAAACACAATAGTGAAGAAATCGATTTCTTAATTTTTAAATAGTGCAACTCATATAAGAGCAATATATGCATTGTATAAAAATGTTTCGGAAGTAAAAAAAAAAACTTTTGTTTCTCCCATTTCGGTTTTTCTTTCGATAATCAATCACATGGGTCTTATAAAAATAACCAGTTTCAAATAAATTATTAATTGAATACGATCTTTCTGAAATGCTAAGGGTTATATAGGTATTGCAATACAAGTTATAATAAAAGTAACAGTACATTGCATAGGGAGACTATCGAGAAGGTCTCGAATTTTAAAAATAGCCATAAGTATATTACTTTTAATCATGTAATCAAAATTTAATTAGATAACATCTTGTCCACACAAGCAACTTCGATAATAGTGATCCATATCAATAAAAAGCCGATGGTTCGGTAAAAAATTTGAGACCTTCTTTTCTTTTTGTTCTAATTATTTGTTTGGTAAAATCGTGTAAGATGGATCTTTATTAATCGTGTTAAAACAATTTTAGTCAATATAACCTTCCGCGTTATCATCCTGATCCTATTTGGATTAAAACAAAAATCAGCAATAAATGATTGTGACCTGATTTTCATACACATATTGAATAGGGATGCAACGGTGACGATTAATCGTTCACCGTTCCACCGCTTGAGATCGGTGCATCGGTGGACCGGGCCCCGGTGGACAGGACCTTGGTGGGAGCGGTGAAACGGTGACGGTGGAACGGTTTTTGATCGTCACCGTTGCATCCCTAATATTGAACAAAACTATAGAAAATTTCATTAAGGTAACCGAGTATTTTTCTTGTGAATAAGCTTAAGCTGATCACTCAATTTTTAATTGAAAATCGAAAAAGAATTTAACTGATCTAAAAAGATTACTGATTAGTTAAGTATTCATTTTCAAATTTTATTTGATTCCTGATTTTTATCCTATCATTAATAGAGAAGCAAAATAAATTCGAAATATCGATAAGTTATTCATAAAGTTCAACTGAAATTTTCTGATCGTTTCATAATTCAATTTATGCAGGCTATTCCATTTAACTTTCGAGCAGCAATGTGAAAATTTCACCATCAGTAAATGATTCGCGAAATTATATTTTAATCAAGATAAATTGAAGCACTCTATTACAATATTTAATTATTTTGTATTATCCATTTCTTTTAATATTTTCACGAACTATGATATGAGATAAACAATCATTGAGTCATCTGAGTCTTTTATTGGTTCTGGTGCAGGATTATGTGAAATCACTCATTGGTTGTTTGATCATTAATAAAATAGATTGGTTCAGACAGGTTTTGTTTTACAGAAACAAATTTGGAATCACAATAGAAACTTTCCTGAGAAGAGCAAACTACTATTATAGAGAGGGGTGCGCAAGTACGGGTACAACTTGTACTGGGCAATTTACATAGAAATTGAATTATCTATAATTCTATGTAATCAACTACGCGTTTGAATATAAGCTGCAGTACCACCACGATTATTATACAAATGGTGTTGATCACTTAAACAAACGAATAAAAACACACTATGTGTTACTGCGCATATTTCTATTTAATAATGTTCCATTATTAGAAAGTATATAACACTGATTCTTCCCTGTCTATTTTTTATGTTTATATTCGTTTATTTATTGTTTCGAAATTCGATTGGATTTCAATTGTTTGATTTTAATCGACTAATGAGTTTTTAGACTTGCTCCATCATTTTGTTCTGTCTATTTCCGTGATTGTTGATCGTTCATACATGTGATCAGTTTTAGAGACAATTGGACTAATATATAGTAGAACTGTTATACAGTACACTGAGTCTATTGATGATGAACGAATGAAGCTATTCTTGAAGAACCTTGATATTAAGATAGAATCTTAATGCGAAAAACCAACGTACAACAGTGATTGAATATTGATGCGATAATAATTACTGTTGAGATGATGTTACATCACAAGGAAAGCTATGTGTAATTTTATGAGCTGCGACCATGAAGACGAATAAAAATCAAGTGCAAAATGATGTTTGTGATTTTCAAACGTAATTTTTTCTGAACGAGAATTTTCTGCGGACTGATTTACATTGGCGTTAATTGGATGCCGTGCATGTAACAGATTATAATTAAAAACAAAGCAACCTAGAATAGGATACCATCGTTTTTTCGATTTACAAAATACTTCTCAATTATTTTAAATTCAAGTTTAGTGTTAACTTGAGCTCTACGATGAAATTTGAAATCAGATTTCTCTGAAATGGCTAAAAATATATTTTTTTCAATTCAAATCCAATTTTGGGTTTACATTAGAAAACGTTTAGCTATTTAAATTCGGTATTCTTCGGATTCAATTGCATTTATAAAATTATATGACGCCCTCATAATACGCATAATCAAAACCAAAGTAGTTGATACAAGAAAAAATTCGATAGAATATGTACGATGATTTTATCTATAATTCTTTGGAAAACAAATTTTCAAAAATACAAGATGGTTGGTAAGAAGTGACTTGAACCTACCAATAAGCTTTTTTTTTATCTTAGTGTAATCTCAAAATTTGCTCTTACGTGAGATGATTCGAATTTTCTCTTTAATAAATCAGTCTTTTTTTCTCATTTACTGCCACAGTTTTAAGCAGTTTGAAAACGTTTTTTTTATCGTTCAATCTATGTGCTAAATCATTAGAAGCCGATCAGGATATATTTTAAAGCATAGCTCTAAAATCTAATAAATATTTGCAGTCGTCTTCACTTTACCTAAGAACTTCTCAAGGGAAAAATCCGTTTTAAATTGCATATACAATCTATTTATGTTTTTTTTTATTGCACATTATCTACAATAACATTTTCATGGTTTTGATAATAATTGTATATATGTATTCAATATGCTGAAACTTGTAATTTTTTTCAATAGCTTATGCCATTAAATGAAATTCTACAACAGACCAAAAAAGCAACTCAATTCAATGTCTCTCATGTTCTACCCTTCGAACCAACAAACGTATCAACATAGTCAATCACAGAATTGCGCTCATAAGAATTTCGATATTATTTTATTATTTTTTAGAATCTAGAAACTTCTTTCTTGTCGCACAATAGACCAAAACATTTAGAAATTAACTTTAGTTCTCATCATTGTTGTCGTTATCGTTATCATTGTCATGATAATCACCATTTTCACCATTGTCATTATTGCCGTCACTACCAGTTTCATGGGTCATAGCTCGTTTCATACCATCGAATAATTCATTGAATGCACGTTGGTAGGCGCTACGGGAAGCTTTAATATCAAAGAAAAATATTCTCATAATGTAATTATTTTTTATTAACTGGCTCCAATTAACTTACTTAGAACGCTTTCACATCTGCTACCATAGCGACGATTCGGACATGAGCAATAATAAGTTGTTGATAAAGAATAACAAGTACCATATATACATGGATTTAGTCGACAATAGTTAGTCGCTGGGCGATTGTCAGTAAACTCTACATAAACATAAATGGTATTCGGTCGTATTACAACAACAGCAACTTACTAATGTCACAATTTTTTCCTAAAAAGAGAAAAACAAACAGTGAGAAGAGGAGAAAACAGATTCGTTTAGTGTACTCTATCACTTACCATAATAAGCAGAAGAACATTGGCAGACATAATCATCATAAGCATTAGTACAATTACCAGAATTTTTACATGGTAAACTATAGCAAGCATCAGCTGAAAAACATAGAATTCGATTCATATACGTATAGTTAATATAATTTGTTTACGTACGTATACTACAATCGCTGCCTCGCCACGGACCAACACATTTACAAATGAATGAGAATAGTCCTTGTGAAGAACAAATGGCACCATTTCTGCACGTACCTGATGCGCAAATGTTTGATGGTATGAGCGAACGTACCTTCATACTGTTGGTTGAATTCCGTGGTCTATGTGTGTGTCTTGAACTACCTGGTCGACGTGTATATGATGGACGAGACGGGCGAGATCGACGAGTTGTAAAACTACCAGTATCATCATCATTATCATCAAAGCTACGATCACCCAGATCATTATTATCAGTGTCATCAGCTGAATTCAACACAAAATAGATATTATTAGAGAATTTTAATAGACACACATAATTGATCAACGGTTAAAACTTCATGGATGAAGATACACCAGATAAAAGTAACTAAGAACAGTTGCTGCAGTTTTCATGTTTAAAGTCTTATGATGTTAGAGAAATTGTGAATACTGTATGTCTTCGACACATATTTATATATCGACAGAATGTTGATCCAATAAAATAGTTAATCATATAGAAGCCGTGAAACTGAAAAAGAACTATAAGTAATCTTGTTGTTTTTAGTATATTCTTGTTCAACAGTTATTTATTCACTCAAATGACAAGATACGCAAATTCAAAAAGCTGCTATTGACAGTAGACCGTGTGGCACGTGCACTGAAAAGCAGAAAGAAAACAAACGAAAGAAAAACAATTATATCAAACATTAACGATAAATAGTATAGATCTCTTGAGAAAAAATTTGCGGACATTATATCACTACTGAGAGTTAGCCATAGTGTCAATAGAGCATTCGCTTGGATCTATTATAAAATCGGAATTATACTAATCAGTGAGTATTTCTGTTGTTTCATGTTTATAAAATGTTATCGAACTTATACATACTGACAAGGAGCCAATCAAATAATTAAAAAGTAGTCTTGAAAATTAATTTCACTATCATATCTCGAAAGAATGCTAATCGCAAAAGCATTGAAAATATTATCAATCTCCATCTAGCACATATACTATATATTCTCTTTAAAAATCTAGAATAATCACTGAAATAACTTGCTTGAAAAGTAGAAACAAAATAGTACGAATATTGTGTTATTGAATTCATCAGTAAGCGATATTGATTAGATGTTTTACAGCAAGTCTTTGAACCAGTTGGTCAGTCTGATTTCATGACTGATTTAATAGGAAACTATTTTCGCGACATTACTCGGTGCGGCTGCTGGTGCTGTTCTTGGCAGTAAGATTGCCAGTATTTTGTTGATAGCTTTGGTAATATTTAAATATTGAAACACTGCTGTTCATTAGCATACGAAGGATTTTATTCTCTGCAATAGCTTATAAATCAATCAGTACTATAGACATTGACGAAAGTAACACTACTAATTGCAATAATACCATCGACATTCTGTATTTCCCACTTTAGAAAAACAATGTACAGTTCTTTTCAATTTCTCTATATTTTTTTGCTTAACTATACGAAGAAGTTGAACCATACATTTTGTAGAACTTCAAGAAATTTAATATTTTTCTTGTCTTAATGGTTAGTGGCATTGATGCAACGTCAATGAGAAGAAATGTATTTTGTGCTAGAAGCTTGCTGAAAGTGGATGTTCGTAGTGCTATCATTATAGATCCTTAAAATTTAGCACATCAACGGCAATCTCTATTAAGTTTTGTAGAGAATGAGATGCTGAGTTTTACGGAGAAAGATTCTATCCGAATCTATGAAAATTTGAGAAGGTATTGAAAAAATACTGTAACTCTGATTCATTGTGGAATCTTCTTCAGATATTATGAACTCATGATAATACAGCAGATTTTAATTGCTTGTGAAGATATGAATAGAATACTTGAACATAGAAAAAGCTGACTACAAATTCAGAATCTAAATGACAAAATACGAGTGAAATCCAAGTGGATTTTAGAAAAGCATATAATCAATGCGATGAGCAATTGAAAAGTGAAAACATTTTTATTTTCATTTTAGTCTTTTCTATTTTGAACTTCTGGCCTAATAATGTATTCGGAACAATGTAAAAGTGATTTTGCCAGATCCTCGTTATAAATTTCGCAAACATGCGCAGACAAATCATTACGTATTACAATTCCAAATATTTAACAAAATGAATATCGTATAATTTTGACTAGCTAAAACGTTTCAATAGGCGGATTATCAACAGGTCTGAATATATTCACCTCTATTAGTATGCGTATTCATACTTTATATATATTTGTCTTTATTGCATTGTTTTTATTTAAATATTTAATATTAACTGGTGAAAACTAATAAACGAAACTGAAACCCACCTACATACTTGACAAAAATGCATTTATAACAAATTCGTGCATTACGAATCTTTAAAAGAACTCCTAAATATTTACTTTATAATTTCCTAGATAAAACTGGTATTTATCAAATAAGATTTTTATACGCCATCTGCAATAGAGTCCAAACTATTTTTCTGTAGTTATAAACATGTAAACTACCTGCCTTTACTCTCAATACAATTTGATTTTGATTTTTGGCAATGACTAGGCAATTCTGTTAAATATCTTAGAATGATTAGTCATTTATTCTGTGTATTGCGTTAATGACTTTTGTCGAACAAAGGCAATGTTCATTTGTAGTTCAGTGCTTAACTGTAGCTTTTCATAAAAAAAAAAGCGGTCACTATACATAAGTCAATGAAATTTAACGGAAATTTCTTTTTAATTATAACCTAGTACAAAAAGATATATAAAATTTATGGCTAATAGATATGAATTTTCCTCAGTATCTTAATATTGCAGAATAACAGAAAGGAGTCACTCAATTGAACACCTAGTAAATGTCTGCGATCGCCTTCCCCTTACTTAAGAACGCCATTAGTAATATACTTCTTCACCTGTTTTTCTCCAATCTATTTATGTTTTTTTTGATTGCGCATCATGTATGATACCATTTTTATCCGATCACTACTCATTACATATGTATTCAATCTATTGAAACTGGCGATTTTGTTCATTAACTTATGCCATCGATTGAAATTTTGCAACAGACAAAAACAAAACTCGTTTCGAAGGTTTTCATGTTCAACGCTTTTAATCAACAAAAACATATGAGTAGACTTAGCCACGAAGTTTTAATAATTATCTGAGCCATTGTGACCACATGACGAGTCAGATCGTGTTGCAATTGTGTTGTGCACGACTAGACACATCTTGTGTGTTCATCTTGCACATTTATTCATGCTATCGGCCTCGGCCCTCTACACTTTTACTCATGGTAATTTATATTTTATTGAGTTGAAATGATCGACGAGAGAATAGGTATCGACTCACAGTATATATGAATAAGCATTAAGCGATATCCTAAATTTGAAGTGTTCTATTTTCTATATTATAACGTACTTTAGATCCAATGGTAGTGACAATATTTATCAGTTTTGAAAAGCGTAAGATTTTCTTGTATTGTGAAACTCAAAAATACTTTCAATGAACTTTTACACTTTCGAATAATTATAGGCTGTTAAAAATAATCGCGCAAATATCTGTCATCTTGCTATAGGAAAAAAGTGGTGATTTAAAATGTAAAAGTGCTATGTAATAATTAGTTCACTCGTACAAAGTATTGTCTCTTGACAGTTATCTGCTTTGATACATATACAACGAGCATGAATAAATATATCGTTGAAGCATAGATAGTCTTGCAAATTGATTTATGCATGCCTGGATGATTATAGATTTATGTTAAAACATTCGAAACCATTATAAAACGCTGGAAATTAGGAAAGGATAAGCCGAAAATACAAATACAGATGGCAACATATAACGATCGCCCAATTCTATATTGAAAATAGAGTCCTGCAGGTCAATCTTGCCCTACCCTACTCTACCCTGCCCTGCAGGGCAGGTTAAGGTTACAAAAAAAATTTGGGGTATAAGTAGGGTGTAGCTCATACAAATAAAATTTTTATAGAGTAGAACTTAATATATATTTCTGACATCTTTTTGATCAAAAACAGTGTAAAGGGTGATATCATAATCTAAATTGAATGGGTAGAATAAAAACGAACGGAAAACAATGGACAATTGTTTAGTACTATTTTTACATAAGCTGACGAGTTCAGTCACTTTTGATTATTTGTCTAGTAAATGTGCATGTAAATGTAATAAAAAAGCTTTTCAGCGCAACCCCGTTGGGGCTAAAATGTGGAACTCACATATTTCGGTCAGTTAAATACTGATCAAATAGAAGTTTTATTTTTTCAGTGTAATGAGATCATATTTTGTTCAAAAATAAGATAATAAAACATTTTTAACATTTGAAATTTATTGGATCTATCAATAGGAAATATTACTAGAGAGAACGTATAAAAAACTTTTTGTTTAGAATATGTCGGTATGCTGAAGTGTTTAGTGGTTTCATTGAGAAATATTCTGAATGATAATAGTTTAAACAGTATTTAGGATATAGCTATCAATATTGTTGAAAAATTTATATTTTTTCGGATTACTACGTGAGAAATTGATACATGTTTTCATCAACAAAAATTTGATAAAAGCTTTCCAGTGGATGGAAAAGTTCCGAATTGTAAATACACTAAAGTGGATTCAAGCTCTAGAATAAGGTATTCATGTGGGAAAAAATAGATTAAAATCTTCATCTGTTTATTGTAAATGGTAGAAGTAACGAGTGTATAATAGTAGCACAAGCTAGCTGCTAGCTTCTGTAGCGGTAGCATACACTCGTTGCTAACGTCTGTAATAATAAAAATATATAATACTGTCGTAATTATGGGGTATAATAATAAAAACAACAACAGATTTTGATGATTAATTAGAGATTAAATCCTAATTGTAATGATTTCTAATTAGTGAAACTAGATTTTTATTACTGATGTGAGTAGTGGTGAACATAGGCAATCGACCTGTACCAAAAAAGTTTCTAATTAGTGCATCTAAGTGTTAGTTTTTTATATTTTATGTCTGTAAAATGGGGAGCCGCAAAAGTCTAACAATTCAATTTACACTCACTATTTTCTTCGAAAATATATGTGAGTTCCACAAAATGTCTTCGAAATCATCTCGACATGAACATATTGTTAGTACAAACGGGCGAGTTTTGGATGAGAGAAGGCAAAATTTAAGTGGTGATGTTGTAAATGACATTTTATTTTTAAGAAACTTTCGAAATATTTATTAATTTTGTATTTGTTTCTCGTTGAAAATCAATAAAATATATTGAAACAAAGTGAAGAAAAACTTCACGCTTACTTTTACTTGGACCTGAAACTCTAAGAATATGATAGGGTGTAAAATGAAAAATCTCTGTGATAGGGTAGGGTAAGGGTACAAAGCCCCTAGGGCATGGTAGGGCAAGGTTACGAAGTCTATAGGGCAGGGTAGGGCTAGGGTAAGAACGTCGTAGGGCAGGGCAGGACAAGGATACGAAGTTTTACGATAGGGCAGGGTTAGGGCACAAAAAAGTCTTAACCTGCAGGACTCTAATTGAAAAGCATATAATCTATACAATATGAGCAACGAAAAAGTTGAAATATATATATTATACATTTTTTTCTATTATTACCTTAAGATGTTTGAGGATTATCCGATTAGGAGGATTCGAAAACGGTATTTTTCGGTCATTTCTACATTTCTTCGTACTGATTAAAGTATTGCGCATTCGGAAGAAAACAAAACATGAAAAATAATCGCACAAAATGTTTCAGTAAAAGTAATTCAAGTAGATTAAACAAATGCAACTATAGTCGTATGCAGATAGTGTTTTCTTCTTCAATAAATAAGGTATTTTTTTCAATATTGCTAATAAATATCAATATAGAAAGTATAATGTTTGAATTATTATCTGTTCTATCAATTAAAACGAAAGATTTCATAGAAGAAGAAGTTGATCTTTGATTCTAGGTTCCCTTAAGTTTTTAGAATGTATCCACATTCGCAACGCGTTATTCGCGCGTACTCAGTTAGATTTGAGAATTCGAGAATAAGAATTCTGTAGAGCAAAATTCTGTTTTTTTTTTTATTTTGGTTCAATTCCGATCCTATCGAAAAACTTTTCACACGGCCAAAAATTGTATGATAAAAGTAAATTCTCAATCTAAATGAGACGGTGAGAATCAGAGCGGGGTAACTCCACACAAGCCCACTCCGATAACTGAAAAAATGCCAACTCCGAGTTGGAGTTACCCATCTCTAGTGACAGCTCGCAGGGATGAGATAACATCTACATTTCATCGCATGTGAGACACCTATGATTCGTTCTCTAACAATTTGCTATAAGATATTTTGTTTGCCAATCAGTTTCTCTGGTTTCTTTCGTAAAATAAAACAGTCTGCGTAAGTATTTTATTTTTTATGCATTATTTTCTAACGTAACTTGTTGCTCGCAAGTAATATGATAAACGATAATATTTTTCATTATCATTATTATATATGTATGAAAAAAACATAAGTTCTCACGAAGAAACAAGCACATTGAAATCAGGCTTCACACTCAATTTTCCCAATACTATATATTTTAGAAACTATGGACCTTTGGAGTAATATTCGATATGATGGTGCAGACACATCGCAACACCAAGAAGCTAACATTCAAAATAATATTAATAGTGTTAGTTTCAGCTCAAGTAAGCCTTCATTTTTCTACAAATACATCTTTGAAAAATACGTTTTGTTTTCAAGTAACTAACATTAATAGTCACGGACAATCGACACGACTGCCATTAAATAATGATTCGTCACTTGGCATCCCAGGTACAGCAGTATGGTATATCTATATCTATATATTAGATTTATTTGTATTACAAATAGGCATCAATGATCTCGACAAAACTCCTTCACTTCTGGCTGGTTTGTTATATACCATAATAAAACAAAATGTTTATTTATAAAACTTTTTTTTTATAAAAGTCGAAGATGAAATTGATGAAATAGTCAAAAATGGACATTTTTATGGCGAAGCTAATGTTAGTAACTGAGTTTATATAAAAGAGTTAATGTTCACTGGGAAATTTTTGATTTTAGCCATTCGATGAACTAAATGATTGGTTGTCAAAAGAAATTGATACTGCCGAATTAAAAAATATTGATATATTGATTCAAAATCGAACAATGAGTTTTAGAACTCAACCGCCAACTGATATCCGTCGACGATATAAAAGCGAAGGAAAACGCCAGGTTGAAAAATCTCGTTCTAAACCTGCAGCAATAATGGTATGTTCAGCTTTTGTTCTCTTGTAGTCGATTTTATATTAGGTGTTTTAGTTACCGAATTTGAAAAACGTCAGATTAAATCCAAATCAATCATTTTGGATTCAGTTAGGATTAATAACTACTACAGATAATCCTGCAAACAACGAATACATTCATGCAAATAGAATAGAATATCATTCAAACGATATCTCAATATCAGATGATGAATTTGTACGGATTCCACTGTATCAAATGGATATTCAAGGAGGCATAAAGAGGTACGCAGTATTGTTGCTCTAGGAAATTGAACTATGTACATGAAATCTTATTTTCAGATTACCTCATTTATCAATCATTAAGGTAAAATTAGATGAATACACATTTGTACTCAAGCCCTTCAACCCATCAGCAACAGATAATCCAGTCGAAATATGTTTGTTGATTTTAATTTAGTTTGTTTACAATGATAAATGAGTTTATATAGATGTTATAGATGAAAAGAACAGTAAAAAGTCGCTCGTTGCAAAAGCTAAGCTTTTTCGTGGCGAATATAACTTACAATCGAGTCGTATTGTTTGCCAGCTATTGATTAAACAAAATGAGACATGGCATACGACAAATATTATGTGTCGAACAGATGTTATGAATGAACGTAAATAATTAAAACGAAAACATAAGCTTATTTTACGAATAACTAAAATTTTGGCTTCTTTTTCTCTTCAGTAAAAAAATCAAATAAACCAGCAACAACTACCCATCTCATCGAAGATGACGATGAGGATGATTATCCAAGTTCATCAAGAAAACGAGAACGATCTCCATCATTAGAGAAGGGTTTACCGGTAGATCGCTTTAATTCTTCTTTTTGTTCAGATCAAATATTTTCTTGTCTTTTGATAACCTTTTTCAGGTAAATCGAATTAAAACACTATGAATTTATTGCTACAATATTTCATTTCAACAGCTGTTCTCTTGATACAATCAAGCTCACTGTTTTATTTGATTTTCTCAAATTTGAATTGTTCCATTTGTTCTTTGTTTTAAACTTATTGTCTTGCTTTTTTTCTTATACGTTAAAATTTGTTAAGCAGTCAAAATTTTGTGAAATAAATTTTAAAAATTTAGTTCACATTTATAGTTTTATCAATGGTTATAATTGATTATTCAATACTATAACAAATTGAAATCTAAAACAACAAATGAAGTACTTGAATTTTAGTATGACGGCTTGTCCAAACGTAGCGCTGTAACATTTTGACAAATTGTTTTGCAATTATTTCGAAAGGCATAAAAGCTAATAAGGTTGTTCAAGTGTCATTCCACGCAGCTTATCATACTCTATTTATGTTGCAAGAATGACCTAGTTTGACTGAACTCTCACGCTTCTAGAAAGGTTTTATCATGGCGTAACATTGTGACAAAAACGAACCTTTTTTCTCTAGGACTGCTTATAAAACTCTAATTTTTCGGCAAATTATTTCTTCAAATTAAATGCTTATGGTACCAGTTTTGTAGAAAATTTAATGGGCTTTCAAGCAGTGAAAAATATTTTTTTATAAGCTATTTTCGCTCAGGTAAAAATGCAAAAAACAAACGTAACGCTGTGACACGTTTTTTTGTCGACCAAATGACAAGCACTTAGCATGCTTAAATATATTTACTATTGATTTATATTGATCACTGCATGCATATATCGTTCTGTAAAAAAAAGTCACGTGGCTACATCGAAATAGCAGCTGAATAATTGTACGGTCAGTTAGAAACTGTACAAGAGCTTAGAAGTAGTCCTAATGAATGAGAGTAAAAAAACTAAATAGGCCATTTTGTAGAGAATCAAATTCTGTATCGAATGATACATTACTCTGGACTTTTGCTTTGAATTTCTTGGCTAGAAAATTGAAAATACAATTTTTGAAAACTTTAAAGCCCGGTTATGGATGCCAAAATAATTTTTTTTAAAGAAAAAGTTCAAATTCATAATCAGCGTAAAAAAATGTACCAGAAAATACGCTTAGATCTGTCCATATCGAAAAAAAAACTTTTCAAAATTGGGTCAGCGAAGTAGCATTTTCCGTGGGCAAGTCGATTAGAATTACCAGAACTGTCTTGCGCAACAAAATATTAGTCATATTTTGATCCCTTGAAGAATTAAAAAATTTAATTACTTTGTTTTTAAACATTAAAATCACTAATTGACAATAATTAAATAATTATAATTAATAATAAAAATTAATTTAAAAGCTGAGACATCTATACTTTCGATTCTCCAATAAAAATGATGGTTTCTACCTGTTTCTTTCTCTCTTGCATCTGACAAAAATTTATGAAAACCAACTGCAGGATGACTATAACAATACCTCAGAAAGCAACATCAACTAACAGTCATAGTTGCATTATAAACAGCTTCCTCTCCTAACATAAGCAAACTCTTGCCGACAATAGTTGCATACTTTGCCACATACATATTGCTAAAAGCTGAACGAATCCGACATGGAGTTTCAACCAAATGATTGTAAGTTTAACCATCCTATGAGTTTTATAAAGGAGCTTGATTCATGTTTACATTTTAGACTCTAATTCAACAACAACAACAACAGATGAACTACTGGCTCTCGAACAAGTGTTCTTCCATCCAGAAGATTTCACTGATGCATTTAATGATTTACCTATTGGCATAAATCAGGTGACAATAGAAGATCAGTCCAGCACTAACATGGGTGAGTCTTGTAACGAATAATAAAACTTAATTAAAGAGTTGTAGCATCTATAGTTTCGATCTTTTATGAATAGAAAAATGAGAATTTCATTTTTGATGATATTTTTCTTTTTCTTTCTCGTCTAATAAGAAAAGCTATAGAAGGGCCAGCATTACATCAGAAAGCAATATCGCAAACTGCTGAGATTCATAGTTGAATTATTAACTAATTATGTTTCTAACACTAAAACGTTCTTTTCTAAAAAGGCTTCATACTCTTTTAGATTCATCTTCTAACATTTTCAACGGATCCGGCATGGTTAGTCAACCCTATGGTAGTAGGTTTACTCATCCTATGAGTTTTATTTAAAAACAATAGATTCATGTCCATATTTTAGCTTCTGATCAAACAGCAATAGACGAATTGCCCGATATTGGCCAAAGCGATCATTCAGATCAGATTCTGAATGCTATTGATATGTTACTCATGAGGATGACTCACTCGGAAGTAGAATATCAATTCGATACAAATACCGGCAAGTGTTAGGTTTAAATCGAGCATATCTAGTCGACATCCGTTAGAACATCTCTTTTACATATTTTCAAAAACTTTTCTACTGTTCTTTTATGTAGTCGGAAAAGACAGTAAATATGATAAAATGAAATACATTTTGTGTTTGTCTCAGTTGTCGTTTAAAGATTGTTTTTTGGGAAAAAAATCTTGTAAATTAAACTTTTCACTGTCAATGAGCTATAGAATTAGCAAAGAATATTAATCTATGCTAACCCTAATGTTTTTGAATTAGAAAATTTAGAAGTTTCACTTCCAAATCAAAATACCAATGTAGAGATCGAACGTGGAATATCCGGTTTGTTGTTATTTTACGGTTATTATTTTAAGCAAGTAGAATTTCATTTGTTTCTGTAGATATGCAAGATAATCAAGATGATTTCGGCAGTTCTTCCTATCCGCACATAAATAGATCTGAAGAGGCAGCGATAGCAAATAATCAATACGATGTTCGTATATTGTTACTAAATATTTTTCATTTAAAACATACAATTTATATTTTAGTCACAAAATGCAATCAATGCATCATCGAGTATAATAAATAGCATTCAAAACGTTGTCGATGCAATATATCATGAGCAAAATCCAGCCATACGAATAACTACGCAGCCGGCTGCAAAACAACGTTTTCGTTATCGCAGGGAAGGTACTCGTTACCAAGCAGGTTCTCGTAGCAATCCAACGTGCATTGAGGTTGTAACCTATGTCTTTTGATTATAATTTATAAATTTTGTTTTACATTTTTATGCAGCTTCCGATATTATACGGATGCTTACAAACACCTGACCAGTCGTTGTGGCTAGAAGCGACACTGGTTACTACGACCCGAAATCCACAAAGGAAGAGATTTGTTCATGAACATGAAATGAGTTGTACGGAAGAAAACGTTGAACAAATTGGTTTGCATTCTTTCCGAATTCGATTGACAAATGAAGAAGTTTGCCGTCGCAGAAAAACGTAAGAAATCAATCCATGCCATTTGACTTATTATGCGTCATAATCGTTTTAGAATTCGCCATGTATCGATAACGAAAACTAAACAACGTAATTATTCGTTTTTGTTGACCCCATATGATCCTTCTATGGAAGATAACAATGTTGAACATTGTATGTTCATCAGCGTTCTCTACTGTTTTATTTTAGCCAAATATTTTTATTTAGATACTCTTCCAAATGAAGATCGCCTGACAAAAGTTCAAAAGTCGAAACGGTTTGACCGAGCTTATCACACGAATGAGTATCAAATTCTTTTTCAATTAATGATACGTCAAAATGACCGGTGGTACATGACTCCAATTTATTGTGAAACGCATGTAGTTCGAAATGCTTGAGCCCCATTTCTGAATTGCAATTAATAGCTCTGTACTTTGGACATGCTGCATAGAACATGGTGTAGCAATCATGTTCTCTCATCCGCGCTCTCTTTTTTTTTGTTCAAATTATATATTCAATAAATTGTTATTATGAATAACTTTAATATTTTTATTTATTTTGCTTCTTATAAATATTTCTTCTCAATAAACAAATAAAGTTGGTCCTTTTATAATGTAATATAGAGTTTCAAGGTTATACAAAAATTTTTGTTTGCAAAATAAAAGCATTCTTTTTCGAATCACTCTGAAATATTGATAATCAACAACACTCATACACATGCACCATTGTGTTTACTAATAGTTGAGCAATGTTGAGGATGATATGATTCAAGCGAATATAGTCTGTGTAACTTTTTTTTGTTTTTGTTCGGATACTTTTTTTAATGGAAAGATAAAGCCTTCAACAACTTTCGCAATTCTTGAATAACATTCGCGATTCTTTTTAATTTGTTGACTCGCTACGTCATCACCTTCAAGCTGCAACAAAGCAACATTGTCGGAGAGTATTTTCAAATGTTTTTGTTTTTGCTATAATGTCTGAAGTTCTTTCTATTTTATTTTATTTTCATGTATATTTGCTCTAGCAAGAGAGTAATGGAGATTATTTTAAAGTGTTTTTTTCTCTGCTCACGTTTTAACTCAAAAGTATAAGAAATGCGCCTTTTTTCTTGTGATTTATTGTTGTGTTTTCGTATGATATCGGCATCTGTCTAGGATGTTCTGTTTTTTTTCTTCTTTTGAATCGCCAATAGCTCTCGCTCGCTTGACTCATAGCTGCAAGAACAAAAAAGAAGAAAAAACAACATCGACTGACGTGTTTTTTGTCCTTAGTGGGAAAAAAATGTTGTTTTCGAGGGAGGCGCGTTTGTTAGAAATTACTTTTCAGTTTGATAACAACAAGTAGGTACTCTTTTTCTATATTACTACACAAGATGAATTGTTTTCCAAATCAAATGTTTGAATGTAGGTGAATCGTTTTTTAAAGTCATTTAAAAATATTTGAAACTCTTTTCTTTTTTGCAATTTAACCTAGCTTCCACCGATGAGATGGATATTGCCTTATACATAAAAGATTTTGAAGTCAAAGATCAATCAAATATGTTTCAAGATGTCAAGTTCAGTGAAGGTAAGCTTTTTCTTCTAAATTCAATCAAGCTAACATTTGACACATCAAATTAGGCGTACTGAATAACGACACTGTGGAACAGTTGGCAACGATAGATGATTATCGTATAATAGATATTAGTAATAGTTTATTGGGTGATTTTCAAAGTAAACCTTAATTATGATAATGATCTTATAGTATATTATCTATAAAATACTCTTAGATTCCATTGTTTCAAATGATGCAATGAGTCATTCATTAATGTTAGATTTATTCGATATCCCACGGCCTATGAATGATGAACAATGGCGCGATGATGAATTTGAGCAAATCTTAATCGATGACCTGCGCAAAGAAGAAATAGTAAGTGGTATAAAATCTAATTATTTTTTAAATCTACTTGTTCAATAAAAGATTATGGCAGAGAACAATTCTCAACTGAATGCAAGCAAAACTCAGCAGGCATTTGCTATTGAAATGAATACTTTTCAGTCTGTATTTGCCGATGTTGAAATGTTTGTCACAGAACAGCCTAAACCTGACCAACGGGCTCGCTATGAAAGCGATGGTCCTCGTTTTCTTCCAGATTCAAAGAAACATCCGATGACGGTTGAAGTTAGTATTCAACATAGTATGAATATTCGAATAAATACTTTATTTCCTATGTTTAGACCCGGAATCTATCATCAGCACAGTTGGCAGACAATGCTACAATTGGTATTGTTTTAACAATGGTAACAACAACGAACAACCCAAAAAATAAAACATTTGTACACGCCAATAGTATAAAATATCGTACAGATGATGCAATAGAGTTGGATTGTGGAAGCGTTTTTGTTCCATTAAGTAAATCTGACATATTAAAAGGTGAAAAAACGTAAGTAGATTTTAACTAGAATCTTATTAATGAATATTAAATTGTTATTTTGTTTTAGATTTCCCCGTTTATCAATTATATGTAAAAAGTTTGATAACTATTCATTCGACTTAACATCATTCGATGAAGCAACTGTTGAAAGAACAACAGAAAAATGTTTGTATTTTCATTCTTTTTCTCTAGTTTTTGTCTTTTAATCCATTTGCAATGCTTTCATATAGACATAATCACTGATAAAGATGAAATGACCAAAGCGGCTAAAGGAAAACGGTTTACTTTTGACTACGATTTGCTCTGCTACAAAATTATCTTTCAATTAGCGGTGAAACAGGACAATTTCATCAGCATTTTGCACATTAAATGTGAAACAAACATTATAAATGAGCGTAAGTATATTCAATGAGCACATACAAAAGTTATACAATACACACGTGTATCGAATATTTAGAAAAAACTGCAGCAAAATGTATCAAACGAAAGATCTCATCCGGTGATATACTGCCCGCAAAAAAAAAGGGCAAAGTCAATAGGTCCGTGGGACATCGATATGCTGAGAGTTTCAATACAACGGCATTACCAATTGTTCGACGCTCGGTAAATATTTTTCATTGAAACTTATCAATTGATTTGTTCATTTCGGAATATGAATTTTCGTCAGAACAGCTGAGATATTTTAGATTAAAAAAAAAACCTTTGTTCAGTTTTCTATTGAATATTATTCAACAGAGTAGCAACCACTCTATTGCAAAAATTTTTAGAATGAAGGCGATATTCATTCGGTTTTAATAATAAAACTATTTCTTTTAATTTTATCGATTAAACAGAAGATCGATCACCTCAAGTACTCCTCAGTTGAACATTTATTAACTCGATTCAGTATTCTAAAATTTAATTTTTATCTTTTAAAAAAATATATAATATTTATGAACAATAAATAAATGTTATACGGAAGTTTACAATATTTGTTTTCTTTTCTTCTAGTTGACTCGCAAATCTTCTCAAAAAATAAATCAAGCCTAAGCTTCCTCTGTCGATAGTTCATAACTATCTATGCGGAATGGCCTCATCCGCAACTCTACGCCTGACGTCGTGTTAAAAAAATTATTTTATTCTAAACATACGCTTATCAATATATATATATACATATTGATTCAAAATCTATTTTCTTTGTTCTTTTCTTTTCTTTTTTTATTGATATCATTCAATGACTTGAAAAACACAGAGTATGTCTTTTTTCTGTCTATTATATGTAATTCATTTCATGTGATACGAGTGTCCACCAATAATAAAATGACTATATTTACATATATAATTTATAAAAAAAAGATACGCGTTTAATCAATATTTTCCGTTTCTTGCTCTGAGTAAGTGACGCGTCCAAATTCTGTGTCACTGCATTTTTATGACACCGCCTCACTTTTTTTTCTTTATCATACGCATGCTAGTGTAAGTAAATATTTCGTGATTTCGAATCCTATTTGTACTAGAGGTATTTTTCTCCGTTCTTATTGATGTAAGTCGTTATGACAAATGCGTCATAAAAACAGAACGTAATTAAAATAGCCTTGTATAGATGAGAGAATAGAAGAAAAAAAAAATAAGGAAAGGAACAGAACACAATAGAACAAGTTGGAAAAAACCAAGAATCGGCAAAAACGATTTTTCGACGTAAAAAAAGAAGTGTAAAAGACTAGTAAACAAGTGAATAAATATCTTTTTCACCTTTTCTCTTGTAGTAGCTACCACAAAAAGAATGTTGCATATATTAAGAAATGTTATAATCTATTTTTCGAATGCACTACATAAAGGCACGTGGTTAACTTGGCGCATTTGCATTTTTTTGCGTTATTAAACGTTATAGAAGCACATTAATACACTTTTTCTTTTTCAATAAAACAACATTTGTCGGATTTTTAGATTATTTTCATTTGAAACCGCTAATAGTGATGGACGACATCTTTTTGTCGAAAACAATATATTATTTAACTCTTTAAACATAATCTAGATGGAGCAAAACAGTAAATAAAAGTAATTATTAATTTAACTCTTTTGATAATGACTCTTTCTAGTCATCATAAACAATTTTGATGCAATGGACGATCTTGATTTCAGTATACCAAACAGTATGTATTAAATTGTACATCAACCTATATTTATATGACTAACTGTCAACCTCATTTGTTTTCAATTTTTGAAGATACAAATAAATCATCATTATCAACTGAAGAAATCGGTAATTTATATATGATCAGAGCATTATAGTTTCTGATAAAATAGTTATTTTTTCATAATTTAGATACTCGTTTCTGTTATGATTTTAATGCACGGGAACAATTTTATGAGATCGATGTCGCAGGTTAATAAATATGATACAAAAAAAAGCATCTTTCATTTTTATTTTTATTAAGATTTAAATATGTCACTGTATCCGGATGAGCTTTTTAAAAGTTTGCTGAACGAATTCAACCAGATGCAAGGATCTTCCGGTTAGTTTGATTGCTTTCATTCAACAAAATTATACTGATTGATTTTTTTTCTCTTAATAGCTCCTAGTCCTATTATCGATGCAATCGCCGAACTATTAGACGAGGAGCCAGGTATACTGCATCCAATAGAAACTAATGACATGCCTGACCGTACGATCTGTTACTGTTGTGTCGTTTAATGAAAACTTCTTTTCTAGGAACACAAAGTACCGATGAACATCTAGCCATGATTAAACCGAGTGACCATTCATTACAAACAAGTCGTCAATCTGTTGAGAAATGTATTTTTTCAATGATAAAAATAAAAAAATATATAGATTTTCAATATCATTCAACATTTAGTACCGGCAAAAGGTCACTTGGATTCATCAATAGAACTATCAAAATCGGTGGCTGTTACAGTTCCAACACCAAATCAATTAAAAATTGTCTATCAATTAGAAGACACATATAGAGCACGATATAAAAGTGATTACTTTCCTCAAAATGGTTCATGTCGGCGTCCACGTTATGTCGCTGATAAAGAAGGACATCATCATATTACGATACAGGTACAAACAACCGATATACGATTAATTAATTATTATTTTGAAAATTTTAGATGCCAAGTGATTACAAACGTGATCTTACTAATGAATACATTCGCGTCGCATTAATAACAACATCAATTGACGATCGTGGACATTTTTATAGTCCATATAAATTTCAAACAGATCATCGTGATTCTAAAGTACCCGATCAGAATCCAATTTTTTTATCTGCACAAGCTCAAAAACAGGATAAATTTACTATGAAGTAAACAATTAAAATTAAATAAGCAAATCCTATTATCAAAATTTCTAGACTACAACTAGTTTTGATAAAATCAAAGCTAGATCAATTGAATGACGCCCAACCATTAAAACATTTTCCGGATACAATCAGTATACAAAGTAAAACAAGCATAAAACAGATTCTTTTTTTTTTGCTTAATTTCTTTTCTAATTTAGATATTATCAATGAAGAAAAATTGGCACCAAAAGATTTGATTAATACATATCAACTGGATAAATCACACATCGCATTTACTCTGTGTACAAAATTATCTAATGGTTCATATAATATTCACTCTGAAACCACAGTTATTTCATCAATCATAACAGAATCACCATCAAAACAGTTAGCATCATCAACGAATAAAACAAGTGAACTGTTGAAGATTGTTTCTGACCATTAAATTAAGTTTATTTTCTTATAGAAACAAACAGAAACCCAATAAAAAAGATAATATGTTGCCCACATTGTAATCATAGTTTTGATCCAGCTAATATGAAAGTCACACAAAAAGAAACGAAACGAAAATCAAATCGCAGGGCATCTCGTTCTTGTTCGAAAGTATAGAAAATAATCACTATTTTTTTCTGCATTTTAATATATGCTTCTCTTTTCTTCAATATTTTTAGTTAGCAAATAAGAAGCAGTCAACTAAAAAACGAAAGACCACTGAATGAACTATTATATTAATCATTTTTTATGATTTTAACCGTCTTTTTCCACATATTATCTCCATGCTTATATTTTACTATTGTCATCGCTTTTCTGATTCAACTATCAATTTGCTTTGGCTTTGTTGTCTCCTTTTCTCTTCAATAAATTTCATTTTTAATAATGACATCTAAATGAAAAAAGCACGCAATAATGTAAACCGCTACTGAGAAAAAGATTAGAACAAAAAGAAACTAATCAAAATTTTATCATATGTCGTATACATCCTGAGCTGTAAATCAAACATTCAGTGCAATTTCAGAGTGAAAAATGATGACTCCAACACTTATTCATAGTTTTTCATCACGGATGCAATAATCCTAATAATTGGATAGTAAAATATTTCATAACTCATTTAAAACAAACAGTTCAACAAATCTAAAATCATACTGGTTTGATTTTTCTAATTTGTTTTGAATAAAATAAAATCTTGGAAGAAACCTACTCAAAAAAAATCATCTCGATTGTCTGATTGTATTGAATTATGATACATTAATTGCTATATAGTGAATGCATTCAACTAACTAATATCGGAATTTTTCGTGTAAACGTTTTTCTTTTTGTTAGGGAGATAATGCCTGTTTTTTTTAGAATCTTACATATAAAATACAATACGATTGTGCGTTTGCAAAAGAATGATTCATTTGCCGTACAAACGTATGAGTAGCAAAAAAACAACTACGCTGGCTGCTTTTATCGAGTATTTTCTTTTCTTGGGTTTTTTCCTTTACCTGTAATGGTTGCTAATATAAATTACAGCAAATTTTGTCGTAATACTGCGTAAAGCTTATACACGTACTTATATAGTAGATGCATAATCGTACCAAGACAAAGAGACAAAATGCCATACAATAAAATTAAAATAAATATTAATATAAAATGATGATAGTTTTCTAAACATTTCTTTTAGATTTCAAAAAACTCCTCAATAACTTCAAAATGATTTCTGATTCCTTATCAGTAGAAGAACATATCAGTAGTTGTTTGGTTTTCGACGATGATCTTCTAAGATTACTGGGTACAAATCATCAATCAAAAAATGTATGCTATGAGAAGCCTTTTGATAATACCTCAATTGCCAGTGATTTGATCGAGTTTATTGGTAAGAAAGAAAACAAATATGTGTACTTCGAACTAATATATATCGATTCTTTTGTTTTTCGTTCATATAGATCCGAGAAATTGCGCGATAGAGAAAAATGAATTTGATTGCTATTTTCCGACAAGCAACAGTTCGCAAGGTAAATATAAACAAGCATCTGAATATTAAAATTAATCTGGTAACATTCTTTTTCTTAAATAGATATGATATGTAGTGATTACGATCCAAATCTATCTTTTCTCGATTTCTCGATGTCATCCAAAGAGTGTGCTGGTAAGTAAAATCATCATTTTTGCATTTGATATCAGTTCGTCAAGCTTCGTTTTCTACATATATATTTAGATGGCTATAACGTTACAAATGCAAAGTCGAGTCATGTTCCATTGTCTACATCTGTGGGTGTCACAATACCAAAGAAAAGCCTTAATTTATCACGTGGCATTGAAATTGTTGATGATCTTGAGTTAAAATATAAGCCACGCTACAAAAGCGACTATCGTTCTCCAGATGGTACAATTCGAAAACCACGATATGTGGCTAATCAGCATGGCGTTCATTGTGTCGAACTCAAAGTAATTTTAAATTGAAAACTAGTTTTTATTCATAAATCATCTGAATGTTCAATTTCATAGGTAGCACCTGGTAGTAAAGGCTATCTTCGAGTCGATTGGACTACAACGGAGTTGAGTAAAGGTATTCGATATTCAATGCCTTACAAGTTTCAAATTGATAATGATTCATTTGATTCTCCTGATGTAAACCCATTTTATGTAGATTTCACCGCTGATTGTACAGGAATTTTGCCGTTAGTATTATTGATTTTTCTATGTTGATTCTATCTGATTTGTTTTTAATCTAGACTATATTTGGTGTTGATTAAAGCGAAACAAGATGAATTGAAATCAGTTCAACTTCAACTCTTTCCTCCATTGGAAGATTGTTCTACGGTATCAATTTCAAATAGTTTCAACGTAACAACTCCATTGAGTGCAAAAAAATTGATTGAACAATATCAATTACATAGATCACAATTAGCATTTACATTGTGTACATTAAGTAAAGACGGGCAATTATTCATTCCTGATTGGGGCACAACGGTCTATTCAACAGTTATGACTGGTAAGCAATAAATTCTATATTTATTAGTTAAATAAATATTTCTTTATTAATAAAAATTATTTTTTCTCATAGAGATGTCCACCGAAGCTTCAAAACGAAGAAAGATTGCTTGTCCAAGATGTAAAAATTCATTCGAAATAACCATCAACAAAGCAGGTGATATCAGCTATGAAGAACCAGCGAAAAAACGAAAACGATGATTCAAGAAAAAAAAACTATGGCGCTAATTTTGATATATTAGCATTTGATTTATTAGTTAAAAACAATTGGGTTTTAATTGATAAAAGAAAAAAATTAACTAGTATTGGAATTGTGCGATTGTACTTATATATTCAATTCAAAAAATACAATAAGCTGCTTACAATATTTATCTCCCTGTTGTATTTGAGAAACTCACGTGTTTGTTTTTCTTTTGTTTTTAAAAAAAAACACTGTAATCTGATCAAATAAAAATAGATGTGCTATGTGCACAATGCACTTCAAAAAACAGCACTACAGAACTTTCACGAATACATCAAAGAATTGTATCGAACCTTCATACTCTAAGAGTATTTACTTGAATGATGAGATCTCTCAACAGTATGTTTGCCATATGCATATCAGGTTTCGTACGGTCGTTAACGATTTCAAAAAAAAATATAGGCTTTCGCAATACTGACTCAGACAATATTAGCTACTATTTTCACAATTACTGGTGTAATAAATAATCATCCTTTCATCGGTTGGCTGCGAGTAAATATGTAAGCCATTTATAAGTCTCGTGTTCTCGGATTGTTTTATTGACATGACTATCGACATCACTTTTGTTTTTACCAATGTACGCATAGATATTTGCAAAAGTAAAATAGACACTACAAATCTATTTTTGTAACGCATCATTCGTCTTTCGAAATAATACTCTTTATAAACAAGGTGCAATATATTTTTCGCCGAAAACATACTAATTTCTCTAAATGCATATGCTGACTCATGCGCTGAATGTTTTTTCTTTTGCATTCTCTACTTCCTATTGAATCGGTTGTAGAGGAAAAAACCAACGATGCTTCTGTGTTATAAATGGGATTACATGTATGAAAAATGTAGACTAAAAAGAAAATAACAAAGCAAGGTAAACCGAAGCCACATCCCGAAAACTAAGAAAATAGTTCAATATTGTATTTTAGTACACTTTTGTGCACCCTGTAGTTGGTTTTATACTGTCACCGTTGAAGACAGCCCAGTGTATTAATAGTAATAAATCAGTACAAGTAATATGGAACATCTCTGTAATACACATATGGATCGTTTATCTGAAGAAGCACATGGAAATATATTATCAGGTCTAACCAATGATTGTGATGTTTTCACTGCATTGGGTATTGACCCGTACGATCCTCTTGAAGATTTTCAACCCGATTTTATTGTTTCTGGCACATGCGATTTAGAAAGTCTTACTAGTAAGATACGAAAATATTAACTGCTGAAAATTCAAGCTTTATTTGATGTTTATTTATTTAGAATCAATGAAACAACCCGACGAACTATTGGACTCAGCAACATATATCAGACCGAAAACTCTTGATAGTAAATAAGATTATTGAAAACTATAAATTAAATATTTTCTATTCTTACTCTACTTTAAGATGTTTTATTTGGTGGCGATAATAATTTTGCATTGATGAAAGATTTCTTTGATTGTAATATTGGTGAGTAACTCAAATTTTTCAACAACATAACACTAGAAACTATGTTATTTTCTCCCGTGTCAATAGACACAATGAAAGAGCAGGAGTCAAATACTAAACAGATTGACTTATCACCATCGGTTGGCGTTAGACAAAATCAAATATCAGTAAAATCTTCACCTAAAATTCAAATTTGTTATCCTTTGGAGCAATACTATCGGCCACGTTACAAAAGTGATTATTTCACTCACGATGGGAAAATTCGAAGGCCCAGATACGTAGCTGATGGTGCTGGCAATCACTTTGTCGCACTTCAAGTATGATAAATTTCTTATTGACCATATCTTCGAATTTTCTCATGTCTTACAATATCTTAGGTACCACCAGGCATTCGTGGTATGATTCGAATCGATTGGCTTACAGTTCCAACAGAAAATGGTGATCAATATTTTATGCCTTATTGTTTTCAACAAAATAATGAATCACAAGAAGTACAAGATTGTAATCCATTGTACGAGACTGTTGAGGCCGATAAAAATGGCATCATGAAGTTAGTCATTGACGCTCGCTTCTTTTTCAATTCAATACAATGTTATTTTCCTATTCTAGATTATATCTAGTGTTAATTAAATCAAAACAAGATGAATTGAAATCTTTGCAGCCACTCAAACCATTTCGTCCATGGCAAGATATGTTTGGTATGCCGGATAAAAACAATTCGAAACAAACATATCCATTACATCCAAAACAGTTAATTCAAAAATATCAACTCGATAAATCTCAGTTAGCATTTACGTTTTGTGCACTAAGTTCAGATGGACAAACAAAGATTCCAGAATGGAATACAACAGTTTACTCAACAGTTCTTACTGGTAAAAAATTAGTATTTCTTGTTTATCATCAACATTCGATTAACAAACATAATTTCATTTTTTTTTATAGAAATATCAAACGAAAATCACAAGAAAAGAATAATATTATGTCCTTGTTGTGATCATTCATTTGATATATCACTTGTTGGTGATGATGATGATTGTGTTCAAGAGACAATAAACGATACAACAATAGCAAAACAGAATAAGAATGGAAAAGTTATAAGAACAACAAAAGTATGATTAAATAAACCTTTGTTATCGAAATCTTTTATTTATGTGAATTTTTTTCCATTTCAGAAGCAAAAACTCACTTGAAATCACATTACTTATGTTTATTGTATATTCAAATGAACTATTGCTTGCATGCAATTCACATGAACGTCGAAGTAACATGATATTATGGAACGTTGATTTTGGAATTTGTAGAAAAAGAATAAAATTGAGTTTATTTTCCACCATATTTGTCTAGACTAATAGGAATTTGTGCACTTCTTGTTAGTTTATTTAATTAATTTATTAATATTTCTCAATTGTACATAGCAGACTGATTGCGCTGCATGTTTAATATTGTAGTAAAATCAACGAAAAGTCCGCGCATCGTTTTTTTAATTTTTATGAAAATATATTTTTTTTTATAGACGAATATAATATGGCTTCATAAGTCAAAAACTATTTTTACCTATTCTATTGATATATTTGAAAGTTAAATTGAACTTACTACAATTGTAGAAAATTAGGATTGGGTATCTAGAATGGTAGATCTTGATGTATGAATATCTGCTTTGGTTATAAACTATTGAGTTGTCAGACGGAATAATTTTAATTAAGTACTAATTCTAGTAATAGAAATAATCCATGTTCTATTGTAAAAAAAATTAGTCATCTTGAACATTTGAAAAATTAACAAAAGGAAATAAATACTCATTTAAACTGGTTCGTTAACTATTATTTTAATTATTTTGAAAATTAAGAACTACTGTTTGAAAATCAATTTTATGGTATTTGGTTTCGATTTCTAATAATTTATTTTTTAACATTAATGAGTTATTGCTCTATTATTTATAGTATAATTATGAGTATAACCAGTGAAAATCTCAATATCGTGCATTCTTATCAGATTCTAGGAACTTCAAAAATTGCTGAAAGAAATATTCATGAATTTCAAACTCAGATCATATAGATGTTATCATTCTAATTAAAACAAAAATATTCATTGAATGTAAACTGATCGTTTCTATCAGTTGACTGCGACTGATAAAACCTTCAGTTTTGTTATGTAAAAACTTCATTAGTGATCGGGTGACATCTATAGGAAAACAAATAATATTACATATAAACTATATTATTTTCATGTTTATTTTACTTGATAATTCAACATAAGTTGATTTCCGAAAACAGTTCACACTTAAAGAGGTATACATTCAATATTTCATTGGATATTGAAAGCCTTCGTTAGTACAAAGATGGCCGTCGTTGCTACATTTTAGACATTTTCGTACTCATTCTCCTCTATTCGATTTTTCGTGAAATATCATATATAGTCGTTGAATAACAGATTTTGATTTGTTCTATCAAGAATATTGACAACTGAGTATTTTTCAATTGAACTATGTAATCTATCCTTTCAGATAATTGTATAATTTCAAACTTGATATATTCAAACAAAGCGATTGAAGACAAAAAAGTAAAAAAAAAGTTTTATTCTTTTTTAAGATTATAATTTTCAATCGTTTATAGAATGACAGTTGAAACAGAGACAATAAAAAATCCTAAAGAATCTCCATCAAAAGCAAAACGTAAACGTGCGTCACGTTCAAGTTCAAGTGGATCAAGTTCATCAGGTACAACTAGCTCATCGTCAGCTTCAAGTCGTTCGTCATCATCATCATCGTCGAATTCGTCATCATCGACAAGTCGTTCGTCGTCAGCTGCATCATCACCAGAAAAAAAGAAAGAACATAATTCAAATAAAAACAATACAAATAAATTATCAAAAAAAAATTCTTCAGAACATGGACCAATCGATGATAAAAAGAATGTTGTTGCAACAAATCAACCACGTCGTAATCCTAGTCCTTTATTACAACGACAAGAGAAAGAAAAAGAACCAACAAAAATTTATATAGGCAAATTATCATTAAATGTCAATAAAGAACATTTAGCTGAAATCTTTGGAACATTCGGTGAAATAAAGGAAATTGATTTACCATCTCATCGTATACATCCAAATCTACATCGTGGGTTTGCTCATGTTGAATATGTTGCAGCTGCTGGCGCTGAGCAAGCATGTAAATTTATGGAAGGTGGCCAAATTGACGGAAAAGAAATTGTTTGTGTACTTGTTCATGGTCAACCATCACATTTATCTACTGATAGAAATCGTCGAGAACCATCACCATATAATCGGAGACGTCGACGTTCACCGTTACCACCATCACGTAACTATGGACCACCGAGACGTATGGGAGATCGCGATCGCGATCGTGGACGATATAATGACCGACGAGGTCGATATTCACCACCGTCAAGAAATTATCGACGTGGACAATCGCCACCACCATCTAATCGACGTGTAGGTCCAAGTGGCAATACGGTTGAATCACCAAAACGAAAAGAACGTCGATATTCACGATCAAGTTCGAGTGAATCAAAATAAATAACATTTATCTTTCTATGTGTGTTAGTCTCCTCTTCTTTTTTTTTCTTGTGCTTGTTTATTGTTGTTGTTGTTGTTGTTGTTGTTTGTATGAAAAGTTCAGCAGCAGAAGAAAAAAATAAGAATAAAATTCTTTTGTTTGATTTCTTATTTGTTAATAGCAGACAACACATCTGTTTTAATATAACTGAAACAAAAAAAGAAATATTAGGCGTTATTTTGTTCTTCGTTTTCATTGATTGTTATTCATGATGAGAAAATTTTAATTGAATTAAATGAAAAAATTTATTATGTCATACTTATCTTGATAATGAGGTTTTTATTTATTAAGAAAATCAAATGATGTAGAGATTTTTCCATACAACTCAACGGGATTTCCATTAGTTTGAAAATATTATATTAATTACGCTAATTGAAATTTGTCATCAGATATTGTCATAACAATCTTAGTTTCATATAGGAAAATGTCTCAATATATATGCCTGATGTGGTCGAACTTCTTAATCACTAAGAAGTTCATATTGATCTTTCAATAAAAAATAAAAGCAAGTAACGACGAATCATATACATATACTTAGAGACACGAGATCCAGCAACTATGCCTGAGAAATTCAAGCATTTATTTCTTAGATTAAAGTGGTGATAGGGATTAATAGTGTTCATCTTTCATGTGTATTACAGAATAGAAAAGAATTGAATGAAAATTTCATGAAGTTGAAAATGACACAAGTAAGCGACGTCCAATGATCATAAAAAGAAAACTTCGAATGCTTTTCTTACGTTTCAAACTAAAGAAAATCATGCCATTCTAGAGATCGTTGTCTTTGAAAAACATACAGGTGAACATATCTTTAATTCTGACGTGTATACATTGATCATATCTCTGACGTTACTCGTGCACGTGATCGTAGACAACTTAGATTCTTTAGTGATTTACAATATTGGATAGAAAAAAGCTACTTGATTGATTGAAGGCGCCTGAATTTTATCAAGATTATTTTTTCCTATGAAAACTTTATTCATTCATAGAAAAACTAAAATTAATGTTAACGCTTTATAGCACTCCATAGTCATGGTTAATGGCAGATGTACCAGTTATACGAGATGATCCAAATATTCAAAATATTAATGAAATAGAAAAAGATGATGATCGTTTAGAAATTTTATCAAGCATAATTAATGATCGCTTTGAAATATTAAAACGACTTGGTTCAGGTTCTTTTGGCGAAGTTTTTCTCGCTAAAGATACAACCACAAATTTACTCTGTGCTATTAAAACAGAACGTAGTGATGCTAAACATCCGCAATTACGTATTGAACAGCAAATATTTTCGAGAATGAAAAATTGTAAAGTTTACTTTAAAATTTTTTCAAATCAATCACTTCCATAATATCAAACTATCACTAGGTAAAGGTTATCCATCGATGATAGCTCTTATTGAAGAAAAAGGTTTTATTGTTCTTGCTATGGATTTATTAGGTCCATCTCTTGAAGATTTACTTAATTTTTGTCAAAGAAAATTTAGTAAAAAAACAGTTCTGATGCTCATGGATCAAGCATTTATACATATTCAACATATGCATGAACGATATTTAATACATCGAGATGTAAATAAGACTGTATTATTCATATTAGCATCATATATGTGTATTTCTAGTTGAAACCTGATAATTTTCTTATGGGTACTGGAGAAAAAGCTAATATATTACATGTAATCGATTTTGGTCTTTGTAAACAATATCGAGATCCTATCACATATGTTCATATTTCACTGGTTCATGGTAAAAGTTTAACGGGCACCGCTCGTTATGCTAGTGAATATCGTTTATTTATTAAAATCATATAAAATAAATAGTCAACGCTTTTATTTAGGTTTATACACTCATCAAGGATATGAACAATCTCGTCGTGATGATCTTGAATCATTAATATATATTCTTATTTATTTGTCGAAAGGTGAATTACCTTGGATGGGAATAAAAGCAAGTGATAAAAGAAAAAAATATGAATTAATTGCTATGAAAAAATTGAACATAACATCAGAGGAACTATTTAGAAATTTACCAAAACAATATAAAACAATTTATGATTATATTCGTTCATTAACATTTAACGAAAAACCAGATTATGCATATATACGTTGTCAAATTCGATCTATTTTTCTTAAATACAATTATAAATATGATTATATTTATGATTGGTATCGTGTTGCTAGACGAATGAAAAATGTTTTAGATGAACAAGAATGATCAAAAATGCAAATGAGACATTAGTTATTTTCTAGTTCAATAATTATTCAAACGAGAAAGAGAAAAAAAGATCAATGGATTGAATGTATTTTTATTCAATATGATCTCGTCGAACCTATGACATATGACCTAATAAAAGAGCAGTGAAGTAAAAGAAATTGCTCTTGTCATTTTTTCTTATCGGTCAGACAATCATTTTTTTTCAATCATGCTACTCATAAAAGAATATCAACGATTTTATATTTTGCCCATTTTATGCAATATTCACTCATGATTATGAGTGTTCAAAAAGTAACCAAATAGCAAGAAGAACGAGAAGAAGCCATCATCTGCTGCTTCTGGGCGAAGGCTACTCTATAAGAAGAGTAACGGTAGTAGTATTGAGTTATATTTCATTCACATTTTATTCTCATCAACACATGCATCATATGAATCTTTAGCTTTTCATATCGATGCATACAAAAAAACGACCTTTTCCTTCTTTTTTGTCTGATATACACATTTAAATAAAGTCATCTTATCCATATATTCATTAGTCCTTTTGACATTTTCGTTTTTCATTTTTTTCTTCTTCTTCTTCTTCTATATAATCGTATGACACATTTGCGTGAATGCGTAAATAATTTCGTAAGTTTCATTGAAAAAATAGGTGTAAAAAAAATTATTTGGATTAATATTATTTTCGAAAAATATGAGTCTTGAAGTGCTTGCTGAACAACAACAATTACAACAAACAACACCTTTGTTCAATGCTGAACTGATCAATAAATATTCAAAATATGTTAAAACAATTGGAAAACGAGTTGTTGAAGGTTTGTCATACAATGTGAAGGATGAAATTTTGTATGGCTTTTTCTTTTTCTGAATTCAGTTGAATTTTGTTGGTATCAAGCCAATCCATATCAAAGTTTTCAATTACGCATGACTGAAAAGCAATATATTGAAGCACAAAAATATATTACATCAAAAAGTATGTTGGACAAGAAAAACCTTTTTTTATTATTATTATTTTATTTTAAGAGTTACTTAACATGAATTTTGAACAGTTTATTGATTTAATTGCTCCTGTATTTGCTAATAATGCAGCTGAAATAAGTGATTTTATGTTACGTACAACATTTGATCGTCTATTTGATCTAAATGCAAATGGTGCAATTGAACGAGATGAATTCGATTCACTTTTAATATTATTGAGAGCATTTAATAGAAATGGAAATAATCTACAGAAAAACTTTGTATCATATGAAAATCTTCGACAAAGATTTACTAATCTTGATGGTCATATTTCATTTAAAGGTAAAATAATTCATAATTAAAAGCAAATAAGTCAACCTTGTGTATCCTTTATATTTAGAATTCAGCGACTTTGTCAAACGTGGTTATGTCCGGGAATTATTAATGAATTAAATATGATCGAAAAACTTTGAAAAGAAAAGCATTCTAGAATGGTCTCTTTTTAATATATATAGAACTGTTTGTTGAACGATTTATAAAGAAATCTTTGTTTTGTTTTCGAAAAAAAGTTAGCATCATGAAAGAACAATAAAATTGATAATGTTGTAAACAATTCAATCATAAAAATATTATTCTATATATGAAATATGACTAAATTCGTTATTTTGATTAGTACTTTCGAGTCGGTAGATTAGCACAAGAATTTATTCATATAATTACTATGAATCCCTATGATTGAACAAATTTCTTTGATCTTATTTCATGTAAATAAGGTGAATTTCTTATTCTATATAAACAGCAAAGATGTCGTGCATTTTATATTGACATTAAATAATTTTATAATACTTTGTCGGACTCAAATTTTTCTTTCTGTAGATATTAAATGTGTTGTTGCGTCAGGTTTCTTTTTTCTAGGAAATCATCATATATTATTAACAGTAACAATTGTTCTAAACAAAAGAAAACATTTTATTCCTAAGATGCTTGTTCAAAGACAATTACTTTAATGGATTGTTATTCCATTAGTTCTAATACATGCTTACATTTTGCTGTACATTAAGACACAACAACAGCATGGATTGCATCAAACATATTCTTCGTTTAATATATCTCATTCAATTTACAGATTTACATTACTGCTTATCAGGTAGTTTTGTTTTATAGAAATACTAGATAATATCATATTAGCTTAAACAAAGAACAACGACACATAATCGATGATTTGGTACACTTAAATCCTTCTCGATATTTTCTACAAAAAAAAGTTCAACCTATTACATAATATGTTTTCATAGTAGAGTGAGAAATGATTCTCACGAAAACAAAAGAATATTTTATAATTCATGTTCAAGAGAGATAATGGTATCAAATAATAACCCAAAGCAACGTGCGATCTACGTTGGTGTTGTATAATTCAATTCGAGATGAGAACATTTTAACCAAGCTATATATTATTTATTTGTTCAATAATCCTCTTATGAACAAAGGTCTATTAGTAGAAATAGATCATTACGTACAAAGTAAAGAACGAAATATACTTTGATGGGAACTTCTTTCCTCTGTTGAAAAAAATTTCAAAAAAAATCGATTGACTTCAAAAGAAAATAATTGGTCCAACAGAACCTGTGAACCCTATTGATACTATGGCATTGTTGAATCAAGTTTGTTTGTTTAAACTAGAGCTGTGGAATAAGGAATGCTAATAAAATGTATGATAAATCTAATCCTCTTCAGAACTAGAGTCGTAGTTGGAAACGTTATTCTTGAAGAACATGATGCTTTTCAAATGTGATCTAATCTAGGGAAGCTTTGAACATTTTTACAGAGTTGAACTGACGTATGACAAATTGACATTAAAAATACATAAATAAGATTGTAATTCGTATTGAAAAGCTAATAATGTACAAAATGGTAAACTTGTGATAAATAAATCTGTAATCTAACTCATAAAAAATCATCATTAGGTTAGTACGATAGGTAAGAAGCATTTTCTGTTTAGTAAAGATATTGACAGAGAGCAATAATGCATGAATTACCAATATGAAGATTGAGAATTTATTGACATCTTGTGTTCCAATAGGAAATAATAATTGTGAATGAAAAGATAATTTGAATCCAATCAAGAACCATAAAAAACTGCACGAACAAATAGTAGGAAATATTTCATAATTGATTATATGTTCTCAATACCAAGAAGATTAAGTAATATCCTAATACAGATTTTTAAGAATGTCATTGTTAGGAACAACAAAAAGATAGAATAATATAACTTGAGCGAACGAATCTATGAGACTGATTTAGTCTACAGTACTTTGTTTTTATACAAGGGAGAACAAACTGATTTCCATGATTTCTTATGATTTCCAGCGATTTCTATGACTGGAAATCAGTTTTTATATGATCATTGCAAGCCAGCAGAAATCATTGAAAACGTTCAGAAATGTTGAAAAATTATGAGAAATCAATAGAAATCAACAGCGGTCACTGAAAACATCGCACATTCTGAAAACAAAAGGAAATTAGTAAAAATCATCAGTGATCAATAGAAATCAATATTTTCTGTCACTATATAGTTCGAGAATTTCTGTAATTTTTTCATTTGTCTCTTGTAATTTCTAACAACTGAGTCGTTATTCACATCTTTAATGTATGACGATTTCTAGTGATTTCCCCTGGTTTGTATGTCTGGAAATCAGTTTGTTCCCCGTTGTTATGTGAAACACGATCTGAAAGGAGTGTTGAAGTATATAGGGTAGAAATTTGGACCCCCCCCCAGATCGTTACAGAGAAACTAATTAATCAGTGAATTGGTTAATTAATTAATTATTAAATTTCTCTGTAACGCTCTGTGGTGGTTTCTAGAGACTTCATACATCATAATACAGACTGTAACAGAGAAGCTCCACAGACCATCAGCGACCGTGATAGCCGAATTCCAGAAAAGAAGTTTCATCGTGTTTCACATTTTAATCCCAGAGGAATTGCGCTAACAGCTTTTTATATATGCTTATAAAATGAATGAAAATACAACATGCAATAGAAGCTTAAAAAGATTCATTAACTTCGGATGTTAAACATATCTAGTTAATAAATCTTTTTTTTTGAAAACGGATTGTTCTTCGCTTTTTTGTACTCGGTGACAGATAATAAATAAAATTGCATAAAAATTGAGTGATAATTATTAATAGACAATCTTATAATAGCTAAGGATCTGTCAGAATAGTAATGATGATGATGATAATAATAATAATTCTGTTATATTATCGACATTTAAACAAATAGAGCAACACAAAATTCTTTTCATAGATCATTTATACGATCCAAACAAAAGAATACAATTTACTAGAGCATCTAACACAAATGTCAAGGAGCATGTTTAGCTAAAAACTTTCTTGTGTGACTGTTAAATTTCCGGGTTATTACACCTGTGCAACTTTAAAAAGTATTCACTACTGAAAAAATGTAGTGAAACATATTTATAAAAGGTCATGGATCATCCGATGAAAAGACAAAAAAGTTGAAGAATAATAAAAAGAAAACGATATTCTTGATTTTAACATGTTGCAGAAACAAAACTTAATTTTCCTTTCTTGTCATTTGCAGTACGTCGCTTATTTCTGATCACCACTGAAATAAGTAAGTAGAAAAAATTGCTTTCCATCTATTTTGCCTGTTATTAACAAAAGTGTGATTGATTGATTGATTGAATTGTAACAGGAAATTTAAAAAATAAAATAAAATCTATTAATAATAGACATAGAAGTTTCCACCTATACAATTCATTCGAATTTTACAAATACAATTAGTCGTGTTGATATGAATAATGTATAAGACAACAATACATTAAAACTTTTTGTGAGAAAAATTCTTGACCGAGACATCATATCAAAGAGATTCACGATCATAATAATAATCCAAAGAGTGAAAAAAAATATCATACGTGATAACTATAACCATCGAAAGAAAATAGATATGATGAGAGAGGACAATAACTTAGTTATTGAAACTTTAATATTGATAAAATTGAATTAGGAACGAACATTTGACAGATGTGCAAGTTTTTCTTTTTGTCTATTTCCGGAAAATATTATCAAGAATAGCATTTGGAATCAAGATCTATATTAAAGAAAAGAAAGATTCAGTCAAATATGGCTCCAATTTCTGTATTGTGTTTTGATTATATAATAGGAACTATATTTCAGAATCATCCAGATATGTTCACTCTTTCGTTTATGATGCTGATTAAGTTTAAAGACGTCATAGAAAGCTTAAAATAAGCCAGATATGAAGCGAAATCTTTTAATAAGCTTTGTGACTTATGGTGAATAGCGATGAACTCTTCATCATATTTTCTCTAGAACTTGTATTTACCATCACAAGTAGCGCAGTCGAATAAAATTTGTTTCAAGTAGTTTTTCGTCATACGAGTTTACAATTTTTTATATACGTCTCTATCAATAGATTCTCTCGTAGGCTCATCTACAACAAAATAACTGCAAACAGATTGGAACTGGCAACATCAAGAACTTAAATCGTAATAATATATGTCTGTGTATCAATCAAATTATTTAGTTTGATATGTCATATGATAACTGAATTGCAGATGTATTGAAGAAATTTCATATATTTTTTGTAGTTCTTTGTATTAACGTAAAAGACTGTTATAGATTTTTGAATAAAACAGAAATATACCAAAAAATCTTCGTCTCGAACTTGCAATTACCGTCGACTGCTTCCCAGTCAGACAAGCAACGAAAAAATGTGCGATTTTTATTCATTCGTTTTTACGCGTGATTTTTCGTCGCTTGTCTGACTGGGTTGTAGAGGCAAATGATTCGTTCTCTAATTGTTGCCTGATTATTTCATCAGAAAAGTCATAATAGTTTAATTTGCCGACTGAATTGTCACAGTAATTTATTCACAAATAAATGAGTGTCAGATAATATGAAACTATTAGGTTTTAGTCTCCTATTCAAACATATTAGATCGTGCATAACTAGAAACAGCTCACTAGCGACACCTATGACAATTATTGTTGTAAATTTTTGATTCTAACTTAAATGAATTTTGAACACAATTGTCTTATATGAAGTGCTTCTTTTTTAATCAGTAATTAAGTAAGTTATCTTTTAATTCGAACACCGGAAGAATCATTGACAATCATATATAGAGTATTCCCCTGAGTCTGCTAAAATGGCTGCTAGTATTCCATTCCATCACGTTGTTGTTTATTTTTTTTCTATCTCTTGTCAACAGCTACTGCAAATGTTTGTCTTCTCTTGATTAATCTTTGATTTTCCCCTCGAACTTATCATAGAAAATGGTTGTTTTCAATGGGAAAATGTTTTTGAAAATCATCGAGGCTGATAGTCTTCGTGCCACACAACATTCAACACGTTATTTTCCTCAAAATCCATCAGCAATCTTTGTCAGTCCTTATGTCTCAATTGATATCGATGATTTGCCATTAGGACGTACACATACCAAAGAAAAAACAACCACACCATCGTATAACGAAGAATTTTCGAGTGATGTTTTTAGCGGACAACAACTACATTTTACTATATTTCACGATGCTGCATTACCACCTGATGAATTTGTAGCTGATTGTACAATAAAATTTGAAAAAATTCATGATAAAAAAAGTGATTTATGGATTGATCTTGAACCTGCTGGCAGAATTCACATAGCCATAGAATTACAAGGGCAATTTAGTGATTGTAAGTTTGAGAAATTCCTTTTTTTTTTGAAAAGAACTAACTTCATTTGTTGGTTAAATTAGCTGTCAATAGTGAACGACATTTTAAACGAAATAAACAAGCTTTTGCTCAACGACGTTTTGCTGTTGTACGTCGTGTTTATGAAATCAATGGACATAAATTTATGGCAACTTTTTTTCGTCAACCAACATTTTGCTCAATATGCTCAGAATTTATTTGGTAAGAATTTCTTTCCCTTTCGACGTATTTAAAAATAAAGATTCAAAAATCAAAAATCAAAAATCAAAAAGGAAACTGAAAGAATAGAATTAATAAACTCATTTTTCCAGGGGTATCTTTCGTACACAAGGCTACCAATGTCAAGGTAAGGATGGATGTTGCTTCCCAATCACCATTGTTTACGAAGTTAAGAACTTGTGCTTGTATTGTGAATTTTGTTCTTTTCGTGTACACAGAGAATCTCCTTTGTGGCGCATGAGAAATCTGTATTCGTATTTTGTGTTTTTGTATTCATGAGAGATTTTCGTTATCGTATTTTCATTTTTCAATTTCAGTCTGTACATGTGTTATACATAAACGATGTAGGGCATCTGTAGTTACAACGTGTCCTGGCATTCGAACATGTTTTGAAGTATTGATAATATGATTTGAATTTTTTGTATTTAAAAAAATTCTGTAAACATATTTAGTATCGTGAAAAACGTTTCAGAATCAATGTGCCACATCGATTCGTGGCACATACTTATCGATTATTTACTTTTTGTGATCATTGTGGATCACTTTTATGGGGTGCATGGAATCAAGGAATGCAATGTAGAGGTAATTAAATTATGATTAGAGTATTTTATCGAGATTCTTGCTATTTTTTTCTTTTTTATGCCAAAAACCAAAAAACTTGAAATGTCTAGTTAGAAGTGTAATGGTATATTTCGAGACAGACAGTCCTCTGATTTAATATATAACAATACTATTTTTGATTGTATGAGAACATACAACTATTTGTTCTTCATTTTATTTGGTTATAATAATTATCATTTGTGCGATATAGTATAGATGATGACATCTTTTCTTTCAAAATATATCGATCTTTAATTTTTTCTAATATTTCACCGTAGACTAGTTTTCTATGAAATTATCATGTAATCCAATATTTATATTATTTGAGATTGGATCTTTTTCTCAGCATTTATAATTCTTCACTCGTAAAAGTTGAATATTCAGAGATATTTCCATATTACAGTGTTATGCAAAATAGAAGAAAAGCATTTTGTTTTCATAGGTCTAACGTAGTTTCTTATTTCGACTGTGTTCTTACGAGATAATTCTATATTTAGAATGCAAATTAAATGTACATAAACGGTGTACTCGCAATGTTGCCAATGATTGTGGTCTCGATAAAAAGAAACTTGCGTCAGTCTTAGCCGATCTTAATATAAATACGGAGCAGAAAAAAATGGTAAAATCAATTTTTATTTCATTATTTTCTATGTAATAATTTCTTTAAAAATCTTTAGATTAATTTACCAAGTGAAGTTGATAGTATGTATTATTTTACTGTGAAGTAAGATCAGAAAAGGAATTTTCCGTCCCGGTTATTTAGCATCATCTGCTTCTAATCAAACTACTTCAACATCAGTCAAACAGGCTAGTCCTCCTCCATCTACATCAGATGATAATTCAAGCAAACAAACAAATCGTATTGCGATGGAAGACTTCAATTTTTTGAAAATGTTAGGAAAAGGATCATTTGGAAAAGTAATATTCTGTTTTTTAAGTTATCATAAAAGTGACAACTAAATTTTGTTTGTTCTTCAGGTTTTGTTAGGTGAACATAAACTAACCGGTGAAATCTTTGCTATAAAAGTGCTCAATAAAGACGCAATTATTCAAAATGATGATGTTGAATGTACAATGACTGAACGACGAATTTTAGCTTTATCAGCTCGACATCCATTTCTCACTGGTCTTTTTTGTAGTTTTCAAAGCAAAGTTCGTTGTTTTAATTAAGTTTTTATTTTTGAAAATTCACAAAAATGTTTTTAGGAACGCCTATTTTTAATAATGGAGTATGTAAATGGCGGTGATTTAATGTTTCAAATTCAACGTTCACGAAAATTTGATGAAGCACGAGCTCGTTTTTATGCATCGGAAGTAACATTAGCATTAATGTTTCTACATCGACACGGCGTTATTTATCGGTGTGAACACATATTCGGTTTGATAAAATATTATTTTATTTTTCTTTCGTTCTAGTGATCTCAAACTTGACAACATTCTACTTGATTCTGAAGGGCATTGTAAAATTGCTGAGTAAGTATTCTAATTTTCGAATAAATACAAATATTTAATGATAAAATACAATAGGCTTTTATACCATTTTTTTTTGTTATCATCTTAAATTGATAAGAATTCTATTTCTTAGAAACGTAGTTATTGCATTGGAAATCGATCATAGTAAGAGTAGAACTAATTTACCACTTGAAAAAGATCATTAACGTTTTTGATTATAGAAAAACAAAAGGTCAGGGTTATATGCATTCAAGAATGATTTGTTATTTATTAATTACATCTGATGAATTAAGATTACTGTTAGTAGAAGCTTTTCTTGTGCAAACATCTGAAGTGTTTTCGATAATAACCCCCCGCCCCCCTATTATAGAAGACCCCCTGAAGAAAAAGTTTGTCCGACATAATAGAAGACCGCCGCTTTAATTAATTAATTTTCTGCTAATTACGAACTTTAATTAGCATTTTCCCATCAAAATATGCCTGATTCTTAGCATTTTAAGCTGGAAATATTAAGAGAATGTGTTCACAATTATAATGACACCCCTAAAACCCTAAAAAACCTGAAAATCACCTTAGTTTTCTGGAAAACCTTTTAAATTAAATATTAGGAAAAAATGCGGTTCTTAATACAAGACCCCTGGAAAATTTCTACGCTGGAACATAATAGAAGACCCGGGGTATTTTATTGTGGGCGGGGGGGGGGAGGGGTTAGTGGATTCTCTATCAGATTTTAAACAATCATAAGATTTAAATTACTTTGATGTATACAATCAGATGTAGAAAATTTCTTTAGATCCAGACTTATATCATTTCTTTTCTCATGAATGCTCACTTCGAATCAGTAATTGTTAAATGTAATGTTAAGATCTTTTCTCTAATTATGATATCGACAACAAGAGAAAGCCGAGCTTATTTCAATTTTGAGAACATTACGTTGTTGAGGATGCAGACCAATAAATTAGCAGCGTCCAGTTATTCTCTCCAGTACCGAAATACTATACGAGAATCGAGAGTAGGACAGAAACCAAAAACAACACATTTATATATATATGCCTATTGTTGATATAGCGCATCAATGGAATCTATTGAAAATATGGTGTAGATCTATTAAATATGCTGAAAGATTATTTTTAATTTTAGTTTTGGTATGTGCAAAGAAGGTATCTTTGACGGTAAATTGACATCAACATTTTGTGGTACACCTGGTATGAGCATATTATTTTTATTCCCGCTCTCTATGTATGATTCTTTTCTTAGATTATATTGCACCTGAAATACTTCAAGAACTAGATTATTCATTTTCTGTTGATTGGTGGGCATTAGGAGTATTGATGTATGAAATGATGGCAGGTCAACCGCCATTTGAAGCCGACGATGAAGATAGTTTATTTGAATCTATTCTACGTGATGAAGTTCTTTATCCTGTGTGGCTATCGAAAGAAGCAGTTCATATTCTTAAATGTGTAAGTTAAAAACTTTATAGATATTGAATTCGATTAATCATGTTGTTTTCTTTTTGTATTTGTTAGTTTATGACAAAAAATCCAGCTAAACGTCTTGGTTGTGTAGCAGCTCAAGGTGGTGAAGATGCAATTAAACGTCATGCATTTTTTGCTGGAAAAATCGATTGGGAAGCATTAGAACAGCGTCAAGTTAAGCCACCATTTAAACCAAAAATGGTATGTTATTAAAATCTTTTCTTTTTCTTTCTGTATTCCAGAGTAATCTATTGATAGGTTAATCCTCGAGATACAAGTAATTTCGATAAAGATTTTACCAATATGCCTGTTGTATTTACACCAATTGAAGATATTATTGTCACAGCGATAAATCAAAAAGAATTTAAAGAGTTTTCATATCAAAATCCGGATTGGCGTTGTTTAGAACGTGGTGAAGTACCAAAAGATGATGCTAACGATGGTCGACGTGCACTTCGTGATGATCTAGCTATTAATTTAAGACAACCACTACCAATGACACCTATAGCATCACATCAATCGACAACAAATGATAATGTTTCATCAACAATAACAGTTGTTAAAACAGATCATATGCCAATCCCGCATACAGAATCAAAACGAAGTCCTTCTCCCACACCACTTCAATTAAATTCCATATCAGCAGCAGCAACTACAACAACAACGACAACAACTATGAATTCTTCATCGTCGATGAACGCTCAACCAAAACCAATGTTAAATAATAATATTAATAATAAATCAGTAACTATTAATCGTTCAACAACAGATCAAACCGATATGTAAACATTATGAATCGCATAATTTTCTTTTGTGTTTTTGTCATTCATTTTCACTCTGTGTCACTATGAAATTCTAGTCATTTTACTGTTGTTTTTGTCTTGGTGCGTATATCTTTTCTTTTCTTTTTTGTCGAGTTAATTTTATTCTATCACCTATGTTCTTCTAGTCATTGCTACTGTTGCCTATTTTGGTTTTGTTCTTCTTCTACTTTGTGCAATTTTTTCTCTCTTGTTTGGCATAATTTTCACTAGACGTATTAGATCATACACGCACAAGTTTATTTTTTTCTCTTGCTGTCGTGTGTATATACCCGTAATAATGTATACTAAATATATGCGAATGTGTACATTTGGTGGTTGTCTATTTATTTATTTACTGTCGTCTATCTTTTATATTTTATAATTCTTCTTTGAATCATTACATAATTGAATAAATATATCTATCAGCAAAAAATAGGATTTTTTTTCTAAGAAAACAATTCTACATTAGATGAAGAAAGAAATAATCGAGTTTTTATGATATTAAATCCTTGTGAAAAGTATTATCTTTAATAGTATGATGAGATTTGAAAATGGTATTTTTTGGTTAATACTCTTTAATCTTGAACATGTCCTTCTTCTTCGTCGTTACGGATCTGTAAGATAGGCTTTATTCATACTGTCATTGAGATGAATTATTGAACATTGAGTCTAATCTACAGGCTAGAGTAATCCTGTATATTTCTAGTTAGAAGCACTTTAGTAATGAAGTATTAAATGAGAATATACAGCGACAAAGACTTAGGCACTTCAAAAGCTATCATCAATGAATAATATTTGAAGTTAAGAGGCAAGCATTATGCATAGAATTTTCCAAGACATGGTTGACTGTTTGGATATAATAGATAAGATCCTCCATAATTAAATTCTTTTCTTTAGTATGAATAAACATTCATTTGCTTTACTTTTATGTTAAATTATTATATTATAGTCTAATTATTCACTGCAGATTGCACATTTTCTTCCAATTCTTTTATAAATATATTCACCTGTGATCTCTATTAAATCGAACATTCACTTCCTTCTTTAATAGACCATCGATTTATTTATTCAATTAAATATTTACAAAAAGCACGAACGGATTTTTTTCTTATTGTATTTAATTAAACTAAATTCTGTGTACCAATGGTCAGTTCATTAGTTTGATCAAACGATTCTGATCTAGAATTCTAAAATTGACTTGTTTATCTCATTTTTTTTTGGACGAACATCGACTTTTATTCTATTACAACCAACATTTAGATTTATTATTTTCTTCGACGATGAAAACGTTTTCACTGTAAATGAACATTTATGTTATAAAGCAATTATTCATATTGAATAATCAAATGTTTGCATTACGCACTGAACAATTCATTTGTGTTTGGTTATGATCTTTATTGTACCAAGAATAAAAACTTGCAAAACAAACAAACTATCGCTTTCTTCCCATTCGAATATATTTCGACAAAAAAAAAATGTCACTTGTACGTGTAACAATAAGAACTAAGAGAAAAAAAACCAATCAAAGTAAAGAACAAAACATGCACTCTGGTGTGAAATCATTTTTTTTATGAACACTTCGATAGTGGAATGAAAATAACAAAAAAGCCGAAATAAGTACAGACAAATCTGACCTGGACCTTTGCCTATGATTACGCTACAACTTTTACAAACTATCATCATCGTGTCCATGTGGTGGTGGTGGTGGAGCATCACCAGCGCCGCCAGCTCCTCCAGCACCAGCTTGACCGTATAATTTTGTCATGATAGGTGTAACAATTTCTTCTAATTCCTTTTTATGTTCTTTTAATTCATCAACCTCAGCAGCTGGATTTGATTCTAACCATTTGATTTGTTCTTCAACAGCCTTTTCAATTTTTTCCTTATCATCACTTGATAATTTTCCACCCAGTTTTTCCTTATCATTCAATTGTGTTTTTAATGAATAAGCATAACTGTTATAAGAAAAAATAAATAAATACATGAATTAATCACTTAAGATTCTCATGAAAATGTTTTTTTTTAACTTACGATTCCAGTTCATTTTTGGCATCGACACGTTCTTTTACTTTTTTGTCTTCATCAGCGAATTTTTCTGAATCTTTAATCATACGATCAATATCTTCAGGTGATAAACGATTTGTATTTGAATTGATAACAATATTATTCTTATTTCCAGTTCCTTTATCTTCAGCTGTGACCTAAATAAAAAAATATGTTTTATTGCAATTGTCAGAACCCATTATACAAGACAATTTACTTTTAAGATGCCATTAACATCAATTTCAAATGTAACCTCGATTTGTGGTACACCACGTGGTGCAGGTGGAATTCCAGTTAAATCGAATTTTCCTAATACATGGTTATCTTTGGTCATTGGTCGTTCACCTTCAAATACTTGAATGGTAACTGTCGGTTGATTATCAGCAGCAGTTGAGAAAACTTGACTTTTCTTTGTTGGAATAACTGTATTACGTGGAATAATCTTCGTCATTACTCCACCAACAGTTTCAATTCCCATGGTCAGCGGATTGACATCTAATAAGACGATATCACCAGTACTTTCTTCACCAGATAAAACACCAGCTTGAACAGCAGCACCATAAGCTGAAGAAAAAATATGTAATTAAATCGTTGGTGAAAACAAAATTCAATAGTTTAACTTACCAACGGCTTCATCTGGATTAATACCACGTGATGGTTCTTTGCCATCGAAGAATTCTTTGACTAATTGTTGAACTTTAGGAATACGTGTTGAACCACCAACAAGAACAACTTCGGCAATATCAGTTTTTTTCAAATCGGCATCTTCTAAAACTTTTTGTACAGGTTTCATTGTTGAACGGAATAAATCCATATTTAATTCTTCAAATTTAGCACGTGTTAATGTTTCACTGAAGTCTTCATTGTCAAAGAATGATTCAATTTCAATCTTTGTTTGATGTTGAGATGATAGTGTTCGTTTAGCTTTTTCAACTTCACGACGGAGTTTTTGAACGGCACGATTATCTTTTCGAACATCTTTACCAGTTTTCTTTTTAAATAATTTAATAAAATGTTCCATGACACGTTGATCAAAATCTTCACCACCTAAATGGGTATCACCGTTGGTTGAAACGACTTCAAATACACCATTGTCGATTGTTAATAATGATACATCGAATGTACCACCACCCAAATCAAAGACAAGAATATTTTTTTCTCCTTCTTTTTTATCTAAACCATACGCAATGGCTGCAGCAGTTGGCTCATTGATAATACGTAGTACATTTAAACCAGAGATTGTTCCAGCATCTTTAGTTGCTTGACGTTGAGCATCATTGAAGTAAGCAGGAACAGTGACGACAGCATGAGTAACTTTTTTGCCGAGATAAGCTTCCTATCAATGACAAACGAAAATAGTTCAATAGGAACAGGCAGAAAGTCGACTTACAGCAATTTCACGCATTTTTCCGAGTACCATAGCAGATATTTCTTCTGGAGTGAAAAGTTTCTTTTCTTTACCAGTGCTGATTTCAATAATTGGTTTTGAATTCTTTTCACTAACTTTAAAAGGAAAATGTTTGATATCCTGTTGAACAGTTGGATCACTAAATTCTCGGCCAATAAGTCGTTTAGCATCAAATACAGTATCTACAAACAATAGATAGAATACATTATTTCTGACAATAAAACTTTAAAACTTACTTTCTGGATTTGATGTCAATTGATTTTTAGCCGCATCGCCGATCAATCGTTCACCTTCGGCAGTAAATGCAACATACGATGGTGTAATACGATTACCTTGATCATTGGCAATGATTTCTACACGTCCATTTTTGAATATACCAACACATGAATATGTGGTACCAAGATCGATACCGATCACAGTGCCCATATCTAATGAAGCAACATCTGATAGATTGAATTACCTCGATGAATTTTAGACTCACCTTTCTTGGCATCGTCAGCAGCCAAGGATAAAGTAAGAGCAGTAGCAGCAATAAGTAAGAGAGAGATGATTATCTTCATGTTTGCAGAAAGTCGGTTCTACTATCGAATGAAGCTAATCGAGAAACTCAGCCGTATTTATTTGTCTTATTGATCGTTGAACTGGTCTACACGTATTATTTCACTTGGATGATAGATGAATATGTTGTCTACATATGATTGGTCCAGCTAAACATTATTTGTGATGTCGATGTAATTTGTAACCTATCATATGCTTACGCCTGGTAAAATATAAAAAATAGTTTTTTTTAATTCATATATAGAAAAATATCGTATTTTATCATGTAAAAATCTATTGAAACAATATAAAACGATAAAATAGAGTGACATCTATAATGTAATCACTCCAACATGTTCCAGAAAGAGGAGAAATATTAGTGCAGTAAAATGAAATTAATTAAATACTTAAAAAATATTCATTACTAATTAAAACTTTTGAAGGACTCTCAGAACTTCTATTTGCCATTTGCATCAAGGGATGACTGAAACTTGATATATTGTGAAGGATATGTAAATAACACAGAGGTAACATTGATATTTTAACTAAAGTTTGACTATTGCAATTCATAAGTGTCGATTATATGAGATGCTTTGAAATGACTTCAAAAAATAGAACAAATCTTGAGAGTTCGATGATGTATATTATGTGGAGATAATTAAAACATAAGTATCATGAAAAGTACTATTACAAACAAATGTATATTTGAATATAAATGTAAATTACTTAATCGACACTAACAGATACTTTCGATCATCTAAATGGATCATACGACAAGTCTAAAATATGTATCAAGTGATTCTCTAGATATCAAACATCTAAACAGTTTGCTGTTTCATTTGAATTGAAAGAATTAACTAATTCTTGGATATGAAGAAATGAAAGCTGTTGAACAAGAAATTTCAAACAATCAGAATTCTAACTTTATCACGAAAACAAGTATCTATATCAAAAACTATTTATCTGAACTTAAACGTATAGTCGAAATTCTCATGTCAATCGATTCATGTCTATTTTAACGAAATTAATGTAACAGCAGAAAAATAGACCGAAAAAAAGTTGTCAACGTGATATTTAGCGATGAGCTTTCAGACATGAGAAAAGTTAAACGTTGATTTCGATTTTGTTGTAATTTGTGCTTGAACAAGCAAAAAAAATATTCGCTTACAATTGATGAACGATTTAATAGACATAAAAGGTTTCTTACACTTCCTAGTGTATATTCAGCACGAAGATAGAACGAAATGAGCAACTATAATAATGCTGATTTCAATGCAACAGACTCGAAGAAGCTATTTAACAATCCAAAATGAAAATGAATAGTGATTTGCTGTTGAATTTGCTTTAGTAGAGTATACTAAACTCATCATAATCTTAATTTATTGTTCATTAAAAGTCTTTAGGGATATGCATCAAGAACGGACAACATTTCTTTGTGTTTTTGGTAATCATCGAGATTAACGTTATGTACATTTTATTTTAAAGTATATAAATGCGCAAGAAATCAATGCTATTGCTTTTATATTTTCTGTGTTGAAAGATATTTCTTTATTTTTTTTTCCATGGGACCAATGAATTATCAAGATGAATACTCATACGAGATTAATCACTAGCAATCAGTGTTCTCTCTCTCTCTCTCTTTCTATAATTGAGGATTCATTGTTTGAAACGTCTACATTAGCATGGTATGCACCAGTTTGTGCATGTTTACTATCCGAATAATATAATAGTGTTTCAAGTCATATTGCTTCTTCAGTTGTCAATATTTATACACTTAATTACAATGAAACCTAATGGAATTAGCGATCTTTAGAAGTATATTCAATCAATATAGAAAAATAAGATCTTTGGAAAAGCTCTAAATCTTTTCCATACACCTGCATTTATTGAAGCCCACAAGAATTCAGATTTCTTCAATCTAATATTTTCTTCTCATATCCGATACATTTTAATAAATTTATTTTACCAATTATCAGAATCTGTTCAAAACTTTTATAATCTAAGCATCAATAAAGATCGACTTTTGCCTTTAGGTTAGAGGGTTATCGATAACATTCATTTTAACTTCATAGTGTTATCTAGTCATTATTTTTGTCATATCGCATTGTGAATAGATTCGTTCACATGCGTTCTCGTTGTTTTAATCTATAATAAATCCATTAATCAAAAAAGATGCTTATCCAAACTTTTGTATCCATCTCAATGATAATGATCGAGAGAACAAGTAAGAAAAAGATAAAAAAAAACCAAGACGAGCAATCAAGTGTATCGGTCATAGGAAAAGAAGAGCAGAGTTCAATATTGAAAGAATACTGAGCAGTATGGTGACAAATTCGGTACAGAATAGAGTTAATATCGAGATTGGAGTGAACAAACAGATACTGTGTTCATTGTAATTACATAGTATCTAGAAGAGATCTATTCTATTCTATCCTGTTTTGTTGTTCTCTATTCTTTATTTTATTTTAATCAGCTTGTTCATATCATTTGCAAAAATATTCTAACAAGTAATTTTTATTTGCTTCAGAACAAGAAATCCATTAAATTGATCGCCGAAAATTGTAATTAAAGCTGTAACAGCAGGTAAGACAGACAGTTCATAATCTTGATTTTGATAAAGAATCAGATATTAGTTCTTGCAAAGTTACTGGAGGAACCTTTTTAGCATTGTGTAAAATTAAAAATAAATATGATTACATATTATGTTTCGATCGTTTTACAATATCATTATGGATCGCTTCCGAAATATAAGCATTAGTAACGTAGTATTCAAATAGTTTTTTTTTCGAAATGCTGTTATACAAACATTGTTACGAACGAAACTTGAGAATTAATAGAAAATATTGTGCCACTCATACAGTTTTTCATCATTAAACTTCCTTAACACATCAGTTATGTGACTGTTTTGTCTTTTCTGCATTGCTGTCGGCGCTTTGAGTCTCACAGTGGACGATTGAAAATTGATTTAATTTCCAACTAGTAGCTATACAATTATGCAGTAAATTGGTTCGAGAGTAAGTAATTTCACACAAGAGAACACGAGGCTCTATATTTATCTATTCTTTCAATGTAGAAAAAGTGAACTCAATTGAATGTGAGAATAGTATTGAAATTAAAAGTTTTCTACACTATCATAGCTTTGTTTTCTTATGTCGATTGCATACTCTTTTTGTGTACTCAAAAAAAAAAGAGTACACTATAGAATCGGTCAGTGTGTCCGGCCGTCCGTCCGTCCGTCCGTTTATTCGATAACACTAAACCATTACAATCGATTGAGCTGNTCAATATCTAGGTCGAGTTCGAAGATGAGAAGGATCCGTCAAGAAATGGCTGAGTTGTCGAAAAAATTGTCATTTTTGATCAGACCATCCCTGAGGGGGAGTACAGGGATTTTTCAAAAAAAAAATTTTCTCAGAATTATTCACAACATATATAAATCGACTCAGTTTTTAACGCTGATTCTAAATCTGATATTAGTTTTGAACTAAGTCATAGCTTTCTAACGAAACATCGCCTGAAAAACGTCTCAAAATTCACAAAAACTCCATCCAGAAATCAAATTGTCTAGCTTCTCATGATAATTTTCGTGTTCAGGCATTCTAGAATGACTGATATGTCGCATGCACTTTTTGCAGTACACATAACTCTCGGATGAAATCCGAAGTTTCCACATTTATTTTATAATGTACCGAGAAACCTGAAAAGGCTTTATCGATTGTTTTACAAGAAATGATCATGCCATCGCTGCTCACTGTCGAATACTGTAAATAGTACAGATGTCTTTGATATTTGCCTCGTTATTGGCCAATAATTCAGAGCGATAATATAATATGGCATGAAAATGTCACAACAGAAGAAAGAGTAAAACCCTACGTAAAATAGCAAAAACACATATACATCATATTCGAGTATATCAACAGGTACGTCAAAGAAATACAAAGGCGACAATCATAGAACGACTCGTTCTTTTGCTTTGTTTCGACGGTGCCATGCATTGTAACCTTATGTTGTGTTCGAAGATGTTTCAGTTCATGACTAGTAGTATTGCATGGTAACTAGCATGTAGTCGACGTATTATTATTTTATTGTTGTTAAGAACGAAGAATCGCTTCGTTTACTTACGCAGAAAAGGGGAGACAGATTGCATGATAGACTTTACAACCTTGTCGAACAATATAGTATGTATTAGACCTTGTTGAATACTTGTATTTTAAATTAAATGAGGTCAATCATTCGGAACTGTGTTCTATTTTCAATACTGTCTACAATAGATTGGATAGAATGCAAATATTGTATTGTGAATACAATGACGTTTTACCTGATCGCGTGTATGATTAAAAGGATAGACATCATTGCTCTAACTCGGATTGCAACCGACAGGTATAATTATCCTGTGGTATTTTAGGTCGAGAGAAAATAAAATGTTTTTCATACTCTATTTTAACCTTCGAGAAGAACTATAATGATTGCAGAACTATGTGACACGGTCAGAATAATCTGTAGCTAATTCTAAGTCAATAAAAAGTACGCAACGAATGTATATATATATATTTGATATAGAATAATGTGATGTATCAAATCATGTTTTCTCTTTTTTTTTAAATTTTAGCATTATAAATAAAAATGGCTATAGAAAATACAAAATCTTCTGTTGAATCTCGAAATCACCCGCGTTTAGTACCATCAAAACGTTTTACATTGGCATTACTTGTATTTTTTGCATTTATTGTTCAATATTCTCAACGAGTAAACCTACCCATAGCTATTGTATGTATGACTGAAACTCCGGCATGTGGACATAATCACTCTTCAACTCCTTTAAAAACAGGATTAAAAAATGAAACGTTGAACTTTATTTTAAACTCATCGATGACAGGAAAGCAAAGTTGCACTTCTGAAAAGAAAGGAGGATTGTTCGATGAAAAAAGATTTCATTGGACCGAATTAAACCAGCAACTTCTTCTAGGTGCATATTGGGCTGGTTATATTTTCACACAAGTACCAGGTAGATTAAGAACTTTTTTCTCTGCACAATTATTAATATGTTGAAATTATCGATAAGGTGGCTGGCTAGCAACCAGTGTAGGTGCAAAATGGGTTTATGCAGGCTCTCTTGGAACCAGTTCATTAGCTACTCTAGCTATGACAATAATGCATAAAATGTCAAGTACACATGTTACCATTGCATTTATGCTTCGATTTATAACGGGCCTTGCACATGGTGTACTTTTCCCAGCAACCATCGCTCTTTGGTCACTGTGGGCTGTTCCACACGAACGAAGTACGCTTGCATCGATCGGATTTTGTGGTACACATCTTGGAACATCCATAACAATGCTTTTTGGGGGCTTGTCCTGTCGTTATCTATCTGCAGGATGGATGTATGTATTTATTGCCTCGAGTATTCTTGGTTTTATATGGCTTGCATTATGGATTCGATTAACAGCAGATTCACCAAATAGTCATCAGTCAATTAGCGACCATGAACGTGATTATATAGGTAGTTTTACAGGTCATACCGGAACGAAACGTACCATGTCATTAGCATCAATACCATGGAAAAATATTATAAATTCAAAACCATTAAATGCTTTAATGATAACACATATAGCAAATTTGTTCGGTTTATTTTTCTTTTTAACAAGCCTTGGTAAACTTTTAACGCAACTTTTACACATTAAAGCAGAAAATACTGGTTATATTTTATCGTTTGGATTTTTTCTAACGTTATTAAGTAGTTTATTGTCAGGTAATAGAAATACGAATGAAAAGTTTTCATATTAAAAAAAATCGTTGTTTTAGGTATTGCCTGTGATCGTTTCGTTCGATCGAAAAAAGTAACATTAACTAATGCAAGAAAAATATCTAATGGTTTAACATCATTCATACCCGTTATCTGTATGATGCTGCTTTACTTTTGTGATGAACGTCGATATGAATTAGGTGTTTTTACTATTCTCATTTTTCTTGCTAGTTCTGGTAAGATTTCATATACGTATATATTCTATTTCATTTAAGTACATATTTTGTGGTTCTTCAGGTCTCGGTTATGGTAGTGGTTATGTAGTAAATTTCGCTGATATTGTTCCAGCTTATTCCGGTGTTATATTTGGTATTGCTAATACATTAGCATCACTAGCTGGATTAATTGGAAATTTAGTGGCCGGAGCAGTTATTAAGAAGCCAGTTTTAGAACAATGGCGAAAATTATATGTCATGTTTGGTATTGTTTATTTAATTGGTGGTGTTGTCTATATTGTATATGGTTCGGCTGTACCAAGAAAATGGGCTAAATTTCAGGCTGTGAACAATGATGCTAAACTTGAAGAGAATACAAAAGTTGAAGAGGCGCCACCGACGACCGAAAAAACTTAAGCAAACAAAAATCATGAAAAAATCATTTCCTTTTCTTTTTTCCTTTTTTTAGAACAACGTTTTCTGTTCAGTGTGATAGAATAGATTATTTCTCAGAAAATTAGGAGAACAATCGTATACATGATCTAATTTATGTTTTGTTTTTCTGATAGTAGTTATGTCTTTGATATATAAATTAAGTAAAGTAAACGCATTCAAAATTTCTCTGAATTGAAGATTTTTCGTGAAGATCAGTAGTCTTACATCGCATCGCATTTCGTATACGAGTGCAACTCGGAAACCATCTAGTTTCATTTGAATTGTCTAGTCGATCAAGGAGAAAAACAATTCGGAGTACTGCTAATTGAAGCCATGTTGTTTAGACAAGTTTTATAATAAAAAACACGAATTTTGATATTATCTAATATCATGAGTATGAAAGAGAAATTTCGTTAACGAGCTTTATTGTTTCCAAACAAAAACTATAACTGCATTTGATTAAGATTTATTGGCAACGATTTTAATCCATAAAGTTAAACTATTGCTGATATCGACTCGAAAAAGAATCATTCAGTTACTAACAATTTCTTTTATTCAAATAAGAAAGTTTTAACTACAGTTGAATTCTATCTTTTTAACTCGGTCGCATTTTTCAATTTTAAATTAACCCTATAACGTCTTCATAACAAGTACCATTAAATATTTACATTTCTCTTTCCAGAACAAATCAATGCATCGATGTCAAGTAAATTTCATATTCTGAAAACAATCATACATCCTTGAGCATGCATTTTTTTGTCTAGGATTTACATATCATTATGGGTCTTTTAGTACTGTTTCGGTTTATTAAATTAAAGTTAGTCTCCACAGTAAAAGAAAAAGAAAACTTAAATTTTATTATAAGACTCACTGGGAATTAAAATATCACTAAAACCTGATATTGTTTTAATATTTTCTAATGATGGTCTTCTTGTCCAAAGAAATTGTAAAACTTCAAAGTCTTGTACGTGTCGTTTTTTATTATAAAAACAGTAACACAACTTTCGATAAAACCATATTTGATAGAATTCTTTCACATAAAAATCATTTGGCATCACATAAATCATATATGTAAATAATTGTGGAGTATAAAGAAGAAAGATAAATCCAATATGTAAACGAATTAAATATCCGGACGAATATGTCAAATGAAAATTGAACAAATAAAGATATAAACCATTTAAAGTCATACAGACCAAAATAAATACCGATGGAGTAAAATAACGTTGATAAAGAATTATTTTCCTCAACGAATGTCTTTTTATCAATATTAAAAGAATACAAATTAAACATGTGAAATGAATGCAACATGGAATAAATATATAAATATAATATAATATATTCGACCAATATTTATATGAAAAATCTTTGTATGAACAAGAATAATAGCCAACTTCATCAATTGATAAAGTTCGTCCGAATATTTTATCAAGGTTTGATATTGAAATAAGAAGTAAAAATAATAATGTATTTTGTACAGGTTGTTTACGTGAACGAAATGGATCAAAATCAAAATATAAATGACACACATGTTCAATCACAATGATACTACTTATCAGCATACCTATATAAATTGTTATAGTCAATAGATATGGATAACCATAACAAGCCCATAAACGAAATATATATTTATCATAATAAATAGCAATTATAACATTGGTTATTATTAATATCATTAATATTAAACTAAATATTGAATAGAAAATTAAATAAACGCCACATATTGTATATCGAATACGTTCTCGAATAAATGTCATAATTGAAAAAATATTATTGATTAAACCAATTAAAGATAAACATATAAAAGTAAAACAATAAACATAACGTAATGATGGAAGATCATAGAGAATTGCTCCGATCATTGGAAGAGTTAGCGAACCATCATGAATAATATTAGAATGTTGACTGATATAATATGTCTTCGGGCAAATACAAACACCAAACAAACATCGACTTACGTTCAGATAGGAGCTCATATGTGAACGTTGTGAAAACGGAAATAATCGAAGCCTGTTAGCGGCGTCTTCTATATTCAAATGAAATGAATGTTTTTCTTTCCTAATAAACAATATTTGCATTCATTTGACTTGCAAAAAAAAATGAAACCAATTATTTTTACTTTATTTAATGAAAATTTAATGAATCGTATAATTTATTTTCTTCATAAAAACAAGTATGCAAGAACATTATAAATATTACTAGTGTATGTTTTTGTCTTGCTTTTTCTCGATTACTTTTCGTAGAAATTTTATCAATATGAAAATCTCATATTTTCGATAGTTCTTTTGTCTCAAGGATACTACAAGATTAAATAGCTAGTTAATATTTTTGAATTTTATTTACAAAAATATTTTCGCAAAATATAACAGAACATTATAGAATTTACAAAAGTTTCATGTTTCGATGAAGCGAATGTTTTTTAAAAATTTTTTAGCATTTCAAAATTAGATTATCTAGTCGAAGTCCTTGTTTTACATAGAATTGCTAATTTCTTAGTATAAAGATGTTTTTCCTGCAGGAGGTTTATTTGCGATAGATTGCTGTATAAATTTCAGCAGTTTTCCAGAAAACGTTTTTTGGTTTTTTATGACGATCGTTGACAACAAAGAATAATTGCGAATGAAATACTGATATTTGCGATGAAAATTCTCGAAATATCACCATGAAAAAATACTCATATAAAACATAAACTATAAATGAGCCAATCTGCACACTCTTATGTTTATCATGACAAACTAGAAGTAACAATAGCTACTTTATAGAATTTGTAAGTAATTATATTTGGTCATACGACATCATCATCATATAGTCGAATCAAAATATATTCTCAAATTTATTTTAGTAAGTTTTCGAAATTAATATAATTTTGCGTAGAAGATTCAAAAAATATGTTCACTCAATATTTTTCTAAGTAGATCTTGAAGCGGTGACACCAATTTTTTCAATACATGCTTTAATATTTTTTTAATTTTAATAACGAGTTCTATAATTCGTGAACATGTCAAAATTATTTGAGATAAGCTTGACATGTGTCATAGTGAATTTTCAGCTTATAAAATCTGTGCCTAGAGCTTAGAGAGAGAGCAATCGGAAGCTAATGGAACGAGAAAAAGCAACGTTTATCATTTTTTTTCTTATTCCAATTCAGTATGCGCTATGCACAAGAATAATTATTCAAAAATTGGACAAAATAGTATCTTTGTAATGGTTACATCATTGATGTTTCAAGTTCGTCTTTCTGGATAAATGCCTAGTCAGCCAAGAATATCTATAAAAGTCAATGATTTTGATAAATAAATGTGGAAACTTCGGATTTCATCCGAAAGTTATGTGTACTGCAAAAAGTGCATGGGACATATGAGTCATTCTAGAATGTCTGAACACCAAAATTATCATGAGAAACTAGGCAATTNATTTGTTTTTTGAAAACAAATCCCTGTACTCCTCCTCAGGGATGGTCTGGTCAAAAATGACAATTTTTTCGATAACTCAACCATTTCTTGACGGATCCTTCTCATCTTCGAACTCGACCGAGATATTCATGAGATTGAACTGTGTGGAAAATTTCATCCCGATCTGACTCTCCTTTCCAAAGTTATCGTGCCTACGGCCGGACACACTGACCGATTCTAGTATACTCACTTTTTGAGTACACAAAAAGCAGTTCTTTGTTGGTGTTTTTTTTGTGGCTCTGTTCAAATATTCTCTTTATAAAATACTGGAAATTACTTCAACTTATTTAGCGATAGAAAAATGACTTTCATGATGTAGTTCCGATCTCAAAATTTTGATGTCACCACATCAGTCCGGTACTGGTGCTATATTCATATAAAAAGAAGCTTGAAAAAAAATCGTACGAATAAAACAAATTCATTGAAACTTGAATTTTTCTCGTTGACAGTAATATCACAAAGCAAACAATACAAAGTACTTTGACAACGTAAGCGATAAGAAAGCAGATGACGTTATAAATAATAAAGAACAGCATTGTAAAATAAGTAATAAAAGGTATTGCAGCAAGGTAAGTGATATAAAATGCTATGATCATGTAGATAAAGAAATAATTGTGATATAGAAATGCCACCGTCAATTACTTTCTGCTTCGCTCAGTAAATTAGAAAAGTTAATTAATCAATGAATGGATTTTAGTATACGGATAAGTGAACAGTACTGTTAGAAATAGATTAGAAAACGTTCCCTTATTAGCGACTTATTTCAATGTAAAACTCGAACACGTACGTAGATTTCGCTGGAAATAATAGATATAGACGTTAGTTTATATATTTTATTATAGAAAAAAAGTTGCACATTATATTAGGATTCGAAATTTTTGTTAATGTGAGAATTTATGAATTATGTTGCAATTATGAAGTCAAAATAACTGGAATATAATAATTTATAATCATCATGAAAATAAATTATTTATTAATTTAGTATCATTTTCTTTTATTAAATGCAATTATATATTCTGAGAGAACGTGACTTTCTCTATGAATCTCAAGTTTTTATCAGATTCTATGATTGATTTAGACAATTTGTTGGTCGTATGAAAATGTATGCCAAAAAGAAAAGACGACAGATTTATCGTACTTCTCAATTGAGGATAAATCCATTGTATTTGTATCAGCTTTCAATAGATGAATGCAATATATTTCGTCACTACGTAGAATAATAGAGCATTTCAAACGCGATCTGAATATGTAATAAATATTTTTGGACCTACGAGAAATTAATTTCATCTTGTTCTGATTGTCGACCTTTGAGGCTACTAATTAGTAGTTAAATGAGTCATACCCCCTTCAGTTCCCATTCTTATTTTGCCTACTTTAGTTACCTTAATCGTTTTAATCCCTTTAGTTTTTTTTTCTTTTTATTCTTCTTAGTTCTGGTGCCGAATGCAACACACTAGAAATAGTAACGTAAGAATCCTTATTTCATTAATGCGATGCGAAGCATGAAGCATTTCTGTAGTCCGTCGCGAGTTTTTTTTTCTTTAATGCGATGCGAAGCAGAAGCATTTATGTAGTCCGTCGCGAGTCTTTTTTTTTCTTTTTTACTTGAGATTGTACGCATCACATCTCGTTGCTTTGTGACGCGATGATCTCGAGAACCAAAAATCATAGGAAATTCGTTGAAACGCGAGATCGAACTTTTTGTCCCTGTTTTCCAAGCTTGAATCTGCAGCTCCGTTCGTTCACAAATATCGTTCCAAAACGACGAAAATGAACGAAATTTGTGATGACATAATTAAAATGACGTCATCAACGTATGTTATTCACTATAGTCTATTCATTTACAGCTGATCTAAGATAATGAATCATGGAGAAAATTAATCAATCAATCGAAATCAATCTGTAAGAATACATCGCTAAGTAAGACTAAAGTTTTCTCAGTGATAAATTTCATCAAGTCGACATAAAAAGTATTCAAGATTTCTCTGAATTGAAGATTTTTCGTGAAGATCCGAAGTTTTGCTTCGCATCGCATTTCGTATACGAGTAAAACTCGAATACAATCTAGTTTTTCTAAAGTTTTACTGGCTAAATTTATGTAAGTACTGGTTCCTCTATGTGTTAACACCCACATACCTTCGGTCAGGGGCCACGCTAACGGCCTAGGACTAGAGGGTGCAAGTGTCCTAAAAACTTTAACAGAAATATACCAAAAGGATTGCCAAACAGCAGCACATTCTTTATAGATAGTATCAGGTAAAATACTGTTTATTTTCCGAACAGTTCTACAAGAAAAACAAGAAAACAAAACGTTAATTAGTAATTGCACTAAGTCAAAATGAACACCACGATTTTTTATTAAAGTTAGATTAGATTCTGTTGAATCACAAACAGGTTCGTTTGTTCATGATTCTTCTGCAAATGAAAGAAAGAGAAATAGTCAATTGATAAGTGTTTTTATGTTTTGAAAAAAAAACTACCTTCAAATTCAGAGAGTGATGACGACGTAGTCGGTAACACTCATGATTCAAAATATGACTACCGAGGTTGTTGATAGTGCAACGTTGAATAGTTGGCGCTGAACATCATTTTCATCGGATGCTTCGTTAGGAATCTGTATCTATGTTGACATCTGTTTTTGTTCTTGTCAACCAGTTATGTAAAAAGTTATTACTTGAACAATTTCTTTTCTCAATTTTGTCAGACGTTTGAATCTGATATATGATTTAATTATAAAGAAACTGTTGCGCTCAACTTCGACCAGTGAATAGAAAAAAAACTCTAAGTGACAGATAAGCTTGCATATTTCAGTTTGAAAATTGGCCAAATACTACCGACACACTTTGATTGAATTAAATTGATGAAAGACTACTATCACTTTTTGTTTCAATTGAATTTCTAGTAAAGTACAACCAATGTAAATGAGTAATCAAACAATATATGTAACATGTTTGTCGGTATTTTTTCTTTTCTTTGAATAGTAGCCTGAAGTAAGCAAATGCGATTGTCTCTTTTTCATTGACAAAAAGTCTAAAATTTCCATTTATATGTGGGGGGGGGGAGACTTCCCCCCATCTCTTGCTTCTGCGGCCCCTGCCTTCGGCTTGTAAATAGTTTTCTTTATTTACCTACACGCCTAACAGAAATAAAGCGTGTACATGATATCCCTTGGTTTTTTATATTCTGTTCTCAAAACTGTAAAAGAGTCGTAAAAATAGAAAACTTAATCGGGATTGATTTCATTTCTAATCGGACTATTTTTAAACTCGATTCGTTTGCTTAATTTAATAAATAGGCCCAGTTTTTAAAATTTTAAGCATCATATGAACAGAGTACTTAACCAAAACCTACCGCAGTACCGCACATTAGAATATTTTCTACTGAGATTTTATTCAAAGTATTCATTCTCGGAAGAAAAACCACTTGTTAGCTTGTTCAAATATTTATACATTTAAGATAAAACAGAGTTGAAGACGAAAGGTTGTCAGAGCATTTTTCATTAGATAAATTTTGGATGCTCTGATGATTTCGCGTCCTTCTTTTTCATATGTATAAATTTTTGCTATTAGTAAAGTAGATGTACTCTGAATATATAAAATAATTCAATCAATAGTAGTATCGGCAATGCCAGTAAACTACTCATTTAGTTAGCCGTTAGAAACTGGTCCTAAAATTATTCATCCATGAAATGCATCAGAGAGATAGTGATGATTTTTGGTGAACACTTAATCCTATTAAAGTATCATTAGTAGGCATTATTTTAGTTTATGTTCATATTAAAAGACTGAACGATATAGTAGAAATGTTTATACGATCATGTCAAAGAAAAACTTTGAGAAATTTTTAATATTTTAACAGTGCTGTAATCAGTATTCTCTCGTGTAAATTTATCCACAGCGAATGTTTATAGTAGAATAGAGAGTGAGAGATCAACTTTTTTCAAAGGTTCTCCATTTTTCTATGAATTTATCTCGCACAAGAAAGTTTAAATTCAAAATGCTTTCTCACAATCATCTACAATAACGTTTTTATGATTATATATTGTTTTATAAGCAACTGTAATTCAATGTTCACTTTTTTTTTTTGGCAGTCAACCAGAAACAGTTTAATTAAATAATGTGAAACAACACAAAATGTATGAATGTTCCAAAAATCCACCGACATAGTTGTTTTCAACTAAAAAGTAATTATCTCTATTGAAGCGTTTGTCTATACGGAGAGACATCACAAGTACGATCCAACACTAGTACTGTCGAGTGCACTACAAGACTCTGTCTTTTTCGGTTTCGATAAAAATAAATGTTCCATGTTGTCACCATTAGCGATTGAATTTCAGATATTTCTTGTTCTTGCTTTGACTCTACGGAAATTTAACAATATTCACAGTAGTTGAAACCACACTAAATGAGTTTGCCTCAAGTAACTCGACCTCAATTTTTTTGAATTCTGTTACAAGATTACAGTTTCCACATACTATGTGTCGTTCCTTTATTTTCTCGTCTCTTTTGAGGTAGCCCTGCGGCGATACTAGTCATCAGATTATGTGCTATCGTTTTATAAATTACATTTCTTATGTTACTGTAAAAAATAAGCTCAATAGTATCAAGTCCTTAGATTATAACACTTAGGATAACACTCAAAATTAATTACTTCGTTTATAAAAAAAAGCAAGCACTCTGCATATAGTTGTTTTGTTCAACTAACTTGTAAATGATTGTGTATTTTCAGATTTTGAGTAAGAATCGTGCCAATCTGATCCATTGTTTTATACTTCATCAATGGTTTATTTTAACTTTATTCTACGCTTATTTTTTCGTCGTGCACTTTTTCGTCGTTTATTATTTACAATAGGCTTTATTATATGTGTGTATCTACTGATATTCTATAACACAACTTCTAGTAATCAATACTATGAACCGTCTGTGAGTAATATTATTGATAATAATGCTATTCACAATTATAACAGCACGGATTCATGCCATTTTAAACCATCAACTGATGAATTTATTCTTAAATATAAACCAGTTACATTAATTGGACTGAAGCCTGAAGCAACACGTTTTGAACCCACAATTGAACGAATACGTAATCTCTTAGAACTAATTCGTTCAAAAGAGGATACATATCAACCACTACTACAAAACTTTGACGTATTCAATATGATAAATCCGGATATATCATTAAAAGCATATACCGATGAAAGTAATATCGATGAAATAAAAACATTATATAATCGTTATATTAAATTAATGCCAGATAATAAAACAATACATGTTGATCACGCAATGATAGATTATTTAAAACAAATATCAAGTTATTTATCAGATGGATTAAGAAATAATAGAGCAAATAGAGTAAATATAAAAGAAAATGTTCAGGTTTATGTTAATTTATTTTTATCATTTAAAAAAATATGTATAATAGTTGCCAGTAGAATGTCTCCGTAAACCAGTTTTTGTTCTTGCTTGTGACGAAGGCTTTTTTAATATACTTCAAGGTGCCATTCATTCACTCGATGAATATTGGTCTGGTTATAGAATCGTCTTTTATGATATGGGTCTTTCTAGTGGCCAAGTGAAATTGGTAGAAACTAAGACATCTTTTATATCGTTTAATGATTTCTTTGTCTTTTTGTTTAGCTGAGAGAAAAATGTAAACAATGCACGATTATTAAATTTCCATTTTCATCTATTAAAATTTTTGCATCACATATTGATATATTGAAGACTTATGCGTTCAAACCATTTGTTATTCAGGTGAATATGAATATATATATATATATAATTATATATCGAAAATCGTTGTTGTATAGTTATCTATTTCTTAGTAAAATAAATGGACCAAACATTTCTATGTTTAGTGTGCTCTTTGCAGTTAACATTTGACATGAGCTGCGTAGAGCAATGACAATAGCGAAAGACGATGTGTAATGGTAGTTATTCAAAAGATATTGTTGTAGTATAAACAATAAAAATGTTATTGTTGAGTAAGAAGTACGACAATTATATTTAAAAAGAATGACTAAAACAATCAGATGTAGTGATTAAACTATTAGTATTTATAATTATGTTAAAGAGTACTAATGTGTATTTCAACCAACTTGTATTTTAACGATTTCTAATCTAGATAAATACTCAAAGATTGCACTGCCCACAATAAGCTTTAGAATTTATCTTTAACAAAGTATAAATTTAATAAAATATAACTGATTGGCTAAGCCTATTCTTTGAGGTTTCATGTTATCTTCCTCATGAGGTTCATTGATTATGCCAAAAAATGAACAATTCCAAGATGTTGACTTATTTTGATAGGATGCATTACGCCGTTATGGTACAATCATCTACGGTGATGCATCTGCTCGCTTCAATTCAAATTCATTTAATCCAGTTTTAATTGATAACTATATTCGTGGCTTTGCTGCACGTGAATTACCTGATCATTATCTATCTTGTTTTACGCGAACGGGTACATTTGATTGGTTTAATCAATCTTATAGTCAATTTGATGAAATTTATATGTCCGAAGCAAATTTTTTAGTTGTTACAGATACATTTTTAACACGTCTCATGATGAAAGCATGGTTAACATGTGCTCTTGAATCTAAGTGTTTAATAGCGTATGAATCACAATCAAAATGTCGAGGATCTTCTACTACATATCATCGTTATGATCAAAGTGCGATGGTTATCATTTTAACACATTTTTTCTTTCCAGGTACTAAATCAACCTGGGGCGATCGACATCTTAATGACCCAGCTCCATATGATATGTTTACAAGCATACAAATGAATTTAGGTGATATTAAACGTGGATATCAAGATCCAAACTATTTATCAGAAAAAAAGATCGCGTAAAAAATGCGCAGAAATATTTTTTCTTATTCTAAGAAAAAAATATATTTTTCAAATTTATTTAGTATTTTGTTTTTTTATCACTTTTGTTAATGTAAATCAATTTTACGACGTAGGCAAATAAGAATGTGTTTTTTTCAGTGACATAACAAATAAATATCTAAAATCATTGAAGAATTTAGTTCATGGAAAACAATTAGCATCATTTAATGATTATTGCGACGGAACAATAGAATGTATTTCATCAAGTTTGATTTGAAAATATAATAGGTGTCAATGTATAGCAAATCAAAAGCAAGTTTATTTCTGGACCGGAAAACAATGTCAGGAAAGTATTCACGGTTGGATTTCTTTCGCTGGCAAGGTTATCAAAAGCTGTCTATATGAAAAAATTACCGCAGATTTATTCCCGAGTTGCTCACTAAGAAATATATAGCATATATTTTTGAGTTCTAGCAATAAATTTTTCATTATTTTCGATAGAAATAAAAAACATCACGAAAATTTGCTTGATAAAAATAAACTATTTGAATTTTATAGAGATCAAGCTGAAATTTTTTATCGAACGGGTCGAAGTGTAGTCTAATATACGAAGAAGAAAGGGATTATAAGTTAAATATGAGTTTGAATGAATTGTTAGATTCGACGAAGACCCTACATATTTATTTTTCTAGCAAATTCGGTTGATATCTATTAGTCTTTTTCTTCATTGATGTGCTAAATTATTTTCTGAAATGTGAAAATAAATGATGATGATCAAATAAATTGGAAATATGTTTTTAGGTACTTCTTGTTATCGATACTTTAATGCGAAAAACACTTGGCTTGATGCTCGTGCTCATTGTCATAAATTTAAAGCTGATTTAGTTAATTTTACAAGTGGAAAACCTTTCAACTTTCCGTACATTCATAATGTTACGAATTCATATTTTAAATCCGAAAAGGCCTTCAGCAGCCTACGGGTTATAGCTAATTCTACTTTGTTCGATAAAGATATATCAGGTAGTTTTTATGGAATTAAAATTTGTCAATATCCATACGTCTAGTTTATTTTTCCTAGTTTTGACTAGCTTTCGGACAGTTCATTTGTCTTTAAATGTTACGAAAATGTTTTGCTTACGACTGATCAAACCCTAATGTATTCAATCACAGTCTCTACAAGCATGCAGCAAGCATCTCTGAAATATGTGCACGATGAATACGTATGAAATTTTCTCGCAATAAATCTTGTACATTTGTTTTCTATAAACAATGTTTTCCTACAAATAAATTTATTTGCGAAATAAGTAAATCATTAGAGAAGAATTTTATTTAGCTGAAAGCAGTGTGTCCCGTCATGAACCATCGAAGAGTAAGGTTTTGAAAGTAGAATGTAATCACCTGCCGATGAAATTTTTTTATTAAATTTCGTACAAATTTGATTTTTATCAATGAAATATACTCTTGAGGATTTTTTTTCAGTTAGATTGAAAATTAAAGCAATATGATTCTGTCTGATTGATTTTACGGATAAAGCGATGCAAAACAATAATATGACATTTATTTCGATTTGAATAAAATTATGATGTCATTTAACTCTCTCCTATTAGAATAGAGCCCGTACTTTCGATGGCATTATCATACTTATCAGTCTATTTATTTTTCTCCTATTCTACATTATGCTAAAAGAATCTTCAATTGATCTTGATGATGATAGTTCATATCAATTGCATTTGTCTACACGCTACCAATCTGATACTTCAACGAATTATTGCTTGTATTTTTTGTTTTGAATGAGAAAATTATTCACAAGAGTAATATAAGAAAAAATCAAGTACACTTTAACCGTCCGAATTAATTTATTCACATACGATCAGAAAAGTTTTCGCTGAATTCTTTCTAAAATATGATCATCAAGTGAAAGAAACAAAGATCATGATACTAAAAACAAATGATTATCGAAGTATTTACGGATCTACTCTTGAAAAGCATTTAAAACTATCAATCGATAAGTCGAAATAAATCGAATGCTTTAAATGATTTCCAATAGCTCCTCATATTAAATTTCGTCTGGACTATGTTACGCATCGATTGAAAATAGTGTCTTTTTACACAATTTTCCATTCTGTACCATCAGATTACATAAGTAAATACAACAGATTAGTGAGAATTTATCTATGAACATTAACAGACCGGATGATCCCGATTACATATTCATTTCAAAGATTGAAACCGTGACTGATCATTATCAGTACCATGCGTTTTTTTAAATATAGAATAAAAGAACAAACAAAGAAAAAGGACAACGAATCAGCAAGATGTGTTACTTTTTCGCATCAAAAAAAAAATGTACAATGAGCAATGTTTCTTAAAACGAAAATGTTTTGCATTGTATAGTTCAATCATGAAATGACTAGGCGTTTTTGGAGAACAGAATCTAAGTGAGATCATTGATTTGCTTTTCTATCCCATGCCAAGTGGAGATGCAGATTGTGGTTGTTGTGAAACACCAGAGCCGGATGCTTGCTGTTGAGAATTAGCTGTATTCGGCGCTACCGGTGATTCTAGATTAAGTAATAACTGTGATAACCATTTTTTAGTTGATTGATCTTCTTTAAGAACAGAATCCTAAATTTAAAGCAAAAATAAAAGCATTCATCGAAATAATTCTTGCAAGTTTTTGTCTTTTATACATACAAATGTATGATCTTTAAGGCAATCCGGAAGACATGATCGAAGGGCTTCACGTGCACGTGGATTATCCGATAAACGTAAGTAACAACGAATTATATGTTTTAATAGTCGACCACTTGCTTCTTTTTGCTATAAGAATATAATAGAAAAACAACTATTTGTCTCTTTTTCGATATACCTGTTGAAGAACCATTCGTCCTAAAACCATAGCCACATGCGAAAATCGATCAAATGTTTGACATATATAATTTAAACCACAATCATCAGCAAGTATTTTTTGTAAAATAAAAGTTGCGACAGTTTTCGATAATTCACTACCTGATTGCATTATACGTAATGATAATGGAATTATTTCTGTTGTTAATAAAAAATTGATAACTTCTGTTTCATCAGTTTTAACAAGTGCGCCAATAACGCCTAATGATGTCAAACGTAAATATTCAAACGGTCTCGTTGATGATTTTGTATTTAAGAACGGATACAGAAATAATGGAATATTTGCTTGAATGAAAAGTGAACGAGTTTCAGGATGAGATGCTATACATTGAAGTAGTGCGAGTGCATTACACACACGATTTGATTGTTGAGCTGTTAATGTCGGAGGTGTTATATATGGATAAACCGAACTAATAATAATAAACAAAACAATAGTTGTGTAAGTCATACACGAATATATGGATATCAAATCAATAGCTTACATAACTTCATGTAAAAGTACAGCAACTGATCCAAATGAATGCCAAAGTAAAACAGCTAAATCGAGAACTTTCTCTCGTTTACGACTTAACTCCATTAAGGCATTTTCACGTGTATTGGATGATAATAATTCAGTTATCCAACAGGCTATGCGTTCAGGAGATACGGGAGCATCATTTAAAGGATTATTTGCACCCATAAGTTGTTGTTGACCTGAATTTGCACTTGAATTGTTTGAAGTTTGACCGGTTGTACCAGCAGATGGGGGACCACTATTCATTGGAGCAATAGGATTAGGAGAGGGAGTAGACGATGTAGATGATGCCATGTTCATGATTATAAAATTCTAGATCTAGAATAGATTACAAATAATTCATATACAATGCGCCAATTTTTTTCTCTTCTCATCCTCTTGTTCGATATTTATCTTGCTTGGATTTGTTCCCCTGTCTGCCTGCCTGCCTGCCTGATTGTTTGTATATAAAAGCATCGTATCACTTACTGGCTATTTTCTGTACCAATTACACACAAAATAGTATGATGACATCTGTCGAGCATAATAAAAATGCATTTATAATTTCTTGTTAGTCGGAAATGAAATAGTACTGTTCATTCATTCTCATTCATTCATTTGTCCTTTTGAACTGACGGATATACGTACCAGAAATAGTGTTTCGTCTAAAACACTCTAGTTTTGGTATCATCTTCTTATTGAAATTTGTATGGCAAAGTTACTACTCGAAAAAATACAAAGCTCTTCATGAAGATCTAGAATTTTTACTAAATTTTGCACGAAAAATAATGTGAGTGAGTAAATGTTCTACTTGTCTACAAGATTAGTTTTGTGAGAAAGAAAATCCATACAAAACAATTAAAAATCCCATTGAATGAAATCATATTGAGTACTTTTACATTATCTCGATTCCGTTCCAGGGTCCACGCCTCATTGAAAACTGCTGAAAAATACTTCTTTTAGCTTCTTAAAAACATCAAGACTATCTTTAAAAAAAATTAAGTTGAGGATTCGTTTGTAAATCAAGAGAAGGTATATCCACAGCTTCGAGCATCAATATTAGTATTCTGTATTTATTCGCATTAAAACAATCTGAAATTACTGTGAATATCTATCAAGCATCACAAATTCTACGATTAATTTCCTCATTCCTCGCTCAAATAAAGTAAAAATGATTTTGATGAATCGTTTTCAATTATGCAATGATACGTATGTAAAGGGTTGTTACGATATTGGAAACGTCTTGCATAGCCACTTGATTTTTAATATCTGTTCTTTTGTTAACTGAATTTAATATGATAATTTATTTTCAAAAGCTCATTATATGTAGAAATTATAATGATTTTTCATTCGCATCGTATATGCATATTGTCAAATAATTATTTATTGAACTTTTCGAACAAAGTATTCACAATAGAATAAAACCTATTTTAATAGCAGATTATATTCAGTGTAGACTTGTGTAACGAATATAATAGCCCTGGTCGAACGTCTGGAAACGGCTGGTTCCATTGATTTTGTGGAAGCAGTATCCCGGTTGGAAATTTTTCTAGTGATTTCCGATCGATTTCTGCCGGAAAGCACCGGAATTTGACAGGAATCCGCCGAAAAAGTCTGGCCGTATTTTTGACCGGAACGTTCAACCTGGGAGAGAATCACTACGTATTTTCTTGAATTGAGATTTCTTACCACTTTTGACTTTGACGACAAAAGAACCGTGTCATCGGATAGTTGAAATATGTATAGATATCACACGAAGAAAATAATTAAGAATGAACGATACAGTTCAGTATTCTAGATTTAATTGTGATGTAAGATTTGCCTGCGTTTTAACACAATGAAATGAATCTCAATATTTCATAATTTTACCGTTAAAAAAAATAGAAATTTAAAAGAATACTTCTAACGTAAGAGTATCATGCACGTTAATTTCTTTTATTGGTATCTATTAGATTCTTTCGTTTTTCCAATGAGATCTATTTCCTTGCTGCTTTATTCTCACATAAAAATGATACAATAACAATAACAATAATAACAAAAGCACACAAATAAGATACAATCAAAATCATTACTGAGTAAAATATGGTAAAGGTATAGAGCATAGTGAAAACATAAGTTATTGTATTCATATCAAATAAAATAACAGCAGAATTCATGGAGCACATACACCAATCTTATCTAAAACACCAATATCTTTAAACCAAGCAATAAGTTCATTGAAATTAATGCTTCCATCATGTCCACGATCGATTTCTTCAAATTGACATGCTTGATGTTCATGTTCATCAATGATATGATGACGTGTTAAATCTTTTCGCATTTTTTCAAATTCTTTTTTATTTAATCTTCCATGATTATGTTTATCATATGAACGAAATACTTCCGCTATATGACAAATCAATTGTGTTTGATACGCATTAGGCATTTGTATATGTTCAAAACGTGATGATGTTCGCCACCAATCAGCAAATTCTCGATAATCAATATGACCATTTCCATCTTTATCAATTAATGTACATGCCCATTGAAGTTCATCATCAGACAAATAATACCCCATATCATAACAAAGTGAACGAAGTTCTTCACGTGATATTGTTCCTTGAGACAAAACGAATTGATTTTATATGAAAAAACACATATATTTCTTACATACCACTTTTATCTTTGTCATATTTATTAAACATCAATTCCGATATTGGTTTTGTACCACCACCATATGCAAAACATGTTGGTGCAAGTGCAATACATTGATTCTTATTAACCGAGTTCATTGTTCAGTAGAAGTAAACTAGAGGCCAATGAATATACATGCATGCATATAGGACGATCCGCCATCATTCTTTCTGTTCTTCTCGATTCGATCGATCTCATAGACTTTTCGTTGGTTGGTCAATATTCACCAGTAACAAAACTTGGACAAATAATAGGACCGAAGAAAGAAGATTATGTACATTGCTCGTTTGTACGTGCTTGAGTCAATAGATGAACCAGACGCGATGAGAATATTTATGATAACAATAGAAAAGTATAGAAGATGAATTTTTCGATCATAAATGGAAGTTTTTCAGTTAATAAATGATGTGAAAGATTTCACTTAAGACTATATTGTCACTGTTGATTCTTGAAAAGTTTGATTTTTTTATAAATAGATGTAAAACATGATCCGATAGAACAATATAGACAGAGAAATCTTTCAGACAGTATTATAGTCTGATGTCAGTTTAAAATGTTCTCTATATCGAGATGGGTTTCATTTTACCATATGATTTATTTAAATATCCTTTTACCTTCCGGTAGAGAGTGAAAATAAAACATAGTACAATCAAAGAAAAATAAACGCTCCATTAATGATCATTGGGCCTTTATGCTTACTGACTGTTGATACTTTTGGACCCATCGACTATTGTTTCATATACGATTTGTATACTATCCGTACATGTACATATATTGCATTAACTTTATTTTACTATCGAAAGGTGCTAAGCATTTGAAATTTACATCGCAATGGTGACCGTGAAGTGAATACTTGAAATTCATCACAAACGACGGGTTGATTTAGTTGCCAGTCATTTTACACAAGTTTATAAACTAAAGTTGAACGATTATCTCTATGACAAATAAAGATCATTCGAATACTTGTTTAACGTGCACGTAACCATTGATCGTTATGAATAAATTTTCTAAATGTTGTTTTTTTATTGCGCTACAAAATGAAGATGACGCATCCATTGACAAATACGAACAAAGACAAACATAAAATAACTATATGAATATTGATTTGATAGAAATGCAACGAACTTTTCCAATCGTGCTGTGCTTTGTTGATTGAGAAATGCTATTCACCATAGTATGTATAAAAAGAAAATACTAGTTCGATTATTAGTCAATAAACGTGGATGCAATAATATATTTTTCTATATCAGTTGATTTCGGTCTTTATCGCATCTTGTAAAATAAAAAGCATTCATCGATAACACATTTCTTTATAACTATAGTATGCGAATTTTGATTAATAATTAACCAAAGATGCGTCTACGATAAGTCGACAATGTAAGATAATGATCTACTAGAACTAAAGCAATATTTACATTTTCTTTTGTGCTTGCCGAGACAAGTCCACAATTTACATGAGTTTGAGTTAAGTGCTTCGATCCTATAAGTGCAAGACTACTTGTTTTTATTTTGGTCCTAAATTAATTCAGTTGATATCATTTATGGACATCGGCTTATTTTAACTCATTATCCGATCATTTTAGAAAATAAACGTTTATGAATCAAAGCAAATTATTCAGAACAGTATTACATGAATGATCTGCACTATAAATGTTAAGTTTATCAAAAAATGAGTATATATGAGAAATTATTTCTAATTTTATCAAAATAACTGATGAGTCAACAAACAAATGACTCAACTAATTAACAAAAGCTGAATTATAGTTTTCAAAAAAACTACAACTGAGCAAGTTTACATTAGGATGCTAGCACCTGATGAAGTTTAAAGCTGACGATAGTTGCACCAAATGATTTAACTTCTAATAACCATAAATATGTCCAAACTAATTTAGGTCTATATTGCCACGTACGAAAAAGTTATGCATGTAAAACGAATATAATTCACACATACAATGAAATCTCAAATCTCTACTCTGGAGGTGAAGATTATTTTTACAATCACGTTTGTTATTTTAACCTTGTTTGATTGAATGCACAGGCGAAAAAGTTCTCTCTCACCTCTTCGTCACTTCTACGCAATCGACTACGAACTACTCTCCGTTGTTTTTTTTTTATAACAGTACGTTTGAGTTTGAGAATAAGTTATGACATCACAACATAAATTAACTGAATATTTAAAACATTTTTCGATTTATAAAATATTCATATGAAAGAAAATAGTAAAAAAATGGACTGATATTTCATAGTGAAACATTCTTATTCAGCTGTATACATAGAAGGAAAGAACTTCGAATATATCCTTCAGGGTTTTATTTTCAACTAATTTATATAGGAATTAATTGACTTGTGACGCTATATAAGCTGTCGCTAACATTTGATAAATTATCTTCGTTCACGTTTTCATGTTGAAAAAACGACTTGTACTGTTTGTCGTTGTATAAAGATAATTCCCCTTCACGAATAACAGAATCAAATGATTGAATAAGAGAAGTCATTGAATCATTTGAAATTCTCTATAAAAAAGATAAAAAATTATTTCAATTTAAACAATCTATTAAACAAACTTTAGTTTCATGTTTATTAATTTGCAACGGATAGGTCATAGCAGAATTAGTTCTATGAAGTTTTACTTGAGAACGAGCACGATTAATTTCTGTTGATATGTCTTGTACAATAGTATCGACTAATGTATTAAAACTATTCTTGTCATTATGATTTCCTATAAAAAGAAAAGACATTTGACTATCCATAGAAAAAACAAGTAAATATTGAAAAAAATCTACGCTACCATTTCTTTCTTGTTGAACATCATCGAATGACATAATAATTCGACTTTTTCGAACTCGAAATACTCTTTGTTTTAAATGAGTTAATGTTTTATTCCAAATATAATCAAATGATTCTTTATTGTTCAGTAATTTTTCTGCTATTTTTTGTCGTTCTGCTATTGTATTATATTGATATTGTTTACAATCACTAGAAGAACTAACTGATGATGATGATGATGATGGTAAATATGATGTAAAATGAGATGAATCAATTTTGTTTTGTCTTATACTAGTAGCATTAAGTGAGGAGGAATGAAGTGTTGCTGGATTATTCGTCAAAGCAAAATTAGGACGATGACGAAAACGAGGGCGTCGTGTTTGCTTAAACAATGAATGTTCATCATTAGAGTGAGCAATTGGAAGATCAGTTTGAGTAAGATTTGGAAAACGATCAAGTTTTGATGAATAATAAATCCAGTCGAATGGTTCATCGTTATAGATAAGTGAATCTCGCTAAAGAAAAAAGAACAAAGAATTATTTCAACCTTCGAAGACGAAGTCCTACTTTTAAAATGAATTCATGTTTGGATTGTCGCTCATCTCTTGAAGGAATATTTTCGAAGTGTTCACTTGTTGTTATAATATAATCATTGTATGATGTTTCAGCTAGTTCATTATTCTTATTACAGTTGATTACAGCTGCTTTAGTAGGTACACGAGGCATTCTGGAATTTGTCACAAATGAAGGTTGTAGAGTTACACATTTAGGCTTGTTGAGTTGTGCTTCAATAAAATTGTCGGTTTCTTTAGGAGGGACTTTCAATGTAGACGATCGTTCGAATTTTATATAATTATTTTCCTCTAATTGTTGATTATTATCATTGCATATCAACGAAGAAAATTTATATTTTTCATTACATTGAACAGATTTAACTAACTTGCTTAAGGATTCATTTTGAAATTTTTCTAAAGATTAATTTATATGAATATATTGGAATTTTAGTTATGGTCGTCATACTTTCTGTTGTCTTGTTTTTGCCAACTCTAGTCGATAGAATAACTTGAATTAGATTTTCTGTAGCTAATTTAAGAATACTTTTTTCTTCTATCGATAAATTTAATTTATCCTTATTTATTTCGTTATTTGAATTATTCTTTAATTGTAAAATTTCTTTACGTAAAGTTTCAATTATTTGGCGGATTCCTTTCGTTTGTTCAATAACATCAGTAAGCATTTCTGTTTCATTTTTCATTTCTAAAAATTCAGTATTGAATGATTAAAACTTTATTCGATCAATATAAACTACGTGTATCGGACACAAGTGATGTTTGAGAAATATCAATAAATATTTGAGATTTTATCAATATCGGATTCTTCGATCTAGTTTCGATGTGTTTTTTAAATTTTTCTTGGCTATCTGCATTGTAAAATTGAATCATAGAACTCACAATTGTATGAATGGGTCCATAGTATCCTTAATAATTCAAGATAGAATTTCATTTGCCTGGAATTTCTTTTTCTTACCTGGTTGTGAGACATCTGACGAAAATTCAATTTGATCTGGAGTATTTTCAACTGTAATGAATAAAAGTTAGTATTCTTTTCGTAAAAAAATTATATTTAAATTTTGAAATTTCGAACAAAAACTATTATAAATTCGATACTCAAAGTTTGGAAAATAATTATTATTTTTTCGAAGAAACACAAGAACAAAAAATCGTACTAAATATTCTTTTAGTTGTTGAATAAAACGATTCTTTTCTTTCATGATTATTTCTTTTCGATTTTTCAATCGTTTCATTGATCATAATATCACAATCTAAGATAAATTTAATAGTTAAAAAACCAAACAAAGAAACTTGATAAAAACTACTATTCGCTTTGGAAAAATCATTGTTTGATATTGTGCCGATATCGAGATCTTTGAAATAAAGTAATCCAGATATTGATAGATTTTTCCTTGTTCTATCTTACTTGAATTTGATATTGGTACCGTACGAAAACTATGCTGATCATTTTCTGATTCTAAATCATTCAGCGTTTTGTTCACTTCATGCAGTAGTATCTGGAAATGAAATGCAAGTATTGATCTACATATTTATAGCTCTATTTAAGCTAACATTATTATCGTGAATAGGATTTGTAATGAGATACTGTTCATTGATTGAACGAACAGATCCATCGTTCTGTATTGTTTGTCTATTACCAATAGATGATTTTGAATTTATTTTTCTTCGATAGAATTCTTTGATCATATGAAAAATGTCAAGTTTTTTAGAAATCCAATAAATCATTAAGGAAATTAAGAAAACTATAATACACAGTTTAATTGTATTATATAAAAGAAATATCAATGAACAAATAAGAATCCATGTTGAAATTTCTTCACATGATATAGTACATGAACAACAACTATAACTAGATAATGATATTAATTTTTGTGAATGACAATAATAGCATTGATTTGGTGATAATAAGTAATAATCATTACATACAGATTTTTTGCGATTCATCGTTTTCGAAACACTTTTCTTTTCGATTTAAACATGAATATGAAAAAAGCATGATTGAGGATTAAAATTAAATTAATATTTCTTTAATCATATCGTTCGTATAATAACAAATGACTGTACATTGCAAGCGCGCAAATTATATTTATCATATTATATATTAATTGTCCATTTATCGAAATGTAGCTAAGCGTTCAAATGCAGGAATAATATTTTAGAACTCTTTAGATTTGAAATTAAAAAAATTGAAACATTAAAATTTCTTTCATGTGTGATCTAGTATAGATTCAGTAACTTCTTTTCCGACTTTTTGTGAACAATATTTCAAGTTTTTCTTCTTCTTATCGAATCAATTGATTTATAGAATGATACATAAATTGTCATAATTGCTCGTTAGTCTCTACTTTCTGCTAGGAATTTATTTCAAGGATGATATGAATCAAAGTTTGATATTAAAAAAGAGAGAGAGAGAGAAAAGATATATAATGATGGGCTTATATTTCTTCTTTGTTTTTTCTTTGGTGGCAAAAACATGTCTAGGACTAACAAGACCAAATAGTCTACTGGTGAAATATAATGAAATTAGGACAAGTAGAAAAAAAAAAGAACAGAAAAGATCGCCTAAATACTTTTGTGTGTATGGGAAGTAGATAATTGAAAGAAAAAGAGAAAACAATGTTCTAGAAGGCAAAAAGTAACATAAAAGCCATCATCAGACAGAAAAGACCCATAGCCTCGGACAAAGCAAATCCCAAAATGGCATAAGAGAAGAGTTGTTGTTTTAAACTTGGATTTCTTGCATAGGCGACGACAAGTGAACCAAATACCGTACCAATACCTAAGAGAAAGTAAACCGAATCATGCATTATTTTGATTCGAAAAATGAACTAACCAGCACCAGCACCAGCTACACCAACAGTAGCAGCACCAGCTCCAATATATTTAGCTGCTGAATCAATATCACGACGAATAGGTGTAGTAGCAATCGATCGTGGTTGTGCAGCGGACGGAATAATCATTGAAGGTAAATGTTGTTGAATAAGACCTGCATTACGATTCATTAATAAACGGCATAAGGCCGATGATGATGTCAATGAGAAACGAGCTAATGATGCCATTCGATTTTATTTGATTTAGTTGGCTTGGTCGCCTTGAAAATCTGAAAAATTAAGTGTATCAAACAATCGAAATTTCTATGTTTTGTTGTTGATTTTTCTCGTTTCTTCAACACAAATGACAACCATCTTGAAGGATGGAATTCTGAGCCACTATGATAAACTTCTTCATAACAACAAATAGAAAATATATAGGAATAAATATATTATTTAAATCAAAAGTGTATTCATTAAGTTTATTTAAAACTTTTATTTAATTTTTTCCCTCGAAAATATGAACAAGCAGACATTAGAGGACGCCAGTTACTTATTGGCAATCCTCAATTATATGTGAGGTGAGCCGTTGAGAAATATATAACTATTTATTGAGAGAACGTTTACGAAGTGATGAAAAAAAATCCATTCTTGTTGAATTTTCATAATCTCTAACCGAGTATATCATTTATTTTCCTAATAGGTTTTTCTCTAATTCTGTTAATATTATTATCGTTCTTATCAGACATTCTAACTTAGATCAAAGCTGCAGAACTAAATTGATTAGACCATGATCGATGTGTAAAACCTTGATTACATCTTTCATATTAATCATATGTATTGTATTCGTTTGCCTGTTTTCCATAAGTTGTGTAGTATGAGTAGAAGGTTGACTGTCTTGTAACTGTTCAAGTTCTTGTACTAAAATTGATTTATATTACTATCAATAGTTTTCTACTATTCTATTCTATCGAAGAATTGTTCATAAATAACTATCAATAATTATTTCTATTTTATACGTAATAAAAGTATTTGTATTAACACATTTGAATTTTTTGTGTAAGAATTTATCATAATCAAGTAAAATTAGCAAGACAAGTGATTTACATTCCTACATGCCATATCATATGACAGAAATGTATAGTTAGCAAATATCGATATTCACTTATGAATCAAATGGAATTGGAAAAGTTACGTGAAAGATACATTTTTTTAATGTTATTAATGCTAATGATCTTTGTTAATATGAATACAAGATTCGTGAAAGAAACCAACAAAACACTGATAGCTACTTTATTAATGACATACAGAATTGCACATGATTAAAGTCAAACTTTTAACGATATCAAATATCGATGGATAATCATTTTGATGGACACCTACTAGTTCAAATAAATAGTGTTGTTATTGAATATAACTACTTATTTTGACCATCCATACAATTTATTAAATTAGATGGATCAAAGTATAGAACATTTGTGTACAGTTAACTTAATCCAGTTGGAGTTGATTTTCATCCTAAAACAAATAGGTAACTTACATGTACGCTGTGTAAAGACATGGATGATGATTTTATATCAGGTTATTTTACTTAGAAATAACAACAAGATTTTTATGAATAAAATAAACATTTATTTGTTTTGGATTTTCATTTTGTTTTCGTAGATAAACTTTCATAGAAGAATGTTTATTATCGTTTTTCACATGATTCTAATGAACGACCGTACAATATCAAATATTTTTAATCAACATGACATATTTACGCAGTTTTTTTTTTATAAATATTCTATGAAATCTTAGATCAGATGTTACTTTTAATATTGATTTCGAGATAGTAGTCATCAAGAAGACGATTCTCTTGAGGGATTTAGAATGACTTTCTCATGCCGAATACTACATAGACCAGAAAATAATGGATAAAGATTAAAGAGTATATTTGCTCTAGTAATATGATTTTTAATTTTGTCAAGAATTTTCTTGATTTTGGAAAATAATAAAAGCGTTGGCCTTGAATGTCTAATTAGCATTTGTTCATTTACAATTCAATGTTTATTTGAACAATATATAACGACATCCATTTTTGTCCTTGTATTGTCATAATAAATATAGAGAAACATATCTTCAAAGCTGTATGTTAAACATCAAACAACTTGTAAGGTAGAAATTTTTCTACTGTTGTATTAAGATTACTATTTAAGCATTTTACAACAATTCGCTTTTATTATACAGAGAATATTGTTGTATATTAAATAGATTTTATTTAACTTTCAAATGTATTTCTTTGAACATTTCTATCATCATCAGTAGCAGGATTTTTATTGTTCACTTATCGGTCACTTGTTTGTTCATCATCAACGTTCAACTGTCATCAACTCAACGATAAAGGTAAAGTATCAATTGTAACCATATCAATGATGATAATGAATTTGTAATGCGATGAAGAATTCATACCATACGTATGGGATATTTGATCCTTGAAAAATGGAAACATTTTGTAACTATCTATTTAAGTTGTGTAATACATTCCCCTTGTTCATGCATTTTTCTAATGCACTTTCTTTATGTCACAAGAGACAATCGTATCAATATCATTCCTTTTTTTTTAATCATTAAAGAGAAGAATTATACGTAATAGATCATGAATGAAATGCTAAAAATGTACGATGTGTGATCATGTATGTGTATAAAGTAATACTATTGAATGAACGAAAGAAGAGAAAAGACACATTTTGATAATAATCGAGAACAGAGAAACATCATATAATTTCAACAGATTCATGCGATGAAAGGTATATAGAACGAACTTCCTTATTATAAGACAATACTATATTTCAAATGTTCAAACAGCAAGTAAGTAGAAGCAAAAATAAAATTATTTCAAGAGCATATATATATATATAAGTATGTATATGAACCATATAATATAGTAGAGTAAAGGAAGAGGATTATTAAATCAGCAAATGTGTGTGTAATCAAGAAGTACTACTATAAGCATAGTTGAGCATGTCCAGACAAACACAGCGGGTGTCAGAATGAAGGCTACTAATGAAGGAGCCAATGCTTTTCTCTGAATCTAGCGTAATAAAAAAAAGAACGGAAAATGCCTCCGGTAGATTCATGAACGTTAATGAATTGTTTAGTAGCCTGACAGAAAAGAAAAGAGAATGCTAGTGAAATAATATGATGAGATTATGCGATTGTTGTTACGTTACATATATATATATATACATACAAGTATAAATGTTGTTATTAAACTTGATATAGAAGAGAAGGTTAAATTAGAAACAACTATAAACAAATCATTTGACCTACAACCTTCTTTTTTTTGGTTGGTTCATTTGTTTAGTTTTATTTTTCGTGTCTGTTGTTTGTAATCGATCAGACTTAAGTCGTGTGCAAATTTAATCATTCAATTTCATATGATTAAATTAAACAGTTTATCTATCTCAATATCATCTCAAGTGTAACATTGTATGTGAACAAATACAAGTGATTTAGTACTTAGGAGATAGTTTTCTTTCCATGCTCGACTATCTCTTGTAGTGATACATACAGCTAAGATACTATAGTGAAAATGTAGTTGTCACCTTTTCTTTCCTATTTAAACAGACGAACAAATTTCCGGCAATAAATACTTGCTGCCCTTTTTCTGTCTGTCTCTGTCTCTCCTTCTTTGTTTCTTTCTATCGTCCGGTTTTCTTCTTTTTTTTTGTCACCATCACACAATTGAACACTATGATTGTGTGTTCTGTTGACTCACACACGCCCCATGATATTAATTGTAGTAGTAATGGTCATCTTCTTCTTCTTCTTCTAGAACAATTAAGAGAAAGCGAAAGAACACGAAGTTTAATAACAAACATACTTGTACATTGTCCCTTGGTTGACAATTGTGTTTATGATTATACAAGAACCTTTCATATAAAGACACGATATTCTCCCTTCTTCTTTTCTCTCTTTTTTTTATTCGTAAACCTATTTAAAAGCACGCAATCCGTTTGAACATTTTGATTGACTATTCAATGTTCTTTTATAGACTGTCATATTGTCAACTAGACTCATAGCTAAATGAAGATCAGCATGTTGCTTTGATTACCATTTTTTGGTCGGAATTGATTATCTTTCTCTTTCCTTCCATTAGAGAATGCCTACAACATTATCATCCGATCGCTATTCAGCAGCTTCATCATCATCTACTTCTTCCACATCATCAAGCAGTTACTATAATAATAACAAGCATAATAACAGTTCTTTATCTCAATCGTCTCGATCATCGTCGACATTTCTACCACTTCGTCCTACAAAATCATCATTTCACTTGTCGAAATTAAGCAATCCAAATTATCATTCTATGCAATCACTTAAAATTCAAAAGCAATATAAAACAAATCAAACTCCTGTTGCTCGGATATCACCACTTGTTATTAATCAACAAATATCATCAAGCGATATTTCAAGGCAGCATGAGAAAGATGAAGGTTGGCTAAGTTGTGAAGAACTTGAAACGATTGAAAAACGTTTTACTGATTTACTACAAGAACCAACTTATAAAAAACCAACTATCTTAAATAATTATCAACAACATGAGCAACGAGCAAAAAGTTGTGATCGATTAGTCATAGACAATGAAGAATTAAAATCAAAAATTTTACCAAGTAAGTTAAACAGAAAAATTTATTACACCTAAAACAAAATCTCGCTTATCATTATTTAGTGCCACGAAAATCATTGATTGGTAAAGTGGACGATGAAGATGTACAAAAACGTATCCAATTGCCAGCATCAATCATCTATGATAATAATACACGTCCTTGTTCTCAAACTTCTCATCAATCGGCTTCATCATTGACTCGAACAGTTCTTTCTGCAAACGATATTCTTAAAGTCGAATCATCTTATCGAAGTATTGGTACACAAGTATTTGCTTGTCATTGTTTATGTGACTTATATATAACAACAACTGAACGTTTAGCTAAACTTGAAGATTGGATACGGTTTCAACATGGTTTACCCGTTTGGTTACTTAATTCAGGTACTAATCCGAAACGTCAATCACGGTTATCTTTAATTATTGCTGAATGTGGTTCTGGTTTTCCGATATGGCAAGATACAATCAATGGATTTAGTGATGTTAAACAAGCGCGTGCACAACATATAACATTTCGTTTATCTGATCAAATAACACTTGCTGTACTTCGTTTTAATGATTTATCGGCATCCAAAGAATTTTTTTCATATTATCAATCAATACGAAATGATGATCGCTATGAACATTTATTTTCAACAACTCTATTAAATAGACATAGAAGTTCATCATGTGGTTCGTTATTAAAAAAACGTCGAAAAACTCAAAAACATATTAGTAAATCATCAATATCAAATCCGTGTCAATTTCAACATATAACCTGTTTACAACTTAAAGATCGTGCTCGTTTAATATCGCTTGATCAATGTCTAATACCACATCAAAATTATTCGAATAAACGTATTTGAGAGGAATAAAAGAGTCAAACAAATATTAGACAAATGATACGAATGTCCTATTGTTTGATGTTTATATTGTTTTCTTTTCATCACATATAAATATGGGTAGTATGAAATGAAAAGACAAGTCAACCATTGAGTTTTATTTTGACAATCACAAGAAGACAGAAAAAAATTTTAAATTAATTCTATATGTGTCATGTGTTTTGATACTGAAACCTTGTAATAGTTTTGACGGATCAAGGTTCTATTGTATAATATTCGTAATCAATGAGTAATGAGACAGAAGCATCTTTACATAGAGATATCTGATTACTTCTCGACTTATTCTCTATGTCATTTTGTATAAGCAGACTTAAAATGAGAAGTAGTTAATGAAACAAGACATTATAATAGTTCTTGAATAGCCTTGTAATTTTTTTACTTTCTAAGATAAATAAAACAACCGTGCAAATTTTTCACATGTATTTGTCACATGAAATAACTAGTAAATAAAAATATTGAATATCATGGATCTAACTAAAAGATCAATCGGGTTTTGAAATTTTTTCTCGATGATGGAAGAAGTTTTAGCTTTTATTTGCAAGGAATCGGTCGGTAACTCGCGTTGTTTCATACCACTATGAACATCCATAAAAAATATACTTTTAGCCGAAAATATCCTTCTGTAATCAAAATTAGTTTCAAAATTTCACACGACTAATTTTTAGAATTTATAGACATAAAACAAAAACGTATTGGATATATGTATTTATTCTTTTATTCCCTAGTACTAGAAGCTTCACCCAAAAAANTGAACACAAAACATCAATTAGAATTCTATTTCCACAACCACTATAGAAACTGTTATTGAATTATCTTTTATTTCTTTGGTCACGACGGATTGGTCACGCAGATCACTATTTAGGAAGTATAGATACCGTACACTAGTGTCATTCAGAATTATTTTTAAATATTCGTTGTCAAGTGTACGATTGGTTAGAAGAGCTATGCAATTAAGTTTTTATTTTTTTTAAATGTTTACTCTTGAATTTCAGTTCAGTGTGACTTGAATGTAATTTTATTGTTTAGTAGATGGCTCATACGTAAGAGTGACATTTTTTTTCTACGCTTTTATTGATACGAGGATGATAGATGGCAATAATCTAGTCAATAACTATTGTTATCGATTCGATGGTCAATTCCTGAGGTATTTCTATCAATGTAAAAAACTTTATATGATAATAAGATTTAGGTTTCTTGTATTTGAAGCTCTTAGTTCAAAGATGAATATAGAATTGATGTTTTAACTAAGTACGATAAAGGGTTCTGTAAATATATAGAAAGTTAATTGCATTAGCATCATAATGATAAAGAACTTCATGATAGTCTCAGCGTGATAAAAAAAGAAACTTAAATTGTACTTTCAACATGCCAATTATGAAATGTTCACGACTCTTAGTTGTATGACATTTGCAAGTAAGACTTTTTATTGAAAGATAGCAATAGAAAATAGAAAAATTCAGATATAGTCAACTACATTGAATATAGAATTTATTGTTCAGCTCATGTAGCTTTTGTTTTTTTTATACAGGTTTACTTCTCTAGTTATTCAAGTCAATTATTTTGTTTTAGAAAGTAAAGTATAGAGAATTTAGTGGTTATTCAGTTGTGATACACCGAGATCATTCAAAGGACGAGTCTCGATAAGGCTACTTTTCGGTCCAAAATATTTTCAAGAAATAACTATATGACAGTTACAAGGCCCATATGTACTACAAATATCAAAGGGTCATTTTGTTTGAAATTACTTCCGGGTTTGCCACTCCTGTGCCCCCTAGAGGTGAATTCAGAATTGCTCTTTTTAAATTTAGTTAATT